GAAAATTCAGAAAATCATAAGGATTCTTCAATTTGAGCCCAGAGACCATTTACCGTCGCCACACCCCGCCTCGGTCCTCCGTGGACAACACTGTTAAAGGTCTTTGCCCTGCATAACATAATATTCCAATATGGCTCCTCTGCGTTTTGGCGGGAGGCCCAATGCCCATAAACTCCTTCATAGGGCTTAAGTGAAGCCTCCTGAGCATAATTGGGATTTCTGGCCTCGATACCCTTTCTGAATCCTGGCCTTAAGCACTTCTCCCGAGGTCTTCTTCTGCTTCTTCGGGCCCAAACCACCCCAATCCTTGGACCACCCCCAATGAAATGGGGTGAAAAGTTCTTCGGACACTTCAGGAAACCCGTGGACCCTAGATCCGGGGATGGGTAGCGCCTCGGAGGGAGCGCCTAGGCGTATTTCACTGGATTTTCACTTATATTTCCATCAATTCTTGGATATTCTTTTAATATTCCGGTTGAAACAGCAGAATTGGTTCGTCCATTCTGCACTATTGAGCAATCCTTGCTGAGAATCTCTAATCTTCATTTGTCTGTTTACAGATCGACGGGTGAATGGAAAACTATGAAAAGTCGATTTATCATAGTTTTCGTCTTATGTTATTTTTGAAAAGCTTTTTTGTAGTTTCCAGCCAAGGGGTTGTACTGGAACCCACATAGAGGGGGAGAATAATCTAAAATCTCGTCAGATTATTCCCCTACTCTTTTGGCGACAGTGCGCGGAGTTTGCTGTTCCTCTTCAGGGATCTCTAGTAAGGATTTCCCTCCGCCTTTGATCAAATCCACAGAGCTTGAGGCAGAAATGCCCTCAGTGGACTTGGCGTGAGATGAAGAAGAAGAAAACTCTCGCAGTCACTGTCCAGGAGCCGTAATCTTCTGGTTTTGAGATGACTCTTGGGAGACTGATCAGCCTTGTTTCACTTGACTTGGAGTTACTTGGCGATTCAGTCGTTCGTGAGACAGCGTTTTTCCACTTACTGATGAAATCTCGATGGCTGCTTCGGTGTGGAGCCTCTCGGAGTGGTTTTTCCTCAGGGGTGGTGATGATCACAGTAAGAAAACAATTTACTTGACTGCTAATTGCTATCTGATTTATTCAGTGTCTACACCCGTCTTATAAAGGGAATTTTATTTGAAACAGCTTATTATTAGTTTCCCCCTATTCGCGACTTATTTCAAATTTAGGTCGCTCTCATTACAAAAGTGCTGACAATAATTGGGTTACTATTTTAATGTGACTGCCGCGTTGCCCAAGACAATGTTTTGGGCGTTGTCTAAGAATGTTCTTCCTGAACATCCTGGGCCCGCGACAGGTGCAGTTTGTACGGCTTCTCGCATCCTCTGGCAGAGGGGAATGTCCCGTGTGGTTTGTCCTGCTTCGGCGTCTTGAAGATGTCTTCAGTCCGCTTGATGATGGCTGATGAGTCCAAGATGATTGGCTTCTGTTGCTTGAACTCTGCAGTGTTGACTTCTGGGAACGGTATAGCACGGTTGAATACGTAATTCGCCTGCATCTCCATGAAGATGGTGGCACGTAGAGTGAGAGACTGCGTTTTAATGAAGCAATCTCTCTTCACGTGTAAGATCCCTGTTGCATTGAGTACGATTTCCTGACGGAAACCTCTACACATGATGTTTACCAGGGTTGGTTTTTCTACCATGTAGAACCATGTGTTCTCTGTATTCACCCTCTTCATTTTTATTTGTTCTTTCTGTACAAGAATTTTAAGATTTCTATCTTATGAGACAATAGCAAAAAATCTTATTTATCTAAAAAGCACAAATGGAGAAAAAAATTGTCATGTTTTGCGAATGAAAAGTCAAATTTTCATTGTTTACGCTGAAGAATTTTCCCATAAGAAAAATGTCTCAAAAATTGAAGACAAACGCATAAAACGTCTTTAAAGAAAATATTTGTAGATTTTCAGAATTATTCTAAAATGTTTTTCAAGACTTTTAATGAATATTTCTCATATCTTTTAAATTTTTTCACTTGAAAACATTAAGAAAAAGTTCAATTGAAGTATGAAAAGTTGATTTTTTGTATAAAATCGACTCAAAAACCATTAAAAATTGACTTTGAAAAGTAATATTTTCAGATTTTCTATTAATTTTGCCACATTTTAGTGAAAAATTTCAATAAATAAACCAATAAAACATTTACAAAATAAAAAATACAGAGCAATATTTTCACTTTAACGAACGATTTGAAGGCATTTTGAGTATTTTGAAGTAAATTTGGCAAATTTCGCAGCTGTTTTAATGTAAAAATTTTGAACTCGCTTTGCTGAAAAATGGCAATTTTGACTTTTTATAGTTTTCGAGGCACTCGTCGAGATTCAGTCGACAAAAGTGCTGAATTAAAAGAAAATCTAAAGAAAGATATTTAAAATGCAGATATTTATTTGATTGTCCAATTTTCAAAAATCTAAGGAGTACCGCCAAGTAACAGATACACGAGTAAGACAACAAGTTCGGCGATTTTTGAGAGTGTATCTCCGGCATCCGTACACGTAAAGTCTCCAAGGAGTTCTGTCCAATTTGGGAATTCTGGCACGACTCGGGTTTGACCAGCTGCTGCTGCTCCTTCAGCTGGAAGAACAGCCGCTGTGGCAATAAGGACGAAAAGTGTGATGAGGATCTTCATTTTCAAAATTGATATTATTTCCTTTCAACTTGTCTCTTATCACTTGACTAGTGATAACACTTGTCGTTATTTCACGTATTTATAGGTAAGATCACTGCAAAATAGGGTCACACTAACTCTGTGTTGTGTACAAAACCATGATCTTCTGCTGTTAAAGTGAGCAACATTTGATCAGTTGATTGAAAACTCACAATTTATATTTCTTATACGTTTCATATTCACCTAAACTAACAATTGTTTTTCCAATCAGAAGGTCGCCCTTAGAGTTTAGTATATGTGAAATTTAGGACAAGGTTGATATTTTGGGAGTTTTTTTTATATATACTTATAATTTTCTTCACTTACGAAATACGCGAGTTCATTTAATTTTCAAGTTCGTCACAATGCTTTGAATAAGTTTGTGCTCTCTAAATGTTAAATCACTTTCAATTTCGACGGGTGAATCGAAGACGATTAAAAGTAGTTTTTTGATAATTGACGTCTTATGTCTGTTTGGATTGATCTTAATGTCTTTCATCGGCAAAAATTAAAGAAATACGATTTTTCTTAAAAAATTTCTCAATGTTGCGTTGAAAAGTATGAAAAGTCGACTTTTGATAGTTTACGCCCAAGGGGCTAATCACTAGCGCAAATTGAGACCATTAACTTTGTGATTATTCAATCTTTTTCCTCGATTATTTCGTGATTTTTACTCAAATTTTGATTATTTTCTCAATATTTTATTGAAATTTGATTATTTTTTTGGATATTTCTTAATTATTTCCTGAATATTTCATTCAAAATTAATTATTTTATACAAATTTTGATTTTTTGTACATTTTTTTTATTCATTTCTAAATATTTCTTTTAAAAATTATTTTTTTTATACAAATTTTGATTATTTTCTCAATATTTCATTAAAATTTGATTATTTTTTTTAATATTTCTCTATTATTTCCTGATTATTTCATTAAAAATTAATTATTTTATACAAATTTTGATTTTTTGTACATTTTTTTTATTCATTTCTAAATATTTCTTTTAAAAATTATTTTTTTTATACAAATTTTGATTATTTTCTCAATATTTCATTAAAATTTGATTATTTTTTTTAATATTTCTCTATTATTTCCTGATTATTTCATTAAAAATTAATTATTTTATACAAATTTTGATTTTTTGTACATTTTTTTTATTCATTTCTAAATATTTCTTTTAAAAATTATTTTTTTTATACAAATTTTGATTATTTTCTCAATATTTCATTAAAATTTGATTATTTTTTTTTAATATTTCTCTATTATTTCCTGATTATTTCATTAAAAATTAATTATTTTATACAAATTTTGATTTTTTGTACATTTTTTTATTAATTTCTAAATATTTCTTTTAAAAATTAATTATTTTATACAAATTTTGATTATTTTGTAGAAAATTCTGATAATTTTCTGAATATTTTATAAGAATTTGATTATTTTTTGATTATTTTCTAAATATATGTAATCAAATTTTGAATATATAATTGAATAATTGTGAATATTCTGATTCATTGATTATTATTGATGGAAAAAAATCTTTTTTTTTTCAATATTTTTTTTAGAATTTGATTATTTTTCAATTTTACATTGGAAAACAATCAAAATTTGTTTGCTTTCTTAACTTTTCTTTGGAAAATATAATCAATTTTTTGATTATTTAATTCAAAATATGATTATTTTTCAAAATTTTCTTGAGAAAATATTAATTTTTTAATTTTTTTCATTCAATATTTGGTTTTTTTTATTTTTTGTCATTTTATTTGGGAAAATAAGATTTTTTTTCAATTATTTTTCAATTTTTGTTTGAGAAAATATTCATTTTGTGACTATTTAATTCCAGAATTTGATAATATTTTGATTTTTCTTTGCAATCTTAGTTGAGAAAATAATCTTCTTTTCATTATTAAAATCATAATTTGATTATTTTTCAATTTTTTCTTGGGAAAATAATGGGCAGGAAAAATGTAAAAAGTTGATTTTTACAAACTTTTTGGAAAAAAAGTACATAAAAACCATAAAAAATCGTCTTTTTGTAGCAAATTTTCCCAATTTGTCTATTAATTTTTCGTATTTTAGTTAATATTTCAAACAAATAACAGTGGAAAAACATGGGAAATTCTGCATAAAAATAGAATTGAGCAATTTTATCAATTTACTGAAAGATAAAAGAGAGTTTATGGAAAAATTAGTAAAATTTCAAAGCAAAATCATCTCACAAACTTCAAATTGCTGACTTTTGATAGTCTTCACGGCACCCGTCGATTTAAGCTCTGCTTTTCTTTCTTCTCCCAAGAAACATGTGCCATTTTCATCATTCCGCTGTTCAAATTGATTAAAACCATTAAATCATTTCGACATATTACATTTTCTGCGGAAAATACGCCGCTCTTTAGACACTTTACCGGAAGACAACGTCAGCTCGAGACTCATATCAGTTGACCGGAATGAAGGGACTTCATCTTATCACACTCTCGCTGGCCAGAAGATTAACATTCTTTGGTCGTAAGCCTCTTTCGGGGTGATTTTTTTTTGCAGATAAAGCGCACCTCTGGGTGCCTTAAAAAATATGAACAACTCAAAAACACATCAGTAAATCGCGAAATTTCACCTGAAGCACTCACTCAATTTCTCTAACCATGAAGAGTAAGACTTCCTTGGAGTTTTCCTGTAATCACAGCCTCACTGACGTGAATTTTTCTTCTCCCAGACATCCTTCTAGTTCTGGCAATTTGCCTCGTGGGATTCACGAGTGCCAATGATGTGGTCTGCGTCGGTCAGGCAGATGACAGTTTCGTCGCCGATCCCACATCCTGCTACGGATACTACCTGTGCAGAGGAGAGGTTGGCTTACCAGGCACATGTCCCTACGATCTCTGGTTCGATCCTGTGAACATTTGGTACGTATTCAGCGAGAGGCGTGAGTTTTTGTGCAGGAAATCTGCAATGATTGTCCTTCATCACAGGTGCACTTATCCTGGAGACTTCTGCTCGGAGTCACCGTGCGCAGGTGTTGCCGACGGCACCTTCGTGGACAATCCCTCATCCTGTGGCGCTTGGTACTACTGCAGTGCCGGCGTGGGTCATCCTGGTGTGTGTTCCGACGACTTGTACTTCAATCCTGAGAATCAGACATGCACCTATCCTGAGTACGTGGACTGCACGTCAGGACCCACAGATCCTGCGCCACCTGTTGATCCGGAAGTGCCAGCAGTGGCCTCCCCATATGCTGACGCCGTCCCAGCTCCACCAGTCGCTTGAGGCAGACCACAGAGTCTCTCTCTCTCTCATCAATCACACCATTAACTCTCTCCCTTGTCGAGCTCAGCTTATCAATCATGATTTCCACGCAACAATTCATTTTGTTGGTCCCAAAATATTGACATGTATTGCTGGCAATTATCTTGTCCTCTATCATGTTCCCTGTGTTTATGAAATAAAGGGAGGAGATTGTTATATGTGCGTCTCATTTCATGACAAATTGACAGTAAATCCATGACTCTCTGTTTTGTCTTTGGTAAAAAAGGGGAAATCAAGAAGGCGGATTAAAAGATGAAGTACAAATCTCAGATGTGATAACAAAAAAAAAAATTGTCTGATTAGATAATGTTGTGATGAGTTTGACCAGGTTTGACCATTTTACAACCGTGTTTGTTGTCACGGCCGTGATGTTTAGTTATAGGGGAAAGTGGGGCTACAATATACATTGATGATGTTAATTATTGTTGGGAATGTTGGCCACCAGGGGCGTTGTATATAGTAAGAGGCAGAAGAAATATAATGGCGTTCAAGAAAACTGGGTGTCTATTGCGGCTATTATAATTATCTTGGAAAATTATTGAATTTTCTCAACTAAAATTGAAGAAAAAAAAATCTAATATTGAATAAATAATCAAAAAAGATTATTTTCCCGAGTTTAAATCACAAAAAAAAATCAAAATAAGCAAATACTGTATTAAATAGGCAAAAAAAGAATATTTTCTCAAATAAAAATTATTATTTTCCCAAATAAAATGACAAAAAAATCAAAATAACCAAATATTGAATGAAAAAATAAAAAAAAAGAATATTTTCTCAAGTAAATTTTGAAAACGAATCATATTTTGTAAAAAAAAATAATCAAAAAAATTCCCAAGTAAAATAACGCATATAAATCTCAATAATCAAATTCTGAAAATAATAATAAAAATTAAATATTTTCCCAAGTAAAATTGCAAAATAATCAAACGTAAAAAATTATCAAAGAATAATTTTTTTTTTTTTCAAAGTAAAGTTGAAAAAATTTAAATTTTGAATAAAAAATAATCAATTTTTAATGAAATATTAAGAAAAAATCAAAAAATATTTTAAAAAAATCAAATCTTAATTAAATATTCAGAAAATAATCAGAATTTTGTATGAAATAATCAAAATTTGAGCAACAATCAGAAATAATCGAAAAAATGATTGAATAATCACAAAGTCAATGGTCTCAACTTGCGAGTGACTTTCCCCTTGTTTTCACTGCTTATGGTGAAAACACAGCCTTTTGCTCATACCATCTCGGCTCGGTCCCGTCAGATTCCCTTCAGAATTTTGGTCTGCAGATCAACTTTTGGCGCCTTCACACAATCTGATTTTCTCCACAATTATGGCTCATTCCACTGTGCAACACTTTTCTGCCCTTTTTTGAAGTGTGGATTTTCTGATTCCTTGAGTCATCAGCTTTTCAACGGTACCTTCCTTTTTTCTCTAGACCCTCAAGTTTTCCTTTTAGAGCCTATTTTCCATTTTCCACTATTTTCACCCACTTTGCCGCACTTATGTGCTCATATCTCGCCCAATTTTCCACTGATTTTCCTCAAAATAGGCTCAAATGATAGCTATTGAAATTACCTACTACTTTGTAAAACATTGTGAGTGTTTTAGATCACTCCTTGTTGGTCAAAAATGATCTTTTGTGAACCACTAGGTAAAAAATTCACCGGGTTTTTTACCACTTTTTTCTAAATATCTCCGAAACGAAGAAACTTTTATGTTGGATTATTTTTCCTATGTGTAGAACACTTCAGGGGATGCATTTCCCTCATACATGCCGAAGTGATATTTCTTCTCTATCTGCTGGAAAAACGAGGTTTTTCCTCGACAAGTTTTGCTTTTTTATGCTACGCGCTAAAAAATTGCGCTAAAAAATTGAAAGAAGGTAGATTTTGCTGTTTACGCACTCATTTAGATAATGATAATGCTTAGATGTTAAAACAAAAGAGAAATAAGGCCAATATCTCGACTTTTTAGCTATTTTACGTGGATTTTTTGTGTTTTTTATGGAGTTGTTATCCATTAAGACAACAAGTCAAACTCAAATTCAGCGCGGGTTGCCCAACGTGAAATCTGCAGCCACACACTTGACATAAAAATGTCGTGAGCAGGAAGGAAAATATACGATTCGCGTGGGGAAGAAAGAGACGTTCGTGAACAAATTACAAATGACAAATGCTGTGTTTTCACTGCTTAGAAACCCTTAAAACAGGATAAATGCTACAGTGCGAATGCATTTGATAGTGAAAGCATTTATTAGTTGATTTCCATCTCAATATACTTCAATTAAAATTCCCTCAAATTAGCATACACAAGTCTCTCTCCCTCAGTTACTGCACTCGAAGATTTCTTGCTCTCTGTAACATATGTTGTCGGATCGGCGATGGAGTGTTGCAGGGCCGGGTGAGGTCTAGTTGCGCTTCTTGCCCTCGCACGTGGCCGACTGTGGCAGGTCGCACTGGAAGCGCGGGGCGTTCCAGTGGTAGTTGCTGGGGCAGCTCATGATGAAGGGCGATCCACCGATGCAGATGTAGTACTTGGAGCAGTCCTCGGGATAGGGGAAGAACTTCTGGTCACCTGTGCAGTCTGGCAGGGGTTCATCCTCGTCGGGCTCCTCGAAATCGGGCACATCCTCGACGTTGTTGTCACCCTTCTCGTAGCAGAAGGCATTTCCAGGGAAGTCACACTGGTTGTTGATGTAGTCCCAGTGGACACCGGGCGCACAGTGGTGCTGGTAGGGAATTCCATTGGCGCAGATGTAGTATTTCTCACAGTGTGTCGTATCGGCGATGAAGTACACACTATCGTAGCCGTAGCAGCGAATTGGACTGCCGTTGTTTGGAGGGATCTGTCGAGAGCAAGAGAATGGGATTTATGACAATTTCCCCGAAAGCACAGCGTCCGGACGTACACTAGGACTCTCTCCGCACTGCACTTGATGGGCCCAATTGCACACCCTCAGACGGGGATCGTAGCGAAGTCCTCCGTGGCACTTCTTCACCGACGTCTTGCCGTGATCGCACACGATGAAGGATGTGCAATCGAAGGGATCGGCCAGCATTGTTCCGTGAGCCTCGTGTGTGCACACCGCGGTGAACAACTCCATCTTCCGTTCCAGCGTCATAGGTTCTGGCGCTTGGGAAGCTTGGCCCAGCGCCAGGAGGACGCAAAGTGCGCCAAAGCGTAGCATCTCGATCAACTGTGGTTTCTTTCTTGCACAAAAGACTCAAGGCACTGTCAAAGCACTGTTGAACTAAATTGCTGAGATGCGCCCTTCTCACGTGGCCTTTATACGTCTCCCCAGACAGCCCGAGAGCTGCCCCAGACGCTATATGCTATCAGTATCAACCTTGACAGAGAAAATGAAAGCAAACATGCCGATTTTTAAAAGCATTTTCGCGGATTTTTCACCACGATAACCATCGCGCATTCTAGTGATAGCGTCACCAATAGTGCTCTGCCATCGGAAGTATTTTTTTTATGAAGATCAATGGAAGCACTTTGCGTCATCTTTTCTTCCTTGATTGCTGTGTGTTTGGGTGCGGAAGAATTTCGCCACAATCGCAGCAAAATACGCAAAAGTCAAGGAATGTTGAGTGCACTTTGAGTGTACATTACGCTATTTTGGGAAGAAGATAAGAATTTCAACCACCCAATAATTGAAGAAATACATGAAAATTCAATAATTTTCCAAGATAATTATAATAGCCGCAATAGACACCAGTTTTCTTGAACGCCATTATATTTATTCTGCCTCTTACTATATACAACGCCCCTGGTGGCCAACATTCCCAACACCCTTCCCTCCTTAATAAATTCTGATTCCAATTTAATTCATTTCTAATTGAGATTTAAAATTAATGAAGAATAGCTATGATTACACTTATTTATTACAAAAATAGCTAAAAAGTCGAGATATTGGCCTTTTTTCTCTTTTGTTTTAACATCTAAGCATTATCATCATCAAAATGAGTGCGTAAACAGCAAAATATACCTTCTTTCAATTTTTTAGCGGGTGCGCGTTGTATAAAAAAGCAAAACTTGTCGAGGAAAAACCTCGTTTTTCCGGCAGATAGAGAAGAAATATCACTTCAGCATGTATGCGGGGAAATGCATCCCCTGAAGTGCTCTAAACACAGGAAAAATAATCCAACATAAAAGTTTCTTCGTTTCGGAGATATTTAGAAAAAAGTGGTAAAAAAAACCGGCGAATTTTTTACCTAGTGGTTCACAAAAGATCATTTTTGACCAACAAGGAGTGATCTAAAACACTCACAATGTTTTACAAAGTAGTAGGTAATTTCAATATCTATGTTTTGAGCCTAATTTGAGGAAAATCAGTGGAAAATTGAGCGAGATATGAGCACATAAGTGCGGCAAAGTGGGTGAAAATAGGGGAAAATGGAAAATAGGCTCTAAAAGGAAAACTTGAGGGTCTAGGGAAAAAAGGAAGGTACCGTTGAAAAGCTGATGACTCAAGGAATCAGAAAATCCACACTTCAAAAAAGGGCAGAAAAGTGTTGCACAGTGTTATTCAATCATTTTTTCGATTATTTCTGATTGTTGCTCAAATTTTGATTATTTCATACAAAATTCTGATTATTTTCTGAATATTTAATTAAGATTTGATTTTTTTTTTAAAATATTTTTTGATTTTTTCTTAATATTTCATTAAAAATTGATTATTTTTTATTCAAAATTTGAATTTTTTCAACTTTACTTTGAAAAAAAAAAATTATTCTTTGATAATTTTTTACGTTTGATTATTTTGCAATTTTACTTGGGAAAATATTTAATTTTTATTATTATTTTCAGAATTTGATTATTGAGATATTAGGGGTAAGTGGGGCAGCTTCAGATTCAAAATGCTGTTCCAACTTTAGGATTTTTTCTTGAAAAATCGGCTGAATATATTGAAATGATCACAACGCTCAAATAAACTCTCGTCTATTGAGCTTCAGAAAATGCCTTTCATTGGGCATTAAAACTGATCCTTTTTCCTCTAAAGGAGAATGAAAATAATATTGCAATTTATCTGAAACTGCCCCGCACGGGGATGTTTCGGATTGCTCTGGGGCAGTTTCAGATTTTCACTTATATTTACCATAAATTCCATTGTGGAATTGTGAATCGCGGGCAAATGATCACTTTGATATCTCTTCTACGCACTGACACTGTTTAATTCCCTAAAAATCGCCTTTAAAGTAATATTTTCGCGACTTTTCTGGACCCTTGCACGGACTGTCAAAATGTCTGAGCGAAAAGCAAGTTGCCCGTCATTTTTCCTGTGTCGCAACGCCACCATGCGTGAGTGGTGGCAACTTCAGTGCCACCACAAATCAAATCAGTGCAAATCAGTGTTTTTCGCGTGTATTTTCTCACTTTTCCACTAAGAAGTCGTTTAACGTGATGAAGCAATGCAGCACAGAACGGCACTTTGTGAAAAATCTTCAATATTTGCCACAAGAAAATTTCGACCGTGATGTTGCGTCATTCTGTCAGAGCGCGCTGTTGTCAGTCCGTGGCGATCCGAAACTGCCCCGTGTGCAGTGTTTGTGCATTTTCCACCACCCACTGAAAAGGCCGTGCCAAGGAGGAAAAGTTCGGGCACATTTAGAATCTCTACTTAACTCTCAATAACCTTTGATTGTGTTTCACGCGAATTGTGGCTTTTTTAATGGAGAAAACACGCAATCAATTCGGCAGCAAAATTCTAGTTTGTGAGTGATTTTCAATTTTCACTTATTTTATCTAAACAGTAAAGGCAATCCTGTGCAAATTTTCGTCAATTGTAGTCCTTAAGGACTACAAACATTGTGTGAAGACCAGGAATTTATTCATGTAAAAATCTCTGAGAAAATTAAGAAATCTGAACTGCCCCAATCTGAAGCTGCCCCATTTACCCCTATGCGTAATTTTACTTGGGAATTTTTTTTGATTATTTTTTTTTACAAAATATGATTCATTTTCAAAATTTACTTGAGAAAATATTCTTTTTTTATATTTTTTCATTCAATATTTGGTTATTTTGATTTTTTGTCATTTTATTTGGGAAAATAATAATTTTTATTTGAGAAAATATTCTTTTTTTTTGCCTATTTAATACAGTATTTGCTTATTTTGATTTATTTTTGTGATTTAACTCGGGAAAATAATCTTTTTTGATTATTTATTCAATATTAGATTTTTTTTCTTCAATTTTAGTTGAGAAAATAATCATTTTTGGGTTTTTTTAAATCATTTAAATCATAATTTGATTATTTTGATTTATTTTCTCCAATTTTATTTGGGAAAATAATCATTTTTTGATTATTTTACTCAAATAATCGATTATTTGATTAGAGAACATTAAGTTTCCTCAAAAATCGCCCTGTGATTTGCCCCTTGAGTGAAAATCAAGTTTTTTTTTCTCGGAAAAATATATTCTAACAATTCTACACACTTCCGCCTCTGCTCACTGTACTTCCAGGACATCTGATGGATCATCAGAGAGTAAGAAGCGCTGATCTTTGGGCGCTCTGTAGTTGAACTGATCAATTCTTGGGTGTTTCTTCACGATATTGTGAAAAGCATCCGCCAATCTAAGACATTCCTCAACGGAGAGCTGAAAGGAGCGCAGTGTGGGATCAAGATCAGCCTCCCTGAATACCTGCTCCGTCAGCTGCTCCCTCACGTCCTCCGGAAAGAGATTGCCGATGCCACGACGGATGTACTTCTGTCTCATCGAGAAGATGTGCCGCACGACTTTCTCCACCAGATCGAAAGGTAGCTGAGTCTTGGGCACCTTCAGTGGCACAATCGTCACCACGGCCACATTGACATCTGGTGGGGGCACGAAAGCGCGCCCCGGGATGATGAACTTGAGGAAGGGCACCGTCCAAATCTGTGACATCACTGACAATCTGCAGCGCTGGTTGTCTAGTATGGGCGCTGTGATGCGCTCACCCACTTCCTGCTGGAACGTGAGAGTCATGCCAGCACGCCCGGACGCCCAGGCGCCCCTCCTGAGGCTCACATCCTTGAGCCAGTTGATGAGGAGTCGCGTCGAGATGGCGAACGGGAGGTTTCCGATGAGATGAATCGGTGCTCTCGCGCCCTCCCACTCTGTGACCGGAACATCTGCGAATGCCAACTCTGTGGGATACTTCAGGATGTCATCGCGCACGATACTGACTTCAACATGTCCCTGGGTAGCCTCCTGAAGCAACTCCAGTGTCGGCAGAAAGCGCCTGTCCTTCTCCACCAACACCAGCCGCTTCGGACACCTCCGTATGATAGATCTGGTGATTCCTCCGGGTCCTGGACCCACTTCCAACACAGTGTTACCATCAAGCTTCCCCGCTGCCCTCACAATCTTGTCCGAGAGACGCTCGTCCATGAGAAAGTTCTGCGAGAGCTGCTTTATTGCCTGCAAGCGATACAGCTTCACCAAGTCCCGGATTGTGGGCAGTGGCGGAAGGCGTAGGACTCTCTTAGCAGCTACAGACATGACTAGTTCTCCTTCAGCACCTTCGCTGGCTCCTCGAAATCGTCCAGGAACTTCTCCTGCTTCACAGCGAGCATGGAATAGGCGTAGATGGCAATGCACGTGCCTCCGAGACTCAGTGCCGTGATGAGGTTGTTCTTGCGTGTCTTTTTCAACTTCTGCACTCTCTCGAGGTTCTGCTGCTCAATCAATCGCATAAAATCCACTTGGGTCGGCCTCAGTTGCCTCTTTGGGTCGGAGTATTTCACCTTTGGCTGCTCACCAGACATGGTTATGGTCACGACTGCCCGCAACCCGGCTGGCGTGATTCCCATTATCATTGCAGTACTCGCAATTTGGGACGAAAGACGCGCGCGCTATTGAAGGTTGAAAAACAGTAAAACTCTTGATTTTACACAACTGATTTCACAATAAATAAAATAAGACATCGCATGAATTGTGTAAAATGTATAATAATTGATAATCTCCCCAAAATTCATAGCAAATTGAATGAATGAATGAATGAATAGTGGGTTTATTGTGACTTAGCATGAGAGCATTGAGTAGCATTATACAGTTGCTTGTCTTATTTATATAACAGTTTTGAATTTGTCTTTCTTAACAGTTTTTCCTTCTTCACTGTATCTAATTTTAACAGTCTTGTAAGCAGTAGCGTTTTACAGTATACATTAGGAAATATTCAATAGATTTATGCGGGGACAATCTACCTGCCCAAAACATTCCTTGATTTTTCGTTCCTCTTCCTGTTTTTACGGCTTATTTTCTTCGAGATTTTTAGAAAACAGAGCCAAAGGCTCTCTATCTACGATGAACTTAACACACCCTAACACCCCGAACAGACTGGGCTTTTTACATTGATTACACGAGCCCGGGACTTTTTTACGCCCTTGATGCAGATGGATTGGACGCAGCGGATAGCGAAATCATTGGACGGATTGGCGGACTATCCGATGTTGGATGTTTTTTGGACGATGTAGAAGTATCATGCTGATTTATGAATGATGTTGAGGTGCTGACGCGATCATATTCAATCGATGATGACCTTCTTTGATCCATTTGTTCCTGATAATCGATTGAAACTGGCGGAGAAAACGCACTGGAGGAATTGAATAATAAGATGAATCGTCCAGATTCAATTCAACGTCGCTCATTTTAGCCTTTTTAGCCAAGTTCCGTGAATTCTTCGACGTTCCTGGTATCGCGTGGTCAAAAACTCTGTCCGGAAGATCTGCAAATTCTTCCAGCATCTTGTCTAGCTTCACTCTTTTCTTCGCCTTCCGATTTCGTGTCGGTTTTCACGCCAAAAGAGGTCTTGAGGAAGTCACAGTGGCGGAACCATTTCCAGACCTTCGGCTTCACTTCTTTTGGGTGATTCTCGACATCTTCGAGGTCTTCAGCTCCATCGCCGCTGCGTCCAGTGATTTTGGTTTTGATGCGCAACGTTCTCATTGTCTCATTGTATTTCTTTTTTATATACTTTATTTGTTTTTTTAGAAATTCCTTAGAGACTTTGAGCTCCTCAGCCACGCGCTGGATGGTTTTCTCCCGATCCAGCCTGTAGTTCTTCTGACTAATATCATGAAGAACTACATTATCTCTCATTGCGTATAGATTGGATAAATTGTTTCCATTATAGACTTGAATTTTTCGATCGGAAAGAAATTTGCTTATGAAGTTCAACATTTTTCCTTTGATTTCAATTTTTATAAGTTCTCTTAAGATTCCAGTCTTCCAAACTTGATCATATGCCTTGCTTATATCAAAAAATATGGCATAGAGATGTTTTTTTTTTATTTTTGAATGCAACATGGATATCGTTAGTCAATTGAATTAAATTATCATTAGTAGTTCTGCCTCGTCTAAAGCCTGCTTGAAATTGAGATAAAATTTTGTATTCTTCTAGGTAGAAAATTAGTCGCTTATTTATAATTCTTTCGAGAATTTTTGATAGACAAGAAGTTCTTGAAATTGGTTCGGTAATTGGATGGATCTGAGTTACATTTACCAGGCTTTCAAAATTGGTTTAACCCAAGCAGTTTTCCAAGATTCTGGGAAATACGCTCCATCATATATTTCATTATATGTTTGAAGCAGAATATCCAGACCCTTTTCACTTAGATTTTTAATAAAGGCATAATGAATTTCATCTGGTCCCGGAAAGGATCCTGATACTTCCTTGATGACATTCTTCAGTTCTTGTATGGTGATTTCCTGGTTATATATGTTATATTGAGATCATTATTTGTTTGATGAGGAAGTGTGAAATTATTTTCTATTAGAGTTTTGGTAAGTTTAAACTCACTATTGTAGTAATTGTCAGAAGAATTCAGGGAGAAAGTTTGGGCAAAAATATTGGCTATTTCTTTAGAGTTGTCAATTATGTTACCATTGATTTTGAGTATTTTAACTTCATTCTGGTTTATTTTTCTATTAAATATATTGATTTTATTCCAGATTTCTTTCAAACTAGTTTCGCTATTAATTGAGGATATGTACTTGTCAAAATTATCCCTCCTGGAGCTTCGTAACAATTTTTGGATTTCTGCTTTGAGTTCTTTGTATTTTGCTAAGGTGGTCGAATTTTGTGTTCTCCTAAATGATCTATAAAGTCTTTTCCTTGTTTTTATTTTCATACGAAGTTCTTTAGTCAACCATGGTAGAGGTTTCTTAATTGATGGTTTTGATTTAGGACAGTTATTATTGGCAATATTGATTAGTTGGGTGCAAAATTGTTGATATGTATTTTTAAAGGAATCTTGGTCAATATTTATAAGGTAGGAGTCTGTGTAAAATTTTTCCCAATTGCACTTATCAAGTTTCCAATTAGGGAGTTTGGAGTCGGCATTCTGGAGGGAATTGAAATTTAATAAAAGAGGTATGTGATCACTACTAAGAGGTTTTTCGTAAGTTTGAAAATTTATAAGGTTTGCTAACGAAGCTGAACAGAGAGCAATATCTATGCAAGATGTTTTCCCATTGTGCCATATATTGGTTGGTTCGCCATTATTCAATACTACTAAATCATGGTCGTATATTAATTTTTCTAATTTATCGCCTCGACTATCAGAAGTTTGATCACCCCAGATAGGATTTTTGGCGTTAAAATCTCCTACTATTAAAAATGGTTGAGGAAGTCTTAATATAAGACCCTCCAGACTTTTGATAATTTCTCTATTATATTGAGGTGGTAAATAAATTGTACATAGATAAAAGGTTGTAGGACTGTTGAGCTTAATAACAATGACTTGCAAAGGGCAATTGGTATTAATTAGTTCATATTCAAATTCTTCTTTAACAGCTATAAGGACGCCTCCACTGCTTATATTTCCATCATAATAATTCTTGTGTTCGATATTGTAATTTTTGAGAATAGGATAATTAAAATCATTTAATCTAGTTTCTTGAATACAAATAAAATTTGGTTCGAGTTCATTGATAAGTATTTTTAAATCTTCATTAATGTTTATAAAATCCATTTATATTCCAATTAAGGAGATTGTATTGCTTTACTTTATTTCCGAAAACTAACATTGTCCCTGTTTGGGTCAATGTTTTGTAAATCGGACAAAGGTTCATCTTCTGACATGCTTTCATCTTCATTATTTGAGCTGGGCAAGACCCTCTGGTTATTATCTTGTTGAGTATTGTTGGTATTATTTACTGTTCTTATGTTGTTTTTTGGTACGCAGCAAAATTTAACACACATCCGTTCAGTATGCCAACCCAGTAGCCGCAAATTGAATTGGTTGGCAAGCTGGCTCACCGGGTTGCTGCACTGGCTGTCCAACTGGCATGCTAGTGTCCCAAATCTACCGTCTCCTTCGCACAGAGTGCTCAGTCTCAGCTGTTTTGCGTAGTTTGTTTTTATTTCGCTCGCCATTCCAGCGAGAGTGCACGCAAAGGCGCTTCAAGAGGATTTCCCAGACACTTTTCTCACCATCCCAATGGCCATATTGGAGTGTGTGGCGTGAATTTAGGTGGAAAAGTGTCTGCTGGTGCGATTGTGAGTGCAAAGGCTGTGTTCAAGTGTCGTGAAGAGTGAACAAAGGAAGTTACAAGTGGCACTGTGCGATTTTCTTTGTTGTGTTCAACTCGTCCCCCTTTCGCCCAATCATCTCCAGTGTTTGTGTTCACAATCCGTCTGTCTTCTTGGCCAGAAGTGCGACGAGGGGATTTCGATAGGGATTCGATTTGGAGGAGAGTGTCTCTGAACAAGCTGTGAAATGCCCTTTTACTCGAAAGACTGGCGAGATCCAGGCGAGGCTTGGGTGAAAACGGACGAAGGATGGGAAAAGCTGAAGGTGCTGGAGTGTGGCAAGCGGAAAAGGTGAGCCAGAGACCTTAAAATGGCACACACATAAGTCATCCACATTGGCGAAAAAGCCACACTTTCACTGGCAGTCGCAGAAAAGTGCCTCCGTGGCGCTGGAGAGTGTCCGAAGCGCGCCTTTGTTCGAAAAAATCGAAGCAGGCTCTGAGCTGAGGACCACTTTTTAGGACAAGGTTACGCTCAGATTCCTCACGAAGAGAGGCGAACAAAACAGAAATGTCCTCAAGCGAAACTTTGCACATATGTCGCAAGAGTTCAACTTGCGAATGGTATTAAATAACTGCGATTGCATTTTCATCGTTCAGTTGCATAATATAAAATAAACAATTCTCAAACACTCTCTTCTCATCGCGAGCTCTAGATTTCCGTAATATTTAATCAGTGAAAGGTCACATTTGACAAAGCGTGAATCTGCTTTTCTTCTCCCCCTTGTTTTTTTTTTTCACTCTCAGCTGTGTGGAATTTTTGAGCCACAGAGAAAAGTTGTGTGTCTTATATATTTTGCTGTGAAGGTGGAAAAGTGAAATAAATAAGAAAATAAAGAAGAAATTCCAACTTTTATATAATTGCTCAAGAAGCGTAACAAATTTTTTTTTTTACTCCATCTTATTTATATATTATGCACACAGTGATTTGCAATGGTAAAAATGATGACAGTCTTTAGATTTGCGCAAATAAAATGGAAAATTATTCAAGGAAGTGTCGAAATAAAATGGGTCAAATTTTGCATTTAGATAGAAAATCACATTTTCAGATCTAAATTTAAGTTTTCTAGCCTAAGAAATATTGGTTTACGATTTTTTTTAATTACCATTTTGAAGATTTTCAACCAATTAATTTCACAATTGATTTGTTTTTGCCATCAGCAAAGCGATTTCAAGATTTCGCTTCAATATTGCTGCAAAATTTGCCAAATTTATCTTAAAAAGCCTTCAAATCGTCCGTTAAAGTGTAAATATTGCAAAGTATTTATTATTTTGTAAATATTTTAGCTGATTTTATCGACATTTATTAGAATTTTTGACTAAAATATAGCAAAATTAAAGGAAAATCTGAAAATATTAATTTTCAAAGTCGATTTTTAATGGTTTTTGAGTCGATTTTATACAAAAAATCAACTTTTCATACTTCAATTCAAGTTTTCTTTAAAGTTTTTCAAGTGAAAAAATTAAAAAGATATGAAAAATATTCATTTAAAGTCTTGAAAAACATTTTAGAATAATTCTGAACATCTCAAATTATTTTCTGAATGCGTTTCAGTGCAATTTTTGAGACATTTTTCTTGGCATAAAATAATTAATATTTGACTCTTTTTTCCCATTTGTGCTTTTGAGATAAAAAAGAATTTTTTCTATTGTCTCATAAGATACAAATCTTAAAATTCTTGTACAGAAAGAACAAATAAAAAGCTTTTCAAAAATAACATAAGACGAAAACTATAATAAATCGACTTTTCATAGTTTTCCATTCACCCATCGATATATAAATTTCTCCATTTCACTTAAGAAGAGGAAATGTTAGCGTAATTGCTCATAAATTTTATGGTAGATTTCTCAATGTCTGGATATTTTCTCAATTACAACCGCAAAAATGTCTATATATAATTGCCTTTAAGAGGAAAAAGTGTAATTTCAAAAAAGAAGATCAAATTTATTGGCATTTTTATTGCTGATTTTCACACACCATCAGCAAAAGCTATAAGCAAATAAAGTTGATTTTCTCTTTCACAAAATGATCAGAGTGTTTAATGGATGTTTTCCTTGATTTAATTTAAATATTAAAAATAGCCTTGATGAGCTTCTCTCTTCTCACCCTCTCAATTCATGGCAATGTGCAGGAGATTCTATTTTTGTCCTGTTCTCACCGACAGATGCAGCAGCGAGTGCAGCAACTCATCAGAAGTGTGCGACACAGAGAATTGGTGAGTTGGATCTTACGTTGGTAATTTAATTAAGGCATAAATTATTTGGGCCATTTTTACTTTTTGATGCAAAAATTCCATATTTTCATTGATTCATCAAAATTGTCCAGAAATGTCACTCAACGATGTCCAATACGAACTTTACACAAAACCAAGGTAACTAAGGTGTTTTCTAAGACACTTGATTGATCCTTGAACACCATTTACCACATTATGGAACCCTTGAATGCTAAATAATATGCAAACGTAATTAGAACCATTTTCCTGCCATGCATCGATAAGAAATTACAGATTTTCTGGACATTATAATAAGAAATTGACTAAAAATCAACACTTTCTTAAGAGTAAAATGCTGTAATTTTCACATCTACATGATTGTTCCTAGGCGATTAACTTAACCTCTTATTCCAAAACTTCATAGAAAACCTGTGAACAAGATTTGGTCTGCGCTTGAGCGGGAGAAATGAAGAAATGATGAGAAAAGCGTTAAACATTAGCTAAAAACATACAAAAAGCAATTTAACAAGTGCAAATCAAGGCGTTCTATAATGTAAATGTCTTCTAAACATTCCAAACTCATGATTTAATGTGGTTATCCCAGTAATTTTCATGTTTTTTACAAGGATTTAGAGCAGGCTAAGCAGTGTCCTAACTTAATTTTCGCTGTTCTTTTGCGCACATTTCTCTGCATTTTGCAATATCTCGGGTTCGAATTGAGATATCGCCATGATCTCAACGCCATTTGAAAGATCATTAAATTCTAATTATCTTTTGTCTTAAGGTAAATGTCTCTAAAATTGAAAGAAATACCGAATTTTGAGCACCAAAAGGAAAAATGGCCACAATTTCATAGGTGTCCTAATCTAATTTTCGCTACTGTATATCACTTTGGGGTGTGTGTATTTTTGGGTGCAGGAGTGAGTCTGAAGCAGAGATTCCACCTCACTGTCACATCACACTCAAGTGCACACGTGAGATCGCTGGATTCAATGCCCTCGGCGAGGCTGTGCGCCGCCTTGACTTCCGGAGTGCCGTGAAGGATCGCAAGCGCTTCCAGTACATCTGTGCACTGCTGCGGATGCTGGTGGCGCACAAGGGCATCGCCAGTCTTCCTGGTGGGGCGCAGCGCCTGCTGCTGCAGATGGTGGAGGAGGTCGCGTGTCACGGTGAGTCCACCTTTTGTCACTTCTTATCACAAATGGACAGATGGCCGATAACAGGTGTCTCATTGGTGGACAATTAAGATTATAGATTTCAGCAGGATGACTCATAATGTGGGGTCATTGTAAAGTGAATGATTCACCACAGTTTGTGCCATGGCAATGAGAGTGAAAAAGCTATTGCAAAAAGCAGTTCTTTTTCCAAGACTTTCAATTAGTTATTTAGTTTAGATTTCCTTTTGACTCTTATTGAGCGATGTAAGGAGGATTTTAGACGATGTTCTAGTCAAAATTTATAGACTTAGGAGTAAGTGGGGCAGTTTCAGATTCAAAATGCTGTTTCAACTTTAGGATTTTTTCTTGAAAAATCAGCTGAATATATTGAAATAATCACAACGCTTAAATAAACTCTCGTCTATTGAGCTTTAGAAAATGCCTTTCATTGGGCATTAAAACTGATCGTTTTTCCTCTAAAGGAGTGTTGCAGCTTGGGAATTACCTTTAAATAAGACGAGGATATTAGAGATCCGAGCCGCTTCGCCGATTCAGAGGAGTCCGTGATATTGATTAATTTAATTATTGCTTGTTTAACACTGAATTAATTACACTCAAATTGACAAGACTAAAACTAACGATGTGATCACTGTGGTGACCAGGAAGAGAGTGAACGATCCCGTTCCCGGGCACGTTTCCGGGAAGATTTGTCCCAACAAGGAGAATGAAAATAATATTGTAATTTATCTGAAAATGCCCCGCACGGGGGCAGTTTCGGATTGCTGTGGGGCAGTTCTAGATTTTCACTTATATTTACCATAAATTCCATTGTGGAATTGTTGAATCGCGGGCAAATGATCACTTTGATATCTATTCTACACACTAAAACTGTTTAATTCCCTAAAAATCGCCTTTAAAGTACTATTTTCGCGACTTTTCTCGACACTTTTGCACGAAATGTCAAAATTTCTGAGCCAAAAGCAAATTGCCCGTCATTTTTCCTGTATCGCAACGCCACCATGCGTGAGTGGTGGCAACTTGACGCAAAATGTGCTTCTCGAAATTTCTGCTCTAATCAGTGATTTTCGCGTATATTTTCTCACTTTTCAACTAAGAAGTCGTTTAACGTGATGAAGCAATGCAGCACAAAACAGCACTTTGTGAAAAACCTTCAATATTTTCCACAAGAATATTTCGACCGTGATGTTGCGTCAGACTGTCAGAGCGCGCTGTTGTCAGTCAGAAAGAATCTATATCTGTCCCATTGGGTGGTTTTTGTGCATTTTCCACCACCCACTGAAAGGGCCGTGCCAAGGAGGAAAAGTTCGGGCATATTTAGAATCTCTACTTAACTCTCAATAACCTTTGATTGTGTTTCACGCGAATTGTGGCTTTTTTAATGGAGAAAACACGCAATCAATTCGGCAGCAAAATTCTCGTCAATTTTCACTTATTTTATCTAAACAGTCAAGGCAAATCCTGTGCAAATTTTCGTCAATTGTAGTCCCTTAAGGACTACAAACTCTGGAAAATCTCTGAGAAAATTAAGAAATCTGAAACTGCCCCATTTACCCCTTTATCCAGGGATTGTGGGAGTGTAAAATTCTTCCCAAGAAATCCTTTAAGGGAATTCAAAAGATGACAAATAGCAGTTATCTTCCCTTTTTCTCTCCAATTCAGTGAGCGATAGTCAGCAGAATCTCAATGTGCTGCGCGCACTGGTGATGCAGCTGCAAGAAATCATCTACCAGGAGAATCAGAAGTGCTGGGGAAAGCCGTTGGGCAGTCAGAGTCTGTGGAAGGGACATGTGGAGACGATTCAGCGTATTCAGCACATTGCCGATGAGATTCGCATCAGTGGTCCAGGGCCTGAAATTCTTCCGAAGCTGCACGATTTGCCGGAGGAGTGCGTGCGTGAGATTCTGCTGCGTCTGTCTGACTACAGAGATCTCGAGGCCTCATCGGCGGCTTGGAGTCTGATGTCCGCCCTGGTGGCGGAGCAGCGTGTCTGGCGTGAGCTGACGTGCTTCCACTTCACGTCTGAGCAGATGCAGGTGTTGCTGGAGAAGGAAGGCTTCCTGCAGGAGGACGGCTCGAAGGATTGGAAGAAGATCTACCACGCTCTGAGGAAGTGAGTGTAACGAGAGAGTGTGTGTGTGTGTGTGTGTTTGTGAGGGAGTAAAGGTGGCCGTGGTGCAGTCGATAGAGAGCCAGACTGAGGACATCACGGTCGTGTGTTCGATCCCCATCACTTGCAAATGATCGAACACAACAGATGCGAATAATATTAAGCCTTTCAATGGCAAATATAAAAATTCCAGCCCAAATAAGGTTGCTGTTAAATGTTCCAACTGAAGTAGAAACTTCTGTGGAAGTGTATTTCGCATCTGTCCTTACTTATAGATGGGCACACTACCAGACTGGTTTTTTTTTTTTTTATTCCCCTCCCCACCATAATAAGTCTGTAGTCGGTGATGACTATATAGACACATAGACACATATATCATAAAAAAATAATAATATAACAGGTACAGCAAACGAACATTTAATAACTATATCACATGAGTCTATCCTGCTACTCGTGACTACGCAGAAAGTTCGTTATACTAATCAGTGGGCTCAGGATGCCTCTCTCCAGGGCCATCGCCAGGATATCCCGCACACACTTGCTCCTGCAAATCGCAGCACAGCTCCTTACTATTTCTTCTCTATTTCGAGCAAATCTCGGACACACAAATAGTATATGATCCACATCCTCATGGGTACTACAGATGTCACACAGGGGGCTCTCCACAATAGCAAATCTAAACAGGTGGCTTTTAAGTCGATAGTGGTTAGCAATTATTCGGTTTATCATTACTATTTTCCATCTACTAAGATTATGCAATTTGTGATACCATGGCTTTTTACTACACTTGGGGATTATTGAGTGACATAATCTACCTCTGGTTTCCACCCTCCAAGCGAACTCCCACTGAATGGATATCATCCTTTCAATTGCGCAGTATGCGTCTTCTATCCTGAGGAATTTTACCTCGTTACTCGGCGCAGTGGCCCCCAGTTTGGCCAGTTCATCCACCCTTTCATTGCCCACAACTCCAACATGCGCCGGCACCCAAACGAAATCCACTGATATTCCCAGCACGCTCAGTTCTTCAACGCATCTAAATATTTCAGTGATCACATCAGGACGATCAGGAGGCCTATAATGCTTCAAGGCCTGTAAGGACGATAATGAGTCGGTCATGATCACGAGTCTAGAGCGATCACAGTCACAATTTATGGCCCAGGTGAGAGCCATTCGGATTAATTAGAGGAGCAGGCACTAATAGCTCGCCATTCACCATGATTCAGCGATTCATCCCAAATCGCGGCTCCGACTCCATTCGCCAATTTTGACCCATCTGTGTATATTACGTGGAAATCCTGGCCTTCGAATCTACATATCGTGTCTCTGGCATACATGCTTCCGTACAGCGCCCACAAATCTTTAGGCACCCTTCTACCAGACTGATGTCGCTTGTAAATAGCGATATCTCGTCTGCAAACACGCCCAAGGCCAAGCTCTGCTAGTCTGTGTGCATTTGACTGGCTCACTTTGAAAGCCTTGCCCCCTCTGAGTGGGAAAAAATCAGAGGATAACCGGGGGGGAGAGGGACGACATAAATAAAATAAGAAGATATTGTTACGATCTAGGGGAGGGGGGTTTCCACACACTCCCTTCAATCGCGCCCGCCACCAGGGGATAGGCACAAAGACGGTTCTTCGGTATGAAGAGGCTTTTATTTCGCGGCTGGTCGATGTACAACAACCTCACACGTGGCGTCTCTTCGGCGCACTCCGGGTCCTGTTGTGAGCCTCACGAGAGGATCCAGCCTTGAATCGGACGAACCGGGTGGCAGCGAGTGAGAACGAGGGGCTGGGGGCAAGGGGCTCAAGAAGCCTCTCGTCGCCACGCCGCCTCCTCTGTTTCTCTTGTCGGATAAACCGCCTTAGCGCCGCGGTTAGCGCGACGTCTTCCTTTCCTCGTCCTCGACGCAGGATCCTCTAGAGTCCTCGAACTCTGTTTCCTTGCGATCCTTGGATAGATGGCACAAAAACGGGCGATTTGCTGGTGGTGTGTCCACCTCCAGAAATCGCAACACACTGACTCTCGCTCGTCGTGACAGGCCTTTAGAAAGACCGTTGCTTAACGGTGGATGTTATTCTGTGAGGGCTAATAAAGCCCCACAGCACAGGAAAACACGTTTTGACGCGTGGTTGCTTAGGGCAAATAATTGAATTGGGAGGGCTTTTGCAAGCCACTGAGCCAATATCAATCTCGCCGCAGAGCGAAGTCACTCAATGCATTCTCCAGCGGCTGTTTATGTGGGGTGCAAAGATGTTGTGGTGACGAATTTTAGTTTCAGTTGTGAAACTCTGTTGAGCAGCCGCTACTACTCCCCCCTCGGATCGTAACAATACAGCGTGGGCACTAATTATAGCTCCACTGTAGGTAGTCTGGGGCAAAAACAAAAAATATCAAATATGGCGTTTGATTGCCTATCCATAGCCAAAACAAAACCCCCAATATGAGGCCCCTCCGCCGGATCCTAGGGATTCTAGGGAACTTTATCACTTTCTGGCCTGGCACTAATTATAGATCCACTTGGGAAATTTCACTATATCTCAGTGAAAAAAAATCGGAAAATTCTGAAAATCATAAGGATCCTTCATTTTGAGCCCAGAAACCATTTACCGTCGCCACACCCCGCCTCGGTCCTCCTTGGACCCCACTGTTAAAGGTCTTTGCCTTGCATAACATGATCACCCAATATGGCTCCTCCGCAATGGGGCGGGGGGCCCAATGCCCATAAACTGCTTCATAGGGCAAGACTGCCTTTTGAGCATAATTGAGCTATCTGACCCCGATACCATCCTTGAATCCTGGCCTTAAGCACTTCTTCCAGGGTCTTTTTCTGCTTCTAAGAGCCCAAACCACCCCAAACCCCGAACCACCCCCAATGAAATGGGACGAAAAGTTCTTATGACACTTCTAGGAAACCCGTGGACCCTAGATCCGGGGGCGGGTAGCGCCTCGGAGGGAGCGCCTTAACGTAGAACGAGAGCCAGTTGAAATTCAATGAAAAACCATACAATTTTAGGTGGTTTTCGAATGGGTCTCATTCCACGGTGTGGCGCTCCCTTCGAGGCGCTACCCATCCCCGGATCGAGGGTCCTCGGGTTTCCTAGAGGTGTCCTAAGAACTTTTCGCCCCATTTCATTGGGCGAAATGACTAGTTAGCTTTGGGTGTCTTGGCCCTTAAATGGGAAAATTTCCTGGGGATGCATAAAAGGGCCCGTCAGATGGCCTTGGATGCCGTGGAGCAAGATTTCTTGTACCATCACCCCCATTTCTAATCTAATCTCTAATCTTGTGAGGGAGTAATTGTGGATTGTCTTGCAGAGCGCATGGTCTTCGGGAGGATCTTCAGTATGCGGAAATACTGTCACTGTGCAGATTCTGTCGGTGCCTCTTCTGGCCTTCGGCCGGGCATCCATGCATCGCCGATCAGTGCCCGGACTTCAGGGCGCGCCTCAAGGAAGCGGGATGCCTGATTGAGTCACAGCCTGTGCCGCCGGCGCAGTTTCTCAAGTACTTCTCGCTGTAATGAGGAACACTTCCAGTGTCCGTCACACCCTCAATAAGTGAAATCCCGGATGGTAGATTTAATTTTACGGGTGTATTTAATTGTTGTGTCCTTCTATAAGTATTAAGACTAGACAGAGAGAGAGAGAGAGAGAGAGAGAGTGTGAGTCAGTCATTCCCTGGAGAGCCGCAAATGCGATGCCGATGGTAAATTTCGACGGGTGAATGGAAAACTATAAAAAGTCTTAAGTATTTTTGAAAAGCTCTTTATTTGTTCTTCCTGTACAAAAATTTTAAGATTTCTATCTTATGAAGCAATAGAAAAAAAATCTTATTTTATCTAAAAAGCACAAATGGAGAAAAAAAATTGTCATGTTTTGCGAATTAAAAGTCAAATTTTCATTGTTTACGCTGAAGAATTTTCTCACAAGAAAAATGTCTCAAAAATTGCAGTCAAACGCATAAAACGCCTTTTCAGAAAATAATTATAGATGTTCAGAATTATTCTAAAATGTTTTTTAGGCTTTAAATGAAATATTTATCATATCTTTTAAATTTTTTCACTTGAAAACATTAAGAAAAAGTTCAATTGAAGTATGAAAAGTTGATTTTTTGTATAAAATCGACTCAAAAACCATTAAAAATTGACTTTGGAAAGTAATATTTTCAGATTTTCTATTAATTTTGCCATATTTTAGTCAAAAATTTCAATAAATACCGATAAAATCAACTAAAATATTCACAAAATAATAAATACAGAGCAATATTTGCATTTTAACGGACGATTTGAAGGCGTTTTGATGGTAAATTTGGCAAATTTCGCAGCGATATTGAAGCCTAAATTTTGAACTCACTTTGCTGAAAAATTGCGTTTTTGACTTTTTCATAGTTTTCGACTCACCCGTCGATTTGCACTTTCATTATAGAAAAAATATATTAATTGATTTTGCCGTCCAAGAAAAAAAAGAAAACGTTTAAGAAATGTCACAATAACACTGATAAATGATTCTAATATACCAAAATTTATCACTGCCAGAAATTATTAAAGATTTCATTGAAGTCTGGATCAACGAAAAGTGTAAGAAAAATATTGTTAATGCTTGTTCGTTAGAAGTGGAATTCTTAAAATCAATGTTGAATAAAATATGGGGAAAAATTGTTAATAGATTGCATGAGAAAATATCAAATTACCTTCTAATTCATCCTTTCTTGACACACAATTTACCGTCGGCACTGCATTAATATTATTTAAGCATGTTTAAGGAGTTTTAAATGGAACTGAAAAACAAAAATGCACTGAAATCAAAAAAAAGGGTGGTTCTGGTTCTCAGACCGTGAGGAAGACAGAAAGACAGAGAGAGAAAAACGGGGTGAAATGGGGACCAAATGCGCCCTAATTGAAGAAGAAAAAAAGGAATTCTCAGCAGATTGCGAGATTAATTGTGGATTAATGAGTTTTAATGAGCTAACATTCACTATATTTCGTCTTTAGATGATATAAGATATTGAAATTCTCAATTATTTGGATCATTCTGAGTGAATCTCAAATGATACACAAACCAACACACAATTTCGTGGGAAAAAATACCTAATTCGTTGTGATAATTGATAAAAAAAGAATGAGTATAAATGTGATAATGTGCAGAAACTCGGTAAAAAAAGGGAATAAAACGTCCCGTGAGACGATTTGAAAGCATAGAAAATATTAAAGAAAGAAAAAAGAACACTCATTGAATCATCTCACGATATTTTATATCATTTTACTCCTCAGAAGAATCAATGAAGAAAATGCTATTTAAATTGTCCTTCAGCTTTTTCTCGAGTCGAATTTTGAGAAGATAAAATAAAGATGACTATAGACCAGCTGCAAATTACTGTTTTTTTTTCTCCAAAATTACTCAAGAATTCAAGGATGACCGGAAAAACAGTCGTAATGCTCAAGACGGAGTACGAGATGAAGATGCAGAGCATGATGAGAACACATACCACAAAATTCCCACTGCGATCGCACGATCCCCACGGAGTCCAGAAGCAATGCTTTTGCCAAAAAAAAACTGAAAGATGACGGGCAGATCAATGAGTTCACACGCATTCACCTGACCACACACAATGCACGAACCCCAAAAATCTATGGACTACCAAAGATCCACAAGCAAGGCGTACCACTGAGACCAATTGTTTCGTGCATAGGGGTAAATGGGGCAGCTTCAGATTGGGGCAGCTTCAGATTTCTTAATTTTCTCAGAGATTTTTACATGAATAAATTCCTGGTCTTCACACAATGTTTGTAGTCCTTAAGGACTACAATTGACGAAAATTTGCACAGGATTGCCTTGACTGTTTAGATAAAATAAGTGAAAATTGAAAATCACTCACAAACTAGAATTTTGCTGCCGAATTGATTGCGTGTTTTCTCCATTAAAAAAGCCACAATTCGCGTGAAACACAATCAAAGGTTATTGAGAGTTAAGTAGAGATTCTAAATATGCCCGAACTTTTCCTCCTTGGCACGGCCTTTTCAGTGGGTGGTGGAAAATGCACAAACACTGCACACGGGGCAGTTTCGGATCGCCACGGACTGACAACAGCGCGCTCTGACAGTCTGACGCAACATCACGGTCGAAATTTTCTTGTGGCAAATATTGAAGATTTTTCACAAAGTGCCGTTCTGTGCTGCATTGCTTCATCACGTTAAACGACTTCTTAGTGGAAAAGTGAGAAAATACACGCGAAAATCACTGATTTGCACTGATTTGATTTGTGGTGGCACTGAAGTTGCCACCACTCACGCATGGTGGCGTTGCGACACAGGAAAAATGACGGGCAACTTGCTTTTCGCTCAGACATTTTGACAGTGCGTGCAAGGGTCCAGAAAAGTCGCGAAAATATTACTTTAAAGGCGATTTTTAGGGAATCAAACAGTATCAGTGCGTAGAAGAGATATCAAAGTGATTATTTACCTGCGATTCAACAATTCCACAATGGAATTTATGGTAAATATCAGTGAAAATCTGAAGCTGCCCCAGAGCAATCCGAAACATCCCCGTGCGGGGCAGTTTCAGATAAATTGCAATATTATTTTTAATCTCCTTTAGAGGAAAAAGGATCAGTTTTAATGCCCAATGAAAGGCATTTTCTAAAGCTCAATAGACGAGAGTTTATTTGAGCGTTGTGATCATTTCAATATATTCAGCCGATTTTTCAAGAAAAAATCCTAAAGTTGGAACAGCATTTTGAATCTGAAGCTGCCCCACTTACCCCTAAACTCTCCAACAGTCCTGTGCTGACGATCGATCGGAATAGTCGAGATCACACAAGTAATTTTTTTCTGGCTAAAGTAAATTAGTCAGTAAAAATGCAGTTTTGTCAGGAAAAATGCAGTTTTGCCAGTAAAAAAAATCAATTTTGCCAGTCAAAAAATCAATTTTGCCAGTCAAAAAATCAATTTTGCCAGTCAAAAAATCAATTTTGCCAGTCAAAAAATCAATTTTGCCAGTCAAAAAATCAATTTTGCCAGTCAAAAAATCAATTTTGCCAGTAAAAAATCAATTTTGCCAATAAAAATGCAGTTTTCCCAGTAAAAAAATCAATTTTGCCAGTAAAAAAAAAACCAATTTTGTCAGTAAAAAATTATTTTTGCCAGTAAAAAAAATCATTTTGCCAGAAAATATAAATTTTTCCAGTAAAAAAAATTCAATTTTGCCAGTTAAAAAATCAGTTTGATCAGTAAAAAAGTTTTTTTTTGTTGTCAGTAAAGCAATTAAGTTTAGTCAGTAAAATATTGACTTTGATCTGATCAAAACGATTTTTTTACTGACTGAACGGTTTTTGTCCATTTTTCCACGCTTGAATTTAATAATTCTCCTAACTTTCACAGATAAAACGCACTTCAAAGACAACTACTCCCAACATAAATACTACTGATAACATTACACGTTCAACATCAAACGAATTTACAAACAAATTAAATAATTATTGATGATCTTAATCATGAGATCACCCCCAAACCCCCTGATGCTCAACTCACAAACCATCCGAACTCTGACGACGACATTGAAATGCACAAATAGCCAGACATCTATTATAATTGTTTAGAGTCATAGCGACTCTTTTTTTTTAAGTCTCATTATGAATTGTACAACTAAAAATTACTCAATTATTTCCTTTAAGAATTACTAACAAAGATAACAATTCTTCATCTTATATGATTCCTTGCTCTTTCATGCAATGGAAATAACATGGTCTTTGGCCTGGTATTCGTTAATAATTTAACAGATACACAGCATATCTTGTAAAGAAATCCTTATCAGAGTGCACTAAACTAGAAAAGACAAGAATTTACATTTTTGGGAAACATAATGTTCCAAAATCACTGAATTATTCAAAGAAGGATGCGAGTAAAAAATTGAAATACTTAAATGAAATAGATCTAAGACTCATGAAATTGTACGGTGCGATATGAAGACAAGTACCTAATTAAATTTGAATAAATAATAATAATAAGAACCATCAGAGTACCCGAAGGATATGTTGATGATTAGCCTGGACGTGGTGGCATTGTTTCCCAACATCCCTCGCCAGTTAGCGCACTGCAGATAGTGGAAGAAATGTGGACGCAGATCAGCAATCACACCACCATAGAGAAGTCCCTGTTCGTCAATCTGCTGAAATTCTGCCTAGAGGCGAGCCACTTTGTATACAGAGGATGAACATTACATTCAGATAGATGGCATGCCGATGGGAGGACCATTATCACCAATAATTGCGGATCTGGTGATGGATCGTGCGATCACCAGCATATTGGCCTCCTTGGAAATTGAAATATTTTGTCTCACGAAATACGTGGACGACATATTAGATAGATAGATAGATAGATATTTAATGCGACAATAGGACAAGGTGTCCTCTCGGATACAAATGAAGTTATACAAAGAGGTTCTAAGTGCAAACTTATATGCGAGGAGCTGTGACGGTACTTTGGACAACATGTTCCAAAGGACAATTCCCTCAACAAAGAGTGAATTGTGGAGAATGCGACTCCTCGATCTCGGCACACTGAGAGAGGAAGACCCCTGACAGACGATCCGGCAGCCAAGAGCTCCACAAGATATCCAGGCCGGCCCATAAAAAGTAGCCGCGAAATAAAATCGACGGCTCTATCTTCAATGTAGCTCAAGACTGGCGTGCCCAGTATCGTGCTCTCATAGGGAGATACATGATCAAATCTCCGCAAATCATGGACATATCTCAGACAGGAATTAAATGCCTTTTTCAAGCGATCACGGGTCTCCATGCTAGCGCAGAAGAAGAGCTCCGCTCCATAGGTGAAAAAGGGAACTATAAGCGCTCGGACCAACAGGAGTCTGAGTGCCACTGGGTGTGAGATATTGGAGGTGCCGCAACGTACGCAATGTAAGAAAGACCTTCCTGCAGATCTCAGAGACATGGTCACTGATCAAGTCAGTGAACTATTGAAAATGACGCCCAAATTCTTGACTCGATCAGAGAAAGGAATGACTTCATCCGAGAGATAAAGCGGAGATGGGACAGGACGTCTACTAGGCGCATGAACGATTAGGGCCTGCGACTTTTTGGGATTGAGAGCAAGGCCATCATCATTTTTTCTCCCTCTTCACACAAACAACAGTTTAATTCTATCATTCTCTTTATTCTGTTTCACAATTATCTGTTTTTTATATAGTAAAATTATGTTCTTGTACAGCTTGAGATGCCGTATCATCATTGTTGTGTTGACAGCTTGAAATTCATTCATTTTATTATTATTATAATTGATATAAAAGAAAATTATACATCAAATTCTCATTAGTTGTCATCCCTTTACATTGTGATGGCAAAACACGATTTTAATATAAAATCCACACGCGAAAAGTTCAACCGCATGAGAAACATTTTGGACCCACACACACTCACACACCCATCCAAAGTGCCCAACAAGAGCTCAAAAGACTACCTGAATCGTTTTGCAGAGTGAATGAATGCAGCACAATGATTTGAAGGAGGAAAAATATAAAAAACTCTCTATAAGAAACTTCTAGCGTCCGCAACTGTGGCGGGTCCGCACGTGGAAAAATCAGTAGTAATAGTAATACGGGTCCATCTCGTCTCAGTAGGGCGCATAGCGATGTGTGGGTGACGGTCCTCTCATGCCCGGACGTCGATCGTCGAAAGAGTCGCGGCTGAAGTCCTCGTAGATTCTGCAGAAAGAAACACATTAATCACTAACAACAACTATTCCAAAACGACGGGTGCCTCGAAAACTATAAAAAGTCAAAATCGCCATTTTTCAGCAAAGCGAGTTCAAAATTTTGCATTAAAACAGCTGCGAAATTTGCCAAATTTACTTCAAAATACTCAAAATGCCTTCAAATCGTTCGTTAAAGTGAAAATATTGCTCTGTATTTTTTATTTTGTAAATGTTTTATTGGTATTTATTGAAATTTTTGACTAAAATGTGGCAAAATTAATAGAAAATCTGAAAATATTACTTTTCAAAGTCAATTTTTAATGGTTTTTGAGTCGATTTTATACTAAAAATCAACTTTTCATACTTCAATTGAACTTTTCCTTAATGTTTTCAAGTGAAAAAATTTAAAAGATATGAAAAATATTTCATTTAAAGTCCAAAAAAACATTTTAGGATAATTCTGAAAATCTGCAAATATCAAGGGGACAATCACTCACGGTTTGAGACCATTAACTTTGTGATTATTCAATCTTTTTTTCGATTATTTCGTGAATTTTACTCAAATTTTGATTTTTTCGTTCAAAATTCTCATTATTTTTTGATTATTTTCTGAATATTTGATTAAAATTTTTTATTTCATTCAAATTCTGATTATTTTTTGATTATTTTCTGAATATTTGACTAAAAATTATTTCAAGCAAATTCTGGTTTTTTTTTCATTATAATTGAAAAATAATTAAAATACGAATAAAAATCATAAATAATTATTTTCGGTATATATTCAAATTTTGATTATTTCGTACAAAATTCGGATTATTTTTTGATTTTTTTTCTGATATTTGATTAAAAAATTTTGTGTTGTACAAATTCTGATTATTTTCTGAATATTTTATTAAAAATTATATCAAAACAATTCGGATTTTTTTTTATTATATTCAAATAATAATCAAAATTTGAATATGAATCATAAAAAAAAATTTTAAATTATTTTTCAAATTTTGATTCTTTCATACAAAATTTGGATTATTTTTTTGAATATTTCCTGAATATTTAATCAAATTTTGAATATAATTGAATAATTGTAAATATTCTGAAAGAATAATTTTTTTTTCAAATATTTTTGAATATCATTTGAGAAATTATTCATTTCTTGACTATTTTATTCAGAATTTGGTTACTTTGTTTTTTTTTGTGGTTTTACTCGGGAAAATAATCTTTTTTTGATTATTTATTCAAAATTAGATTGTTTTTCAATTTTACTTGGGAAAATAATCATTTTTTGATTATTTTTCTCAAATAATTGATTATTCGATTAGAGAACATTAAGTTTCCTCAAAAGTCGCCTTGTGATTTGCCCCTTGGCAAATATTTTCTAAAAAGACTTTTTAATGCATATGACTGCAATTTTTGAGACATTTTTCTTATGGGAAAATTCTTCAGCGTAAACAATGAAAATTTGACTTTTCATTCGCAAAACATGACAATTTTTTTCCATTTGTGCTTTTTAGATAAATAAGATTTTTTTCTATTGTCTCATAAGATACAAATCTTAAAATTCTTGTACAGAAAGAACGAATAAAAGGCTTTTCAAAAATAACATAAGACGAAAACTATGATAAATCGACTTTTCATAGTTTTCCATTCACCCGTCGAAAAAGACAAAAAAACAAGGAAACGCCACAAAATCTCACCCGAAGCGATTCATGCCATTGCTGCCACTTCGCGGCGGACTTCGTCGGCTGAACATGGAATCATAGCTGGCGCCATTGCCGCCACTCATGGAGCTCCTCATCGAGCCCAATCCGGAGCCGCTGCCCGAGCCGCCAGAGCGCCCGAGTGGCGGCAGCGGTGGCAGAGGCTCACGGCGTCCCATGGATCCCATTCCGCCAAACTCTCGGCCGCCACCCAGGCCGGAGCCACTGCCGCCACCCCCGCGCATGGCCCCCATGCCAGAGTAGCGCCTCTCGAACAAATCCCTGCCGTCATCGTAGCGCCTGTCGTAGTAGGAATCGTAGGAATCCTAAAAAAAGGGGACAATCGACAGCGCCATTAGAGGCATTCTTTTTCTTTCTCCATTCTCTTCGATGCCTTTTCTCCATCCAGAAGCAAAGCAAATTCATTCTCGCACTTCTCACGCACGCACACACACGCATACACACAGTCTGGCAGTTGAGGATAATTGAGTGGATGGTGTATCATAAAATGCCCAAGTCTTATCTCTTCTATTCGTCTTAACTCAGAAGAAATTTTTTGATTTGACCTACAAAAGCACAAATTGACTTTCACCATATGCTAGATATTCTTCAGATAACCACAATAAATTCATTTAGGGGTAAATGGGGCAGCTTCAGATTGGGGCAGCTTCAGATTTCTTAATTTTCTCAGAGATTTTTACATGAATAAATTCCTGGTCTTCACACAATGTTTGTAGTCCTTAAGGACTACAATTGACGAAAATTTGCACAGGATAGCCTTGACTGTTTAGATAAAATAAGTGAAAATTGAAAATCACTCACAAACTAGAATTTTGCTGCCGAATTGATTGCGTGTTTTCTCCATTAAAAAAGCCACAATTCGCGTGAAACACAATCAAAGGTTATTGAGAGTTAAGTAGAGATTCTAAATATGCCCGAACTTTTCCTCCTGATCACGGCCTTTTCAGTGGGTGGTGGAAAATGCACAAACACTGCCCACGGGGCAGTTTCGGATCGCCACGGACTGACAACAGCGCGCTCTGACAGAATGACGCAACATCACGGTCGAAATTTTCTTGTGGCAAATATTGAAGATTTTTCACAAAGTGCCGTTCTGTGCTGCATTGCTTCATCACGTTAAACGACTTCTTAGTGGAAAAGTGAGAAAATACACGCGAAAAACACTGATTTGCACTGATTTGATTTGTGGTGGCACTGAAGTTGCCACCACTCACGCATGGTGGCGTTGCGATACAGGAAAAATGACGGGCAACTTGCTTTTCGCTCAGACATTTTGACAGTCCGTGCAAGGGTCCAGAAAAGTCGCGAAAATAGTACTTTAAAGGCGATTTTTAGCGAAATAAACAGTTTCAGTGCGTAGAATAGATATCAAAGTGATCATTTGCCCGCGATTCAACAATTCCACAATGGAATTTAAGGTAAATATCAGTGAAAATCTGAAGCTGCCCCAGAGCAATCCGAAACATCCCCGTGCGGGGCAGTTTCAGATAATTTACAATATTATTTTCATTCTCCTTTAGAGGAAAAAGGATCAGTTTTAATGCCCAATGAAAGGCATTTTCTGAAGCTCAATAGACGAGAGTTTATTTGAGCGTTGTGATTATTTCAATATATTCAGCCGATTTTTCAAGAAAAAATCCTAAAGTTGGAACAGCATTTTGAATCTGAAGCTGCCCCACTTACCGCTATTAGAGTTGCGTCTTTCCCCATTGCAAGAATATATGATATATATATATACAGTGACACCTTAGTTATCTTGGTTTTGTGTAAAGTTCGTATTGCGCATTGTTGGATGAAATTTCTGGACAATTTTGATTGATCAATGATTTTTAGTTATTTGGAATATCTTTTTACGCAATAATCGCCACAATGCTAGATTTTTTGGCATGGTATGGGCATAATATGTAACATTATGGAACCCTTGTATCCTAGACAATATGCAAACGCAATTAGAACCATTTTCTTGCCCTGCATCAATAAGAAATTACCGATTTTCTGAACCCTATAATAAGAAATTGACTAAAAATCACCCTTTTCTAAAGAACAAAATGCTGTAATTTTCACGGCTACTTGATTGTTCTTGGACGATTGACTTGAAGTCCTTTTTTACACTTCATAGACAACATGTGAACAGGAATTAAGACGCGATTGTGCGTGAGAAAGGAAGAAATGCATAAAAAGTGTTAAATGATAACTTAAAACATACAAAAGCAATTTGACAAGTCCAAATCAAGGCGCTCTATGATGAAAATGTCTTTAAGACACTCCAAACTCATGAGTTAATGTGATTATCCGTGTCCTAACGTAATTTTCCCTATCCTTTGGCGCACATTTCTCTGCATTTTGCAATATCTCAGCCCTGAATTGAGATATCAACATGATTTCAACGCCTTTTGAAAGATCATTAAATTCTCATTATTTTTTGTCTTAAGATCGTAGTCTCGAAAACTGAAAGAAATATCGAATTTTTAGCACCAAAAGGAAAAATGATCAAAATTTCATAGGTGTCCTAACCTAATTTTCGCTACTGTATATATATATATATATACATATTTAGAAACTCATATTTTTTCTCTACTAACTCTACTTATACTCAACCCAGCATTCTACAATTCCACCACCAGAAAGGACACTTTTGAGAGAGATATTCGCATCCATTCATCGCACACGCACACGCACTGAAAGAGAAGATCACTGTCTTTTCGTGTGTGAAAAATGAGATAAACCAACAAAAGCGCGATAGAAGAAGGCTGGCCAAATCGATTTTTGTGAGTGGTACAAAAAAAAAAGGCAGTCAAAGTCACTTTAGATTGCGTCTATCGCGCGATTTTTGTTCGTTTGCTCGTGTTCTCTCTCTGCACTAATTAGTGATGCCTGAGTGGGATCGAGAGTGCGCCATCGGGGACGTGGGAGTGGGATTGTGCTGTGGTGGTGGGGAGGGGGAAGGGCACGAGATGATTGGGCTGATAATGTGATGATGAAGGTTACCCGAAATCCGTCCATGATCCTGTCTCGCAAGAAGGGCGGCGGCGGCGGAGGTGGATAAGGGTCGCGGTACATCCTATCGCCGCGATATCCGCGCTCCGAGAACATGAGGCGCGGGCACTCCTTGGACCAGTGCCCCGAGCGACCGCACCTGTAGCACTGTTCCGGATCACCCATGCCGGGCTTGGGTCGCACGCGACTCGTCGACACCTGCACTTTCAACGGCTGCCCGTCCACTACTTTGCCATTCAACTCCCTGATCACCTCATTCACGTCGCCCGCGCAATCCAGATGCACAAAGCCGTAATTGCGCACGATGTCACACTCGACCACGGTCCCGTACTTCTGGAATAACTCCCTCACCTCGGGCGCCCGTGTCTTGTCCGTGAGATTGCCAACAAAGATCTTTGTCGTGGACGTATTCGGCGCTCGGCGACTCTTCGCGGCCTCCACCTTCATTGGCTGCGTATTCACCACGTAACCGTTCAAATTTTGGATTGCATCGCGTCCCTGCTGCTCATTTTCCATGTGCACAAATCCGTAATTCTTCACCACATCGCATTCAACCACCGTGCCGTACTTTTCGAACAATGGACGCAACTCCGATGCCTGCGTCTTTTCGTCGATGTTCCCGATGAACAGCTTGAATGTTCCAGCGCCCGGCATCCTGATCTCGCTATCGCTTTCTTCGTTCTCACGCGACGTCTTTCACGCGTTCTTTTCTTCCGCAGTGACACAACGAAACCGCCTTTCGATCGCTTCGCAACACACGCCACTAAGGAGATATAAGAAAGGGGCTTCCGTCAGAACATTGGCTCACAGTGGCTGCAGTTGCCCTTCCGCAAATTCGCGCACTCCGCGATGGACCTTAACACCCCGAACAGACTGGGCTTTTTACCATTGATTACACAGACCCGGGACTTTTTTACGCCCTTACGGGACCTTTTTCTCCCAAAATGTGCCTATTTCGGCCAATTTTTGCTCGGGAAGATCGCGGAAAACAATCAGATCACCTTCGCTCTGCACTTATTTAACGTTTCATAGGAATTTTTACCGTGAAAATTCTCATTTTCGTGAAAAACATGTTAATATACTCAGCTGTGTGGCAGAGTGAAAAAGAGAATCGACACTGTACGCTTCCTTTTTCAAGTGTCGTCACAGCTCGGGTGATTAGCACAGCCGCTCGGCACTCGTCGGACTGTTCTACTATTGTGCCGAATTCGTTTGAACGTCACTCCGAGGCCAATATTTTGGAAATTGGCAAGAAATATTTAGTTTTTCGTGAAATGTGTGAACAAGACGTGAAGAATATTGCAGAGTGAGTGAGAATGGAAGATGTTTCCGGATAAAAAGCTTGCATCTTCTGCGAAGGATTAACTGCAAGGCGAATTGCAGAAGATGAGCTCAGAGAGAAATTGCCGAAGAACGTCGTCTTCCGTGCGCATATTCTTCAGCATCACGCCAATGAATTGCTGACAAACTGAAATAGGACGATTTCTGGAGGAAAAGAATCACTGTGAACTGAGGCAAATCATCAGTTTTTATCAGGAAATCCTTCGTCCCGAATTAAAATTTACGGTGAGCAATTGAAATCAAATTAAATCATTATTAGAAGTTAATGATTATGATATTTTCAGGGGAATTCTTCCAAGATCTATCCAGAATATTGCAGTACCAGTTCACCTTCTGTACTTTCCTGGACCAAAAGAAGCCGCGAATAAAGATCAACGCTTTTTGATTGAGTTTAATTCAACCTGATTCCCGGCTCTAGATCTCGCTGACACTCTCGCTAGCGTTTACTCAGAATATTCACCATTCGTGGTATTAAATACGGAACTAACAATGCAATGAGTCGCGACCTTTATATTTTTTTTAGCCAAATCATCTCAAAAATTCGGTAAGAATTGACACCAAAAACTTCCATATAAAATAATGCTTATGATTTTTAATAATTTTAATTTTGTGGGAAAAGAGAGAAATAAAATGCACTTTAAATTTGGTGTTTTTGGCTATGACGGAGAATTAAATACAGCGTGGGCACTAATTATAGCTCCACCGTGGACCGGACACCGTGGAATGAGACCCAGTCGAAAACCACCTAAAATTGTATGGTTTTTCATTGAATTTCAACTGGCTCTCGTTCTACGTTAGGGCGCTCCCTCCGAGGCGCTACCCGCCCCCGGATCTAGGGTCCACGGGTTTCCTAGAAGTGTCCTAAGAACTTTTCGCCCCATTTCATTGGGGGTGGTCCGGGGGTTGGGGTGGTTTGGGCCCGAAGAAGCAGAAAAAGACCCTGGAAGAAGTGCTTAAGGCCAGGATTCAAGGATGGTATCGGGGTCAGATAGCCCAATTATGCTCAAGAGGCTTCAATCAAGCCCTATGAAGGAGTTTGTGGCCATTGGGCCCCCCGCCCCATTGCGGAGGAGCCATATTGGACGATCATGTTATGCAAGGCAAAGACCTTAAACAGTGGGGTCCACGGAGGACCGAGGCGGGGTGTGGCGACGGTAAATGGTTTCTGGGCTCAAAATGAAGGATCCTTATGATTTTCAGAATTCTCCGATTTTTTTTCGCTGAGATATAGTGAAATTTCCCAAGTGGATCTATAATTAGTGCCAGCCCAGAAAGTGATAAAGTTCCCTAGAATCCCTAGGCGCCGGCGGAGGGGCCTCAGATTGGGGGTTTTGTTTTGGCTATGGATAGGCAATCAAACGCCATATTTGATATTTTTTGTTTTTGCCCCAGACTACCTACAGTGGAGCTATAATTAGTGCCAACGCTGTAGTTAATTTGAGGATATTTTATGTCGATTTCCACGATACTTTGCTGTCTGCAAAGTAGGAACTGAGTAATTGCCGATAGCGCCGCGTTTAGCATTAAAATCGGCGCTGTCTGCTTAACTGTAGCACAGAAGCACGAAAGCTCCAAAGCGCTAGAGCAAAAAAGGGTCTTAGAGTGAGTGCCCTAGAGAGAAGTAAAAAAGTCCCTCAACTGTTATAAAGATTGAGTCTGTTCGGTGTGTTATCCGCTGATACCAAAGATATGCCATCCGGTTGTAGTTCTCTGCTCTCTTCTTCACCATATTGCTCGAGTGCGAGCAACAAATCAATATATTATGGCCCAAAAAGCCCATCGCAGATGCTCGAATTTGCCTTTCTCACACTACTTTTGCATCGTCTTCAGCGAGTGAAATTGGCTATTTTACTCATGCCGATCACAGTGAGATCGTAAACAAAGGTGTTCATATGAGGCAAAAAAAAACCGAGAAACCGAAGCCGGAACTTTCCGGCTGTGTCGACACATTGGCAATTGTGGTGGCGTTTCACGGTGAGCTTTTCTCAGCCATGTTGGCGGCGTCACTGAGAAAAGCCCCGAAAACCACCACTTTTAGCCACTACAATGTCATCAGGTGTGTTCAAAATCACATAAAAGAAGCCTTCTGGACACACTGCAAACGCCCTGCGGCCCCAAATTGTGATACATTTTCCGGAAATTGTGGTTTCTTAGCGGCACACGGGGGAAAAAAACACTTGAGGGTGTTTGCACAGGGAAATCCTCTGGTTCTTCTGGATATTTCACCTGAGACGGATGCACACTTACCTTGTGAGCAGATGTGTGGTGAAATTCACGGGTTCAGGTGATTTTCTTCACAGGAAAATAGAGATTTTCACTAACCACTTTCACGCAATGCACCAGAAAGAAAAGCTCTGCGTCATCACGAGAACTTTTGACAGCTCTCTAGTACAACAATGCTTGTACTACGAATTGTCGTGCGAATTCCCCTTTGCGGGCATTTCGCCATTCGCCACTACCCAGTAGCATTATACAGTTGCTTATAACAGTTTTTGAATTTGTCTTTCTTAACAGTTTTTCCTTCTTCAATCTCATGCATGATGTTTCATGGGTGTTTCACGTGTGTTTCACAGATTTGACAGTCGGGTCCAGTTCCGTCAAAATATTCCTTCTCGCGTTCTACTTTGTATTTTTCTCTAATTTTCACCCTTCTTCTCAGGTAGAAATCTGTTAAATCTACCTGCAATCACTGAGTAATGTGGTGAAGTACATTGTGCAATAGGAGAGAGCAGCTTTTGAGCCGCCACATCAGGGATATTAGGTGAAATTTTCATCATCGCCCAACTTAGACTTTGTAATCCATTTTCCGCATGTTTTTCCCTCTTCTCCCCTTTCGCTGATAAGCCCAAAATCCACTTCGTCACTCAGTTTATCTCACACACTCCATTCGCTGCCGTTGCAGATTAATCTGTAGTGAAATTGCGTGGCGAAATGGATTCTGAAGGACACAATTTGGAAGCGCCGACAAACTTCCGGAACGTCATGGCTCCGGACAGTCCAATCAACGGACGGATAAGCACACACATGGGGCGCGTTCCCACATCACTGCCACCACCGCTGCCGCCTCGCCTGCAGCCACAGAGCCAGGGATTCGCGTCGTCCTTCAGCTCACCTTTCGGCGGTTACCAGAACATGTACGGCTACGGCGCAGGATCGAGTTTCGGGGGCTTCGGTGGGTATGGGGGCATGGGTGGGTACGGCAGCTATGGGGCATACGGAGCAGGACTGGGTGCAGGCGGATATGGTCGCTACGGTGGCTATCATGGCTACAATCTCGACGCGGAGAACCGCTTCATTCAGATGGCAGAGGAGACGTCCAGGCCGGCGCTGCAGAGCATTGAGAATCTCGTGGCGGCGTTTGGGAACATCGCCTCGATGCTGGACTCCACATTCTTCGCCATCAACAGCTCCTTCAGGGCCATCCTGGGCGTCACGGCGAACGTGGGCAAGCTGAGATCGCTCTTCGCTCAATTCGTCTCCACATTCACTCTATTCCGCGGACTGACGTGGCTCTGGAGGAAGTCAGTACCCTGCTGAAGGCGAAATGGTTGAGTTTCTCTAAACCACTTTTCTCTCCTAGGATTCTCTACACATTCGGCGTATCGAAGATTCCACCGAATGCCGCGAGTTTTGGTGCTGCTTTTGAGGCTGCTTCTGCACAGCTGGAGAATCCGTCGCATGGAGAAAAGTCCAGCAGTGGAAAGACCAGTGCCTGGCCTGTTCTTCTCTTCCTGGGCTTCATACTTTCGGCGCCGTATTTTATTATGAAATTCCTTGGAGTTGCCTCGACGACGTCCATCGAAGAGAGTGAGTCGATTAACACGGAGACTTTGGCAGAGAGACTAATTGATGTGTGTGTTTTGTAGGTAAAAATCCACAGCAATGGACAAACTACATTCCCACGCGAGTGTTGTATGACTTTGAGGCCACGAGTCCTCAGGAATTGTCCATCCAGACTGGCCAAGTGATTCGCGTGGCGCCCAAAGATGTCCAAAACCTGCACTCGCTGATGAACACAGGCTGGGCGCTGGCCTCTGTGGATGGTTTCAGATCGGGTCTGGTGCCCATCAACTATCTCTCGCGCCCGGGAGAGGCTCCGCCCCAGCCGGGCGCAGTGTAGGGCCCGCAGGGCAGCGCACACACACACTTATTTTATCTGGGAGGGTGACTAAATGGCAGAAGCGTGTTTGTAAATACAACTTCAAGTGAAATTGGACTTTCACTCGGTATTGAGGACACCTTTTGTTCGATGCCCACAGTTTCTCAGTCTGCTGTGATTTGTCGTGGCGGTGAGACGCGTGGTCTCAGGAATTGTGCTCAAGTGTGTGAAGAATGGCTTTCAATAACAACAAAGGTGAATTCGATTTTCCGTTCGCAATCAAGGAAATCGATCCGGATATCAATCAGCAGTTGCTCAGAGACTTCCGTGGTAAGAATATGTTGCGGAAAATTGCTAAAAGTGCGTATTTAATATGTGGAGAGAAAAAAAAGAATGATTTCAGCATTTTGGTTGCTAATTGGAATTATTGAGAATTTTCTACCGACACATTCTAAGATAATTTCAAGCCAAATAAGCACAATAGAAATCTCATCGTTTTGCTGATGTGTGAAAGACTCTATGAAAGTTTAAATATTTGATGAGCAGTTTTTTTTTTTTTGGGGGGAATCTTTGAAATGCTTTTTATTCAATACAACCAATGAATTTGGCATATAAATTACAATATATACATTTCTACTGAACAGTGGAAGAAAATATTAACATAAAAGAAGCACTTTGACCACTTTTCTATGGTATTTTCCTAAAGCAAGCAAACTGAAATAATTGCACCATCAAACAGTTTAAGAATAAAGAGCAAATCGACGGGTGAATCGAAGACTATTGAAAGTCTGTTTGGATTGATCTTAATGTCTTTCATCGGCAAAAATTAAAGAAATAAGATTTTTCTTAAAAACTTTCGCGTGTAGAAAATTTCTCAATGTTGCGTTGAAAAGTATGAAAAGTCGACTTTTCATAGTTTACGCCCAAGGGGCTAATCACTAGCGCAAATTGAGACCATTAACTTTGTGATTATTCAATCTTTTTCCTCGATTATTTCGTGATTTTTACTCAAATTTTGATTATTTCGTACAAAATTCTGATTATTTTCTGAATATTGTATAAGAATTTGATTATTTTTCAATTTTACTTTGGAAAATATATTCATTTTTCGATAATTTAATTCAGAATTTGATTATTGAGATTTTTATGTAATTTTACTTGGGATTTGTTTTTTTTTTGATATTTTATTCAAAATATGATTATTTTTCAAAATTTTCTTGAGAAAATATTCATTTTTTTTTTATTATTTTCATTCAATATTTGGTTATTTTGATTTTTTGTCATTTTATTTGGGAAAATAAAATTTTTTTTCAATTATTTTTCAATTTTATTTCAGAAAATATTCATTTTTTGACTATTTAATTCAGTATTTGATAATATTTTGATTTTTCTTTGCAATTCTAGTTGAGAAAATAATCTTTTTTTATTATTTAAATCATAATTTGATTATTTTTTCAATTTTTCTTGGGAAAAAATGGGCAGGAAGAATGTAAAAAGTTGATTTTTACGAATTGTCTGAAGAAAAAAGTACACGAAAACCATCAAAAACCGACTTTTTGTAGCAAATTTTCCCAATTTTTCTATTAATTCTTCGTATTTTAGTTAATATTTCAAACAAATAACAGTGGAAAAATCTGGGAAATTCTGCATAAAAATAGAATTGAGCAATTTTATCAATTTACTGAAAGATAACAGAGAGGGTATGGAAAAATTAGTAAAATTTCAAAGCAAAATCATCTCTCAAGCTTCAAATCGCTCTACTGAAAAATGGTGATTTTGACTTTTGATAGTCTTCACGGCACCCGTCGAAATGAAAAATCGACTAAGCATATTTTCATGCTATTTCTCTGTGAAATGTTTACTCTCTTATCGCTTCGTTGTTCAATTATAAGTTTGTTTTGGACACAAAGCAGCAATAAGTAATTACTTAACTTTATGCATTATATTGTTTTGCTTTAAATCTAAAGTTTTTTTTTTAACAATCATTCTGCTCACTGACTTTCCTGTGATTGAATTGAAATCTATGGAAACCGCAATTATTTCCGTCACACTTTTGATGAGATGGAAAATCCAACACGACTTCAATTTTTCATTGCAGGCGAGAAGACGGGATTTGTCCAAGTCGGTGAGGAGAAGTGGTTCTTTCCCAGTCAGTACAGCGAAATGGCGCAACACTTTTACAACTTCCAAGCGCGCCAGGATGACATCTGGGTGGCCACATTTCCACGCTCTGGCACCACGTGGACGCAGGAGTTGGTCTGGATGATTGCCAATGATCTGGACTACGTTGCGGCACAGCGAGAGCCACTCACGAAGCGCTTTCCCTTCTTCGAGTTCGCCATGTTTCTGCATCCCGAGACGAAGGCCGAACTGATGCAGCTCAATGTGGATTCGCCACAGCGACAGGCCTTCGTGGAGGAGATCTCTGTGCCAGCGTACAAGTTTCTGCCGCACATCACCGGCAGGCGCTTCATCAAGACACACTTCCCATTCTCCCTCATGCCGCCCAGCGTCTTGAGTTCGGGTGCGAAGATTGTGTACGTGGCCAGAAATCCACGAGATGTTCTCGTGTCATTCTACCACCTGAATCGCCTGTATCGCTCTCAGGGCTACATTGGTGACTTCGCCACGTACTGCGAGTACTTTGAGGAGAATCTGGCGCCGTGGATGCCCTACTGGAGTCACATTCGCGAGGGATGGGAGAACAGGAATCATCCCAATGTGCTCTTTATGTTCTACGAAGACATGAATCGTGATCTCGCGGCCACAATTAGGCACGTCGCTGACTTCCTGGGCAAATCCCTGACAGATGCCCAAGTGGAGAGACTCAGGCAGTATCTGAGCATTGAGGAGTTTCGCAAGAATGACGCAGTAAATTGCACGGAGCTCAAGAGCATTCACTTGCTGAACAGTGGCGAACAGGGATTCGTGAGGCGTGGGAAGAGTGATGGATGGAGTGAAGAATACACACCGGAATTGAGGGAGAGAGTTACCAAGTGGATATTGAAGCATTCCAAGGAGTTACCATTCAAATTTCCATGCGATCTTGTATAAAAAAACCGCGTTTAGAGATGGTTTTTTTCTGGGTTTCGAGTGTTTATCGCCAATAAATGTTACAATAAATCCATCACTTTGACTTTCTCCAGTCCTCGAGGCTCTTCTTCCTGTTCGCCTTGAGTCTCATATACTCCTCATACCACTTATCATGACCCTCAATGTCCTCTGGTGTCATTCCCGGCAGCTGTTCCAGGAGTGTTTCTGTGATCCTCCGCAGATTTCCCATGTATTTGGATTTGCTCCGCACAAAGATCACATGCTGTTCTTCACCCCAACCGCCAGTGTGACCACCAAAGTCCTCCAGGAACTGATCGAACATCTTCACGTCCTTGTACACACCTTCATCCACCGGTTTCAGTGTTCCAGAACGCATCTGTGTCACTCTGTTGGGCACATTCTGGTGCCTCTTCGCCTCATCCTTCAGCAAATCCACTGTCGGCGGAATTGTGGCCACAATGTCCATATTTTCGAATTTCATCTTCCCGTAATTCAACTTATTCGTGTTCTGGACACGCGTGAGATTCTCCTCAATCTGCAGAATTCTCTCTCTGTAATCCTTCAAGTCGTGCTGCTGAATATTGGCGCCCATCGACTTGAACTCCTCAATTCCACCCCGAATTGACGCCACTGTGTGCTGCGCCGTGACCTTTCCAGCCACAAAGTTCACCGTCAATCGATCTCGCAGCACGTCAATCTCTGCCAGGAGCTTCCGCTCCTCCGGCGCATCCTCGTCCTCCGGGAAGTGCACCTCCAGCGGCGTCTGCACGTTCGCCAGGTAGTTCTCCTGACACTTGAGGCGCGACAGCAGGCAAATGCAAGCAGTTGCGGAGAGTTTCTTCCTGGCCACCCTCGATTCTGCCATGTTGTTGATGCACTTTGTCAGGGATTCACCATGGAAACCACATGCAAATCCCTCAGGACATCCCGCCAAATTGTTTTGACTCCAGCAGCGAAGAATATTTCTCTTTTCCATTTTTTGCGCAATTCGTCATGAAATATTGTATGGATATTTTCAATATAATTCTTTAGATATATGAAAGTAACTATAAATTCAATTTATATTGTTCGATTTAATTTCTTTCTTAGGCCTTCGACAAGATATGGCATGAGGGGTTGCTGTACAAAATCCGCGGAACACTTCCTACAAGATTTCACGATCTCTTGGAGTCTTATCTCACCGAAAGAGCCTTCTTCGTAAAAGTAGACTCAGCTCTATCATCTAGGCACTTCATCCGGGCTGGGGTCCCGCAGGGCAGCGTTCTTGGGCCCACGCTGTACATGCTGTTCATGGCTGACCTGCCCACCTCTCGGGATGTCCAAATGGCCACGTTCATGTCAACCCATGCCAACATGAACACTGCTTCTCGTGAGTTGCAGACCCACTTGAACACCATGGCCGAGTGAAATCCGTACACGTCTCCTTCTCCCTAAAACGCAGATCCTGCCCAAAAGTCAGCATTAACAACGTGACTATTCCTCAGAAACCTGAAGTCAAGTATCTTGGCCTTCATCTAGACAAGCGACTCACATGGAAAAGCCATATCAGAGCGAAAATCCAGCAGATGAAGCTGAAAATGAGCTCCCTTTATTGGCTCGTCGGTAAGAGATTGAGTGTGTCTCTGCATTCTAAAGTGATGCTCTACAAGGCCATGATTGTTCCAATCTGGACCTACGGTATCCAGATTTGGGGCTCTGCCAGCGAGACCAACTTAGAAATGCTTCAATGCTACCAGTCTAAAGTTTTGCGGAGACTAGCAAATGCTGACTGGTATGTGACCAATGAAGTTATCCATAGAGATCTTCAAGTCCTGAATGTCAAACAGCAAATTCTACGGCTCAGCCCCCGCTATATCCACCAACTGGAAGTCCATCCTAACACCCTTGCCGCTCACCTGCCTACCACCAGGAGATACCGGCGTCTTAAACGTGTCGATCCTCTTGACCTTCCGTCTCGTTGGATCCCAGATTTATAAGTATTATAAATAAAGAAGCGCTCTATGATGTTGATATTAGACGCCGAAGCAGCGCCCCAGAGCTGGCACCCATAAGTCCAAAAGGGGCTTCAGCATAGTCTTGTATAAGAGCAATTTGTTGTCCGTGGATAAGGCTGAGTTACGTCCAAGAAGCCAGTACATTTTGCGCAACTTCTCTCCAAGCTGAAGCCGTTTTGCGAATATGTGTTTTTGCCAAGAAAGGACGACTATCCAAGTGCAGGCCGAGATACCTAACACTCTCCACAACCGGGATTTGCTGTCCATTCATGTAGACAGGGGGGCCCAATTCCTTACGCAGAGTAAAGGTGATGTGTACCGATTTAAGTTCATTCACTTTTATCTTCCAAGCAGTAAGCCATTGTTGAGTCCGATTCAGGGCCTCCTGCAATGTTGCTGTAGCAGAGACAATGTCCCTGTTCAGGAGAACTTAAAGTGGACTCCCTAGTCATAGTGCGCTCGCTCTCCCTATCGTAAAAGTCGCACACGATGTAACGGAAGATCATACGCGATCAGGGAGAGCGTCCACGAGCGCACCATCACATGCAATTAATTTTGGCGCAATGCGGATTTGGGCAAGTATTGGCCTGAACAGCTGATGACTCCCAAGTTCAAGATCAAGGTCACCAGCTCTCGTCAGTGGGCCATCTTCAGTGCATCTGCACTTGTGCGACAATCTTTGGGCAGTGAAGAGGCCAATTTTATATCGTGCAGTTTTTCTAGTCTTTGTTCGTCTTGTGAAGTTTTCGCGTAAGTTGAGTTAAGTTAAATGCATAAGTGTAGACTTTAAATGAGGCAGGCTGTGCAGGAGAGTAGTGCTAAGATTGTAGGAAGTGAAAAATATATTTAAGAAGCTTTAAGGGGAGCTGAAGTGTGTCTTTAGTGAGTGGCGAGGAGCTGAAGACGCCGTGATTCGCGCCAATTCTACCGAGGAAATCCAGAGTGGAAGTTTCCTAGCGTTCTGCGGGCCAGGAGAAGGATTTTTTTTTTGAATCCTTCTCGCCAGATACGCTAACAGGACAATATTCCATCTCTCCCACAGGTGTGTAATTGGTGGCTGGTCATTGTGGAGGAGTTTCGCGTGCTGTTTGCTCTGCCACTGAACTAAAAGGAATTCCCTTCTCATTTTAAAGGTAGGAGAGTCTCTCAAGACACTGGAGAAGTGCTGAAGGGGCAAATAAGTAACCATTCCTTCTCATTATTCAAGGTTGGTGCCCACAGTCCCTATGACGGGACAGCAAGGCCGTGTCATCAGCATAATGTTGCAGTTATGACACCATCAGTAGTTGGCATGTCGGCTGTGTAGATGCTGAACAAAACTGGACCGAGTATGCTGCCCTGCGGCACTCCAGAGAGGACCGGGCACAAGCGAGATACTGCTTCAATCTGCTTTACGTAGATGTGGCGGTCCTGAAGATAGGACATCAGCAGGAGGCATATCTGAGGTGGAAACGCCCTCTTGATTTTATGGAGGTTAAATGAATGAATGAAATAGCTATATTTGAAGATTCAACACATAAGTGTAGTAATTAAATCTTATTAAGGACAGAAGGAGAATTAAAAACTTTTCCATCAATATTTTATTGAAACTTTCAGCAGACAAAAGCAATAAAATGCTGACTTTAAGGTCAATTTGACTAAGAAAAGTTCTCTCTTTGCTCCTCGACACATTCAACACCATTCAAACAATGTCTGAGTTTATTGAGTGTTATCAAGACTATCTCAATCTCGAGAGCAACATAATTCGTGGCTTTAGAGTCCTCAAGGTGGCAAAAGCAATGGTTCCACCAATATGCTTTTACACTTGCGCTTCTGCTTTAGCCGCAGCTCTAATTCCACATGCAGAACTCACGCAAATGGCCATGAGTGTGATGTTCCTTGTCGCTCTTGTGCGACTATCAATCATGGTTCTCTGCAGTCTCTTTCACGCTGAGGAGCTGCAAAGTGTCTTGGATTGGATTAGAATGCTGCACAGAGTTCACGAGTACGAATCATTCACAGTCGCAGCTGAAATTCATCTGAAACGCTGTCTTTTCATCTCTCAGAAGCTTTACAGGTACTTCTGAATTATCTCTCTGTCAGTGAATAACTTCTCTCTGTACTTTGCAGATTACTCGTGCCAATCTACTGCATTTCAACTGCACTCACTGTCATCTACTTCACACACTTCGAGATGGTTATACTTACAATTCCCGGATTGTCCTTCAGAGAAAGTGACTCAAAGTATCTCTTCTACACCAACGAAATTGCTCTGTTCATAAATGCCGCCATCTCAATCACCTTCGTTGATCATTTCTTCCTATCATCAGTGTTTTACTTCTCTGGCATCCTGAATATCCTTCATGATGTGATCAAGAGTCTCGATAATTTGCATTGTCATGTCAATGTGAAGCACTTTATGTACTCAATTCATCAATTTCATCGTGATGTTGTGGAGAAAATTCAAACATTCATCAATGCTTTCAACTACGCCATCATCATTCAAATTGCAGCCAGCTTCCTACTCTTCATGATGACCTTCTTCATTCTCGGTCACGGCGTCAGTTACACACACTACATCGTTGCCCCGGCAATCTTCTACCAACTTGGCGCCCTTTGTTTCTTCGGCGAAGTGATTTTCTCGAAAACTGAGAAGCTCTTTCGCGATTTCTACATGACAAAGTGGTATGAAATGACTTTGGAGGAGCAGAAAATTCTTATAATGCTGATGCAGGGAACACACAAACCACTTATTCTCAAAGCAGCCGAAATGTTTGACATAAACATTGTGATGTTTGTTCAATTTGTGAAAGTCACCTTTTCCTACTGTGCGATATTTTATTCTTTTGTGTAGAGAAAGCCATAAGAAAAAAGACACAAACTTCTATTAACACCCCCGCTTAAATAAAATATGTTGTTCAGGATGAACATGCTTTGAAAATAGTATAAGGACTAATCATCTAGGATAGAAAGGGACACGATGAAATCGCCTCAAGAGAGATCAAAATTACGTCAATTATTCCAAAATTCCCCCAGATTGATTGAGACATGAATCTCGTTGATCCACCTTAAAATCCAAACAAAAGGATACACAGGATCCTCAATCCCCTCTGTACCAGAACTAGATTAGACAAGCTACTTGACCATGGGAATCAAAATTCTCTTATCTCTTTTATATCCTTAATAACCCATGGTCACCTTCAGACAAGTCAAATCAGACTATTTCACACACTCTAGAGGCAATTCCTGACATGTCCTGGATAAGATAACCAAATAGGAATCCTTACTAATATGATTCCTCGTTTCCCCACTAATCCTTAGACTAGGATAGCAAATGACTAACAGGAGATTAGGGATAAAAACACCACAATTGTCATGGAAATTTGAGTAATTGGTGAAGATTTGAGTCAATAAACACAAGTTATTGCCATATAAGCTCAATCCCCAAGGATCATGGATCATAGGATAAGAATATCTATCCGCGGAAATGAGTTGGTTGTGAAACCAAGAAATTCCATTGCCGAAACACGGAATTCATGTCACTTGCGCGACCCAAATCAGTCAGCAAAAGTTGAATTGGAGCACCTCGATGAGGCAAATGCTCATATTTTGCTACTGTCAACAAATGTAGGGTATATATTGGAGAGGTGAAGCATGAATAAATCAGTGACGAAGACGACAGTTGAACAGAAGAACAAAAGTGTTTTACTGTGAACCATCGACTCAGCGAAGCCCGAGAAGAAGCAGCTGATCCAGCATCACCCTGAGGATCCTGACGGAGTCATCACCAGCAGAAGCCAACCAGAGAGCGGTCAAGGAGTGCTACCCGTGAACTCCACCAGATCTCAGCACCACAGAGTATTGCCGAGATCATCTCCTCAGCAGCAGCGGAATCAACGGCAGTTTCAAGTGAGAAATCAACATGTCTCAAGCCTAGAATCAAGTAAATCTTGATCCACGGCTCACTCCTCAAGTGCACAGACGCTTGAGATAATTTGAGATCTGCGGCAAGCCCGTGCAGAGGCTAACTGAGGTCTCCAGACTCTGCATCACAGTCTCGAGACATCTCTGAAAGGCGTCGCTTCACGACAGCCCATACCACGCTCAGGAGGCTACTAATAGCCAAGGTATAGGAGACTCAGGAATTCGCTACAGACTCAATTGTCGCCTAAGAGCAGGAGGGTGGTCTGATGAGATTTCAGACACTCTGCTCCTCTCAGTAAAAGCTTTAGCTTTAGGCTGGAGATTTTACATATTGAAGTTCCAAATATCATAAGAGGTCGGCTTTACGTAACCAACTCCTCCTGCCGCCCCATCTCGCTGCGTCCCCTGCTCCTACTCGGCAACGCACTGCTTCGCTCCGCGTTCACGACAAGACTTCGCGCGCTTCTCCGCGTCACCCTCAGTGCTGCCTCTACCGTCAAATAATGCTAAAAGCGAGAATCGTATATCAGGAGGAAGAAGGCCGCCTAGACAGTGGCATTCCTGCCACAAGCTCTCCAGGGATACCAATTGGGCAGGGCTTGGTGTTTTGCCGGTTGGTATAGGGAATTCGACTTACACATTAGATTTATTTTCAATCTTCGGCCTTTCAATCATGTGTCCCAGTACTATCACATTGTGCTGGGACAGGCTGACCAAACTCTACCTCTTTTCCTCAAGTCGCGCGCTGTTGAATTCATTTCTTGGACGCTTCGCTTACGTTAGCCCCATTATCTGGCTGAACTACTCGCGTCCGGCTCGTCTGTCAGGCCTTCGAGTCTCGTTCTGCCGACCTCGCGAAGCCGCATCCTCCGAAACTCTCTTTTTGTTGACGGGGTGATTCTCTGGAATGAACTTCCCAGAGATATCAAGCGGCGGTTAATCCAAACCTTTTTGGCGTCCTAATTGATTTTTTTTTCTTTTTTTTCTCACTATGTAAGAGATGGGGAAGAAAACTTACACAACCTATGAAAGAGCTTTTCCACCGTTTTGCTCTGGAGGTTGGTCATCAACACTTACACGTCGGTGGACGCAAAGTACGCTCACAAAAGTCTGCACTTATGGGCGAATTTATAATAATAAACTAAACTAAACTAAACTAAACACCCGCTTAAATAAAATATGTTCTATAAATTAACGAATCTCTTTATTTCATCAGGACGTATCTGTATTTTCACTACAAAAACTCGATTTCGCGTATAAAAAGAACATCATTATTAAATTATAATATGAAAAAAAAAATTGGTTCCTGTTTGCCAATATGCATCTCACAACACACGTCTGAATATTCTTTGGGAATTTCAAGGCATCTTATTATCTTTAAGGCACACTAGCTTTTTTTTCTTTCATTGTTAACATCTAAGAAATGGCATCTCTTGTGGTGTAATCTTCGACTCTCACGAGGGGAAAAAAACAGAATACTAATAACAGAGTGTGTGTGTGGATCCTGTGCTGGAGTATCGAGGTCTACATTGAAGATCAAACACTGACTAGGACGGGTGGAGACGCAAAAAAGAAAATACTGCACAGTGTCTAAGAAGTTGTGATGCCTCAGTTGGGACTGGCATGTTGCTTGAGATAATCCGCAATCATGCTCGGCGCCTGGAGGAGCCTTTGAGAGCTTCTGGGCGACGAAAAGGCCTGATCATCGGCTGCAATGTGTGTCCAAATATTTGTGTGTGCCGAAGCTGATCGCCTGAGACACAAAGATATCATCAATTGACATCCATTTTTCAAAGCCACTTTTGTCACTTTGTGTGTGACCCTAAAACTCACCTGGGTAGTCCTTGAGACGCCGAAAAGATAGCCTTAGCTCCAATTCGTTTCCCAGACTGCCAGCGTCGAACAATAAATCGCATCCTCTCGATTGCCACCACAACAAACACAATTGATCTGAAGGATTTCCTTCGCTTCTTGAGCACTTTTCCCTGCTTCGTGTGAATCATGGCCAGTGCATTGGCCTCTGTCTCCTGATAGGATGCCAGGACAATCATAAGATAGCGCTTTTGGTGCACAAGAGCCTTCCTGAAGCTCTCAACTCGCAAGTATTTCCCAAAGAGATGATTGGCCTGGAAGAGAGATTCTCTGTCAGCATTATTGTTTCACACATTAAAACTTCACATTTATCCACACTCACTCTCTCCTCAAGATCATCCCTGGACAAATTGGATATTCCATGGACATTTTCCAAATCCCTCACGCGCTTCTGGAGTGTCTCACGCTCCTCCCCAAGTTGCCTCAATGTCTCCGCCATCTGACGATTCTCACGTGAATTCTCCGCCAACAGAACATTCATCTCCTTCAGCTTCCGCAGAAACTGCTCTGGCACATTGCTCTCCAGCGACGCTTCCCTTGACAGCGCCTCCGCCAGCTTCACTTCCCGCCTCGCTCCGCGCTCAATGTCCTCCCGGAGAAGTGTCACTTGCTCAAGCAGGTGATCTCTCTCCTTCTCCGCCGAGCTCAGACGAGCACGCATCTCCTGCAACTCCATGCTGGTTTGAGCTGCATCCAAACGCTCCCGCCCATGACGTGCCATTCGTCTGGTCTCTGTGTCCTCCAGATTGAGAATTCGCGCCTCCAAACTCTCAATCTGCTGCTCGGCATGCTCCAATTTCTCTCGCGCCACATCCAAGTCACACTGCACGGAATCCCTCTCCTTCATCACTCTGTCAATCTCAGTGGACAAGCTGGAACCGTGAGCCTTCTGATCCGCCACTTCCCTGTCGAAGCGCTCACGCTCCCTGTCCAGAACACTCTGCAGATCCTTCACGCGATCCCTCTCGCGCTCAATCTGGGCATTGAGAAGCTTCACTCTGCTCTCCAGCAGAGCCACTGCCTCCGCGTCTGCATCCGTTGAGCGCCGTGGCGAATCAGCCGGTGAGGATTTCTGCAGACTCTCACGAGATTTACTCCTCTGCACGACACTCAGTGAAATCCTCTCAGTCCGAGCACGCTCCTCCTCCAGCAATCTCTCCAATTCCGTCTCATTCTGCAACGCCGTCTCGAGCCTCAGACGCAATGCATTAATGATTCCTGCATCCTCTTCCTGAATTGTCGCCGAAGACTTCTTCTGCTCCTCAACTTCACTCGCCAATTGGGCATTTTGACGCAACAACTCGTCATTTCGACGCGCCTCTGCGTCCAAATTCTGTCTCAACTCCCGAATCTCCACCTCAATTGATCCACTCTGACGCAGAAGCTCCTGCACATTGCGCCTGTGCTGTTCCAGATCTTCATCAGAATTGATCTCATCACTCTCAATGGCACGCAGAATGTTGGAATCCAACTGGGCCGAATAGTTCAACTCCTGCTCCACTTGGGCTGCAATTTCCTCCAGTGAGAAAGGCTTTGGTGACGAATTGTCATTGCGATGCTGTCCACGTGATTTCTCCAGTGCAATCTTCACCTCCTGAAGATCCAACTTACACTTCTCCAGCTGAAGACTCTTCTCAATCATCTCCTGCCTCAAGCTATCAATCTCCAGCTCATAAGTCTTCTCAATCCGTGCAAAATTGATCGTTTCCTTCTCCAGCTTCGTCAATTGATCCTCACGGCGTGCCAAAGAGATCTTCACAGACTCCAATTCGGGCTCCAACATTTCCTGAATCTTCTCCAACTCAGCAATTCTCTCCTGCTTCACCTGAACATCACTCTCCAGTCGCGAGGATTTCTCAATCAACACGTCATAATCTGCCTGACAACGCCTCAAATTCTCCTCCAAACTCTCCATTGCACTCACACGAAGGCGCATCTCATCCAATTCCCTCAGAAGTTTATCCTTCTCCACCATCAATGCCTCGTAAAGCTTCGTCTTTGCCACCAATTCCACTCTGAGTCCTGTAATTTCATCCTTTTTGGGTTGATTTTGAACCTCTGGGAAATTGAATGTCTCTCCAGTCTTTCTCTCTGCCGAATTTACACTGTCCATGAGTGAGAAATTGATCTGTCGCGGTACAATTGGCACTCCCGGACTTGTTTCACACTTGCCCACCATTGTGAACTCATGGAAGGAATTCGCAAAACCCCTGTCACTCGATTTTCCCATCAAACCACTAGAAAATTCTGGTAAACTCCTCTTCTGACTGGAATCTTGGAAGAATTTCGGCACAGAGAAGTTAAAAACACTCGGATCCACAGATTTTCTGGCAATCTCTGGCTTCTCATCATCCGTAATGGACATCACATCACTCAATGTGCGTCCACTTAACTTAGCCGCCTCCTCGTCATCCTCAACAGAGGCATTTTTCACAATCTTCTCATGACTCTTCAGCAATTCCATCAATTGCTTCTCCTTCTCCTCCAGCAACTCCTTCAACTGATCAATCTCTTCATTCTTATCCGCCAGCAGTGTTTCCATGAGATCAGGCAAAGCCAATTCATTCACCATCTCATTCTTGATTCTCTCCTTCAGCTGTAGATTTTCCTGGACTCTCTCCTGAAGCTCCTTCTCGAGTTTCTCAATACGATTCACATCATTTACAGAGGTGGAATTCTTCGTCAATTCCACCTCTTGGCGCTCAATCACCTCACGACTCTGCTCCAGGTGACTTTTCAGTGTGGCAATTTGCTTATCACGCAACAGAAGAGTTTCCTTCAGACTCGTGACGTCCGTCTGAAAGGATATTCACCATTAAAATACATCCAATTTCAGTCAATTAATCACCACTCCCTCACCTGAAGATCATGCACACGAATATTGAGATCTGACGTTCCCTGACGATGAATCTCCTCAGCACGATGCCTCTGCTCATCCAATCTCGACTGCAGCGATGATATCCTCACCAATTGCTCAGACATTCGCTCTTGCAGAGCATCACGTTCGTGCTGCAGTTCCTGCATTTTCAACAAAAATTCACTCACACAATTCATAATCAAGATGAAATGCCACCCAAACAGCACCAAATCTTCCACTATTGATTCATACTACGAAATCTTACTGTTTATCAACAGACAATTGTACTGAGACTGGCGTGAAAAACTTCCCAGAAAGATTTCTTCACTCAAAAGAAAATACAACAGATATTTTTAGACATAAATTCACTCTCTCTCTCTCTCTCTTTCGCTCTCTGTGCAACTTTAAGAGATGTTTAGATCAATTCTTCCTAAACAAATTAATTCCTATGAAATTTGTGTACAATTCCTGCTGCTGCTGCTGCTTTTCTCCAGCAAGTCTGGATAAAGAAACATCTCAAATTGACCTGAATTTATTTGAGATGTAGCAGAGATTGAGATTTCTCAATTTTTGTCCCTCCCTCAAAACATTCGCGATCTTGAGAATCCACGCAAAAACCTCTTTCAATCAATGGCACTGTGCCAAGAATGGAACATTGAAGTGCTGATGGGCATAATAGTGACCCTCCATTAAGATACTCACTGCAAAATTTGCTCTCACACCATTTATCTGCATCTCCAGGTCGTGAATTCTCTTGATGGCCGCCTCTTCGGCGCGACTGTGCTTCGCCAGCTTCTCCAGAATTCTCTGCACCTCATCCACAGGCAAAAGAGAGGCTGTTGATCGCGGTGAAACATCCTCAGACACTACAGCTGTCGCCTGTCCGCGAATTGACACATCCTCCGATGGACTGCTGCACGATTCCGAGGCAATACACGCATGAAGACCCTCAAGAGTGCGCGTCTTGCGCTCCAAAGTCGCCTCAATGTCTCTCAATTGATTAGCAAGATGCTCCAGTGTGACATTCTGCTCCTGACTGGCCTTCAAGTCACGCATTTGCTCCTCCAACTCCTGCTTTCCATCCACTTCATCCCGCAAACTCTCCATCTCGAGCTTCAAGGACTCCGCAGCACTGGTCTGCGTGGCCACGAGAATCTTCAGCTGCTTCACAGTCTCATCAGTCACACGCTCGTGCACTCCTTTGGCCTCCAGTTGCATCTCCAGATCTGCAATTGTCTCTCTGTGCTCAAGAACCTTCTCCATGGCCAATTTGTAGTCACTCTCAACCTTCAGCTTCTTCTCTTCACACTCAGACAGCGATCCGGCGAGTTCACGCAATTGACTCTCTAAAGATTCCACCTGACACAAAGAGGAAAAAGACAACCTTAAATCTTTAGCTAAAAATTTGATAAATATTTGGAAGACACTTGAAGATACCTAAAATCGGGAAAGGCGGCAGGCGTGGATGAAATTCGACCCGAAATGCTGAAGTCTATGGGGGAAGGAGGAGTCGATTGGCTGACTCGGGTCATTAAGGTGGCTTCGCAAAGGGGGTATAGCACCAGCGGACTGGCAGATGGGAGTTGTTATTCCCATATTTAAGAAGATTAGATTAGATTAAAGATGGGGGTGGTGCAAGAAGTCTTGCTCCACGGCATCCAGGCCATCTGACGGGCCCTTTATGCATCCCCGATACAAAATAACATCTTCTATACAAGGCAAGGATGATTAAGCCAGTCAGTCTTCCGAATGAAGTTCAGCAGACTAGCTAGCTTTAGCCTCGATAGGTCACTTTCCAAGAGTAATGGTTTTCCTAAAAGGATTCTTCTGACATTCACAAATCGAGGGCAGTCGCACACAAGGTGTTTGACCGTCTCCTCCGCTTCATCACAGCCTCTGCAGGATGTGGTGCAATTAACGCCTAATCTACTGAGATGTTTGTTGAGACAGTGCCCAGTTAGCAGGTTGGCAAGCGTCCGGGATCTCCATCTGCTGCCACCGACTATGAACTCCGTCCTATTCTTATCATGGCCGACCATAAACAGTTTAGACACGCGACAGTTGTCTGACGCGGTCCAATCTGCTTGGTGTTCTTCAGAAAAGTGCCCGTGTAAGATCTGTCTCTTCAGTGATAAAGAGACGCCCACAGCAGGCTCGGGACCAATGAAGTCAGACCTAGTCCCAGCAACAGCGAGGCGGTCTGACACCATATTTAAGAAGGGAGACAAGAAAGAATGCGCCAATTACAGGGGCATTTCTCTTCTTAGCTTGCCAGGTAAAGTATACGCAAAAGTGCTGGAAAACCGTTGTCGTCCTGTAGTCGAGCGACAGTTGGGAGACGAGCAATGCGGTTTCAGGCCGGGCAGAAGTACGACTGACCAACTCTTCACCCTAAAGCTGGTGCTTGAAAAGGCTTGGGAATATGCGGTTCCAGTTCATTGTTGCTTCATTGATCTGGAGAGAAAGCATATGATCGAGTGCCCAGGGAAAAACTTTGGGGTGTGTTGCGGGAGTATAGCATTGATGAGGAACTCATTGGAGCTGTCCAATCTCTCTGTATAGAAACTGCGGCAGTTGTGTCAGGGTTAGTGGCGGGAAATCGGAAGTGTTCAAGGTGGGCCGTTGGACTCCCCGACAGGGCTGCATGCTGTCGCCTCTTTTGTTCATAATTTATATGGACAAAATGTTACAGCGTAGCCTTGATCAGGAGGAGTTTCGGATTGGAGATTTCCGGATTAGCCATCTCCTCTTTGCGGATGATTTGGTTCTTCTGGGATCTTCACAGGAGAAACTCCAGCGTTCATTGGTAATGGTTCATTGGTAATGGTGGTGTCTCAACGACCTGAGCAATGCACTCTGCATGTGAGCGGAGTCACATTGAAACAGGTTGAGAATTTCAAGTATCTCGGGGTTTTATTCACGAGTGACGGAAGGGCTGACACTGAGTTGTCCGTCACGCATTGGAAAGGCCTCTGCGATAATGCGGGAGCTTGGAAGGAGCTTGGTCGAAAGGCCAAGTTATCAGTCTTCAAGGCGGTGTTCAAGCCAATCCTCACCTATGGTCATGAGGTCTGGGTAATGACCGAAAGAATAAAGTCGCGGATGCAAGTGGCCGAAATGAGATTTCTACGTGCAGTGAAAGGGATCACTCGGAGAGATCGAGTGAGAAATGTCACGGTACGGGAGGAGTTTCAGGTCGAGCTGCTGGTTCTCACAGTTGAAAAGTCCATGTTGCGCTGGTTTAGACATGTTGTAGACGCATGGAAGACGATCGCCTCCCGAAAAAGGCATTCTATGCAAAACCAGTTTGGGAAGAGACCCCTGGGTAGGTCCAGAATGAGATGGAAGGACCAGATCCTGAATCTCGGAGAACGCCTAGGGCTATCACCCAATGAACTAGCAGGAAAGGCGGAGGATCGTGAAGAATGGAAGGAGGTTCTGAAGACCCTGCAGCCCGCGACCCCACCAAGGGAAAAGCGGAGAAGAAGATGATGATGATGATGACACTTGAAGATATTCCTGTGACTTTTTCTACTCACTTCATGCATCAATTTATCAATCAAATCTCTCTCTGTCTCTTCGTCTCGATTGATTTTTGTAGAGATCAATTAATAGAAGCACTGAGACAATCATGAGGATTAAAAAAAACAAGCGATGACAATGATTTCTCACCTCCTTCACGAGACGATCATGCGATGATCGCTCCTTATCGCGCTCCTTCAACTGTCCCGTGAGCCTTTCAATCTCCCTCGTGAACTCATCGCGCTCCACTTCTCTCTCTGCCGCCTGTTCCTCCAGAAATTGCCTGGTTGCCCTCAATTGTTTGTCCGCCGCATTGATCTGCACATATTTTGGATCAATTCATGGGATTTGGATTTGTAGTCAAGACACAATGTTTGATATCAAGTATGGAAATATTAGAAATGGACACTGCACTGCAAATTTCATGCAATCAACTACACTTCAGCAAACTAATTGGTGAAATTGTTAAAGGCAATTTCAAAAAGATATTAAGACAAAATAGATATAAATAGCAATACAAAATTACCTTATCAATCAACACCACATCCTTTCGTGTCAATACCATCGTGCCATGTGACTGCTAATAAGAACAAGAGATACAGAAGCACAAAATATTACATTATCATCTACAAGTGCTGTGTGTGTGTTAGGCCCATATTCGACGGGTGCCTCGAAAACTATAAAAAGTCAAAATCGCCATTTTTCAGCAAAGCGAGTTCAAAATTTTTGCATTAAAACAGCTGCGAAATTTGTCAAATTTACTTCAAAATACTCAAAATGCCTTCAAATTGTTCGTTAAAGTCAAAATATTGCTCTGTATTTTTTATTTTGTAAATGTTTTATTGGTATTTATTGAAATTTTTCACTAAAATGTGGTAAAATTAATAGAAAATCTGAAAATATTACTTTTCAAAGTCGATTTTTAATGGTTTTTGAGTCGATTTTATGCAAAAAATCAACTTTTCATACTACAATTGAACTTTTTCTTAATGTTTTCAAGTGAAAATTCTTCAGCGTAAACAATGAAAATTTGACTTTTCATTCGCAAAACATGACAATTTTATTTCCATTTGTGCTTTTTAGATAAATAAGATTTTTTTGTTATTTTCTCATAAGATACAAATCTTAAAATTCTTGTACAGAAAGAACAAGACTTTTCATAGTTTTCCATTCACCCATCGATATCAACATGTCCTTTCGGGCGCGTGCTTATCACACGATCAACTTAATTATCAAAATCATGTGCAAATCGCAACTATACGTGCTTCTTCCTCACCCACAAGCATTTAATGCTTACCTGAGCTTGCAAATCATCGCGATCGCGCTTCTTCTCCTCCTGCTGACGATCACCTTCGCGACAGAAGTCCTCAATGAGTTGGAAAACCACAGAGGAATTGTCTCCAATTGACACATTGGCTGAATTGTTGAGCAATTGCTTCGCCTTTTCCTGCAGTTCCGCAAAAGACAAAATTGACCTAGCATTTTGATGGATCGGTGAATTGGTATTTGATCCAAATCTGTGAAAGGAGAGAACAAATATTCAATCATTTCTACACTTTAGTTGTTGTTAGTAAAGATTTGTCTATCACAAAAATCTCAGCTTGATAATTTTCTTTTGGTTTAAATTGGTTTTGCCGAATCAATTTACAAATGTACTATAAACAGAAGAAACCAAGGTTTTTGAAACTTGAGTGTGAAATTAATGGAAGATACCTTGATTCCGAATTGGGTCAAATGCCTCCGCAAAATCTAGGAGGACAAGACCTAAGGATATTCCCATGATTAGGCACATGAAATGTGAGAGGAATAATCACTCACCCTTCACTCACAGTCTCCCGTCGTCCCTCCAGGACTGCCACGTGATCTTTCGCTGCGCTCAACTCTTGCACTAAACTATCATGACGACTGACAACTTCCGCGAGCTCCGCAACGAGACTCTTGCGCTCCTCCTCCGACTTCACCAGGCGATTCTTCAGCTCGTGCAGCTGAATGCTAATCTCACCCGCTCTCATGGCATCGATGGGCCCAAAAATAGGTAAACTGTGAGTCTCAGCGACATCTCTGTGCTCTCCATTGGCAAGATGTTCCACTAGAGAGGAGGTTTTGGTGATCTTTTGCCTCCTCACACCACTCTTCAGGCCATCCTCCTCCTCACAGCTGTCATCCTTCTCCTTTCCCAACACACCATCGCGACTCTTGGACAGATCTTCAGACAACTTCAGCAAATACTCCACCTCAGTGTTCAAGGACTCCAAGAAGTCATCCAGATTGAAGGGATTGGCATCCTCCACATCTCTGGCATTACTGATGAACTTCACCAACTTGGGATCTTCCACCAGATTGAGAATTCCACTGACGTCTGGTGTGAATTTAGCTCTCTTGGAACCACTGAGTGAATCTTGTTCTCCATCTGTCGACTGAATTGTCTCATCCAACACATTTACACCCACATTCTCCAACTGCTCCACGAAGGACTTGCTGAGATCCTCCTCATACACCACACAATACTTGCTCAATCCCACCAGAAGATTCCTCAGCGTTCCACTCAATTCTCTGTAATTATCACGCTCCGTGACAATGTCCTCCAAATCTCTATTGGAATCATAGGCAAAGTTGCGCTTCTGCTTCCTATTCAGCTGTCGCTCATAATCCGTCTTCAATCGTGACATCTCCTCCTCATGCTTGATCTGCAACTGTGTGATCTCCAATTTGTTCTGTGCTGTGAATTTTTCACGCAACAAAATCAACTCTGGCGGCCAGTGACTGTCCACAGATGAAGATTCTGACAGGAGAGCCTGAAAGAGAGACCAAATAAACACTCTTTTATCATTCAATTTGATTCTAAACACCCCTCAAATCACTCAACATAGCCAATTTGTTTACACACTGTGCAACGGAAGCCGTTGAACAATGTCAACGCAGTTAAAGTCGACGGGTGAATTGAAAACTATGAAAAGCCAAAAACGCAATTTCTCAGCAGAACGATTTCAAGATTTCGCTTCAATATCGCTGCAAAATTTACCAAATTTATCTTAAAAAGGCTTCAAATCGTCCGTTAAAGTGTAAATATTGCAAAGAATTTTTTATTTTGTAAATATTTTAGTTGATTTTATCCGTATTTATTGGAATTTTTGACTAAAATATGGTGAAATTAATGGAAAATCTGAACATTTTTATTTTTCAAAGTCGATTTATCATAGTTTTCGTCTTAAGTATTTTTGAAAAGCCTTTTATTCGTTCTTTCTGTATAAGAATTTTAAGATTTGTATCTTATGAGACAATAGAAAAAAATCTTATTTATCTAAAAAGCACAAATGGAAATAAAATTGTCATGTTTTGCGAATGAAAAGTCGAATTTTCATTGTTTACGCTGAAGAATTTTCCCATAAGAAAAATGTCTCAAAAATTGCAGTCAAACGCATAAAACGCCTTTTTAGAAAATATTTGTATATTTTCAGAATTATTCTAAAATGTTTTTTTTTGGGCTTTAAATGAATATTTCTCATATCTTTTAAATTTTTTCACTTGAAAACATTAAGAAAAAGTTCAATTGAAGTATGAAAAGTTGATTTTTTATATAAAATCGACTCAAAAACCATTAAAAATCGACTTTGAAAAGTAATATTTTCAGATTTTCTTTTAATTTTGCCACATTTTAGTCAAAAATTCCAATAAATACCAATAAAACATTTACAAAATAAAAAATACAGAGCAATATTTTCACTTTAACGAACGATTTGAAGGCATTTTGAGTATTTTGAAGTAAATTTGACAAATTTCGCAGCTGTTTTAATGTAAAAATTTTGAACTAGCTTTGCTGAAAAATGGCGATTTTGACTTTTTATAGTTTTCGAGGCACCCGTCGAAGTGTGTATGATAAAATTTCCTCAATCGTTTTCTCACGCTCATCCTTGTCCTAACGACAGAAATATACACCATTTCAACTCTTTCTCAACACACAATTTCCTGCTAAAAATACACTTTTATCGCAATATCTCTCCTGACAGATTGATCTACATTCATTCACACAAACAGCCAAGGTCAAGGAAGTGATATTTTTCGCACTTTTTGCCTTCTCAATCACTCTCAAAGAAAAAAAACCTATCATTTTTTACAACACGAACACACAACTTAACAACATATGGCATGAAATTTTCTCACAATTTATTTTTTTTCCTTTCATTCAAGCTGCCTCAGAAGGTTCATTGACTCTCGTGCGTTTATATTCTTTCTCATAACACGCACTTTTTCCTCCTTTTTTGATGCACGCGTTCACTCTCGCCAGACACAACATTGTCTATTTTTTCTCAGTTAGTGTGGGAGAAGAAAGACAAATACGGCATGTGAAAATGCCGGATATCGCACGGATGTTGCAAGTTTCCCTTAAGAAGAAGGGAGAGAAAATCTCCTAAAAATAGAACACTTTTACCTCCTGCAGAATGTTGTGAATGAACAAAATCCACTCAATTGATGATATGATAAAGTATTGAACAATCAGTGAAATCATAACCAAACGATCGTCACTCTGGAAAATTCTTCTATTATTTTTGCACACACTCAGAGAGTCAAATTTTCTTTTTCACCACCAAACAACACAACACAAGATCGTGATCTCCACACTCTCACATTGACAGAATGGCAAAGAGTTGCGGAAAAAGCTGTAAAATCCCGTGAAAGAAAAGAAGAAGCGGGTCACAAATTCAAAATTAACACACCAGCGTGACTGTACGCTTTGAGAGTACGAATGAAACTGCTGAATCTCCCCCAAAATAGATCATCTCTCTCTCTGTCCCATAATTCCCATCCTTCCTCACGATCATCCAGCCTCTCACACACTTCACATCTCCCGCCCTTGTGTGTTTGTCACACACTTTTCCTCTCCCTTATCAGCCCATTCCGACAAATTGCCCTGCTGATAGCAGAGTCAAAACACAACCAGAAGATCAAACCAGACAAATGCCATCACAAAATACCAGAGAGATGATCTCATTTCCACACATTTTTGGCATTAGAGACAGTCAATGGCGTCCCGCAAAGTGAACTTTTTGGATTTATATTTATAACGCACACTCGCACGCCTCCGGACTATTTAAATGCATTTGCATTTGTCACACAGAGAAAAGAAAACAACAAGAAGGGTCTCTTCTCTCTCCCTTTAAAATAGCTCTTCCCCAGTTTGCTTCACTCATTCCTTTGGCTCCCATTACCAGCTCTTGCGCATGCATGCAACAGGGCAAGACCTCAATGTTGGTGAAAGTCTTGAGAATTCCTCCAGAAAAATGACAAGCATAAGCATTAGAATAAAATCCGTGAAAAGACTTTGGTGGCTCAGGAACAGAGTTGATGAGAAGAAAATAGTTAGAAGGAAGATTAAACTACACAGAAAGAAGATTTCGTTAAATTTTTCTAAAAAATTTCTGAAATCGTATGGGAAAATTACGAACATGTTAGTAAAAATGTCTTCCGGGTAAACATTTGTCAGATTTTGTAAATTTTTTTTTACAAAATCATCTAATTGACACATTTTACCAAATCGGCTCGTAAAAGCTCGTAATTATTCGTCAAAATTTGTGCTCGTAATTCTTACTTGCCGTTTGTAATTCTATGTAATCCTTCTAATAGGATTACAAATGCTGGTAATTTCTTGTAAATTTTTCTGGAGTTTGTAATTTAATTGGAATGAAAAGACTGTATTTTCCTTTTCTTTCATAATTTTATTATCTGAAAGAAATACATGTATAACTTGCCTTAAATTTTAACATTTTTTTACTATCTTTTTACAGAAAATATTATCAGACTTATAATTTTAATAATCTACTTGAATTTTTTTACATTTGACATAAAATGACTTGCAATCTTTTGTTCGTATTATTCTTGAAGACAACTTTTAAAATCAGTAAAACTCACAGTTTTTTTTTGAAGATGAACACACTGAAACGTTGATGACTTGGATCGCTGCGAAGCTCTCAAAGACAGCGTTCTTCCAACGCTGTCCGGAACAAATCCCATTTGGAGACAAGTCCGGACGATGTTCTCTAATGCTCGCGGTCCGATTCCAACTGTGTTCCGTGGAATTGTGAGGTTATGTTGTCCTCTTTGCATCCTCGGCAACTTCTGACGCACTGTAGATTAGTCCTGGACAATACGCGAAACCCATCAATATCCTTGTCACTTGCTGATGAAGTGAGGAAATGCGGGAAACGTTTTTTCCTGGAAAAGAGAGAATAAGTCAATTATGAGGCGATCAAATTCCCCAATTCGAGGAAAGAAAACACTTACCAAATAGTGTCTGGTGCAAAGACGCACAATTCCACACTTGAAGACGCACATGAAGTACATTTTCACTACTTTTCCGCGGTGAAAACTGCATAATTTGATGAATTACGGCACTTTTCACGAAACGAATGCATTTTGTTCCACCATTTTTTTTTTGACAAACTGACTTGCCACCGAAGCAACAGAGACAAATATACTAAAAGTGCTGAAAATCTATTTGTCTCTTTCGCACTTGCAGCTGTGGTCAATGATGGGTGGTAAAAGTTCGTAAAAGTTTGTAAAAATTTGTTATATTTCGTAAAAATGTTGAGATTTTTACGAAAAATTACCTATTTTTACATATTTTTTGTAGATTTTCGTGAAAAAGGCAATTACTATCGTGTTTAACAAGCTTTGTCACTATTTCAACTATTTTTTTTTTCTTTCTGTGTATATATAAATTCAAATCAAAGATCATCGCATTATAAAATATGGTATTTTGTTAAAATTAGTAACAACACCCCGTCGTAAAACAACTCACTTGAATGTGCTTATCCAATTCCTCGAGAATGTCCTGCCTGGCAAGATTGACTTGCTCCTTGAGCCTTCGATCGTACTCAGCCATGATCACTGTCACCTCATTGCCATCATTGTTAGTGTCATCGTTAGTCTTCGTGAGTCGCCACAAAAAAACCACAGACACAAAAGAGTCAATAAGTTAATGTCATATGAGAATTTATGCATGCCGGAAATTAGGACAGTAAAAGCAGTAAATAAAGCAAAGGACTCACCATAAATTCATCTTCCGCGTACTTTGCCTCGAAGCGCTTCAGCTTATCGCGAAGAATTCGCACTGTTTCACTGTGAATCTCCTGCATTTTGGCCATTTTACGCTCATAGTGAGTCCGAAGACTGGTCAGCGGCGGCTCTGCCACGTCCGGAGACTTCCTGGGCGAACCACTGATGCTTGTCGGTGTGATTTTCCTGTGTGTGGGACTAGAGTAGAGATCCTCCTTGAATTTATTGAGTGACTGTGGCTCTGTCGGCAGAACATCCTGATCTGACAAGTCAGAGTTCGTGTCATCTGTGTGCCTCTGGCTGTGCTGCGAAAATATCTCCTCGGAATACTGCTTCTCCAGATCCGAGCACTTTCTCTCAAAGTACTGCCTCAACTGTGTCATCTCCACATCCTTGTCATTCTTCTCCGCCTCCAGACGATCTGCCAACACCTTAATCTCCGCCTCATGACGCATTCGCACCTTCTCAATCTCCTGCGACAAGAAGTCATCGAACTTCTTCTGCACCATGAAGAAGATTCTCAACTCCTCGGGCGTGAGATACTTCTGGAATTGCTCAATCTGCTTGGAAACACCCAGACTCACTTGCTCACGCACCTCATCCATCTGTCGCTCGCGACTCTCGCGATTCGATTGATCGTCTGGGAAATTCTTCTCACTCTCCTCATCGGTTTCACTGACAAGATCAATGGAGATCTCAGACAGACGCTGACTATCCTCACGCGGACGACTAGAACGCTGCAGCAGTTCAGCAGTCTCGGCCAATTGCTTCCTCAACTGATTCACCTCCACCACAAGACGATCACTCTGCGACTGCAAATCCTCACGCGCCTCCGTTGACTGCTGCAGCGACGTGGTGAGATTCTCAATCATCTTATCGCGCTCAGCAATGACGTGCTGAATGTCCAGAGTCTGCAGCCTCTGCAAGTACTCCTCCTGAAGTGTCCTGTACTCGGTGGAATTTGTCACCAGACTCGCTGAATCCCGCTCAGATACTGGACACTCCCTCAGTGAATCTCTGCGCGAAATTATGGCCGAGATCGGAAGCTCTCTGCCATTCTCCCAGATGTCCTTGGCCCGCCGCTCGAGACTTGCTGGTGATTCCTCGCGCGGAGACGCACTCTCCTCACTCTTCTGACTCACCGGCAAGGATCTGAGGTCCGGCGTTGTGGCACTGTGGGACTGACTGAAGAAGGAATTGCTGGAAATGGTCTTTCTCAGCTCATTCTCATGACTCCGATTCACAGTGTAAACCTTCAGCTTCTCAATTGACTCTATACTCTCGAGAGCGTGCTCTGATTCCTCAGAAATATCCTCCAACACTTCCTTGTTGTACTCCAAACACCTTTCCATGGGTTTCACAAGAATTTCCTGATCCCCCTTCGGAGAGTTATCAGCTGAAGTCTCCTTTTGACTCGTCACAACTTCCATGACCTTCTCACGGAACTTCTCCACGTCTTCCTGTGGATTTTCCACATGTTCCCCATCCAGAGAGTCCAGCGGATCCTCCTGAACACTCACTTCAATTGAGTCATGAGTCACAACAATTTCCTCCACAGATTTATCCTCTTCAACACTGTCATCAGAAACTGCCTGACGCTCTCGCAAATCCTTCAGACTCACTTTCTGATCATTCAGCAGTATGACATCATCCTCTTGTCGCTCAGACAACGAATCCAGATCCTTCAGTGCCTCATCGAGGGAATCCAATCCACTTTCTGCACGAAAATGCTGCGCAATTTTCCCACCAGACAGCAAATCGTCCAATTTCTCCTCATCCACGGCAAATCTCGATGGTCCCGGAGCTTCCAAGTCGAACAACTGTCGCCTACGAATGTCCATTGCATCCTCAGGATGTTCAGAGCCACTGCCTGACAGCACCTCCTCAATATCCTCCTCAATTGGCAACGACGGCGCTCCTGAATCACTCACTTTTCCCACCGCGGCAACTTCACTGTCACTCCTGGACGCTTCCAGGGAATTGTGCGACATCTCTCGCGATGACTCCTCACCAGAGTGATCTGAGGAGGAGTTTGTGTTGCTTTTCTTGCGATTCTTTCGTCTGGTGAACGATGCCAACTGAAAAGAGCCGAAGAGAAAAGGGTGTTCAGTCACTGAATGGCAAATAAAAGCACAATAATTGTGCGTTGAAGGTTGAACGCTTTTGTAGAGTGTCTGAAGCATATTGTGTATATTTCTCTAACCACGCCTCATTCAATGCTCCGCCCAATAATCATTTACCACCACACTTTAAACACTATTTTGTGTCACTTTCTATCCAGAAGGCAAGCAAATGGATAAATTGTGTAGTGAAAAATTCCCCAAAAGCCTGAATTAATTGCAATCTCAGCACCCTTTGTGAGACTTCGTGACGCTTTTGGCTTCGCAATAAAATGATCAATATTGTGTAAATAAACAGTGATAGTGAATTCTGTGAACACGCGCATTTCAGAAATCGGCGACGGGGTCAAAAATAGTGCCTTTCCGTGGCTGGAATCAATAGCCCAATTTTTTATTCTCTTCCTTTCTCTCTCTCAACACGAGATCATCAAATGGAATTTGCTCTTCGTGACGTCGGTATTTTTTTTTCCCGCCTCATCGCAACAGAGAATTCCTTCGGTGAGATCAGGCGTGAGATTTCCATGTAAACAAATCGAGTGAGATTCTGTGATTTTCCCCTGGCCGGTGGAAAATGCTTAAGAGAAGCCACGATGATTCGTCTTTCCGTCCCAATGTTGGTTTTAAAATTAAAATCGCACCGTCGTGTGTGGAAGAGCGGGGCGAGGATAGTCGCGTGCCAGGGTTCTATTTGTGGAGTGTCTCCCTTTTCGGGAAAATGGGCATGTGGAACGGATCCATGATCTTCACATGCTGAATTGTGTGCCTTCTTCCGCTGGGGCGCCACTCAAGTGAGACGACCACAGCCGAATATCTCTTTCAATTTCCTCACCACTCAATTCATTGACTTTTATGATGATCTCTGCGTGATTGTCTCGATGCCAGTTAATTGGATTCCCTCCCTGACTCAGGAATTTCATTGTTTATTTTTAGAGAAAACGCCTCAAAGCATCTCCAACTGCATTGCCTCTTCGACGCATCGATTGGGATGTATTTTTCATATTTTCTTTCATCAAAAATCTTTCATCTAATCGCCCAAGGAAGCGTCCGGCAAAAGGATTTTTTTTCGCACTTTCTCCCCACTTCCTGTGCATTCATCACTGAAATTGCCGTGAAGATATATCAAAAGTGTCTCCTAGTGAGACATTTGCATTAGGATAAATCCTAAAAATAGCCATAAATAGATGTGAATTTTGACCATTGCATTTGAATGATGTTTGCTTATCAGGCACGTCTTCAATGGCGACCACACAGGAAAAAAGTCCCCAAAAGACACTTTACCTTCTCCCTGCCAACCTCAATCTTCTCCTGGCGATCACTCATTGTGTCCCCGTGGAATTGAATACAAAATCACAACGAAACATTCACATTTAACAAGGAAAAACTGAAGAAAAATGCACAGCGACGCACAAGCAGACAAAACGTCGGATGATTTTTTTATTGTTTTCTGGGACACACGCACGAAATGTCCCAAAATCACCGCTGGTAACCCCTTTTAACACCGCGCGCCGATGAAAACCCGTCAATTGCACCCATTCATATTTTATTCATTCAACGATTGTTTGATTCTCCGTTTAATTCACTCTGTTTTATTAGTAAAAGTGTTGATGTGATGAAAATGCTTCATGTGACTCTTTAGATTCTGCTTTTGCTTCGTTGTTTTCCCGCATAATTCGCATTTATATGGATTTTCGCCGGTGTGCTGACGATAGTGAACCTTTAACAGAAGAAAGAGTGCATTAATTCCCGGTATAAATCCCACATGAGACGCCCAAACTCACCCTGAGACTACCCTTGTCGGAGAAGCGCTTGCCACAGTGCTCACAAGCGTACGGCTTCTCACCTGTGTGACATCGCCTGTGCACGGCGAAGGAGTTCGCCTCGTGAAACTCCCTCTTGCAGCCGACGTAGTCACATTTAAAAGGCTTCACGCCCGTGTGCTTCCGCATGTGGATGTTCAGGCTGTCCCTGGACTTGAATCCCTTCCCGCACACGTCACAGATCGCCGTGCGCTCTTCCGAGTGCGTCAGCATGTGTCGCTTCAGGTTCATGTTCGTCTTCAGCACCTTCGCGCAGATGCTGCAGGATTTTCCCGCCTTTTCCGGGTGCCTCTCTCGTGTGTGGACTTTCAGCTCACCACTCGATGGCAGCATTTCACCGCAGTATTTGCAACTGCACTCATCGTTCACGGCATGCCGGCGAATGTGAGATTGCAGGCCAAACTTGGTCTTGAGAATCTTCTGGCAAATCTCACACTCAAACTCCTCGTCAGTCTTAACTGGCCTTTTTCGTATCCTTTTCCGCTTTGCCGAACTTTCTTGCTTCTCCCCAGTAATTGCCTTGTTTATGACTATTTTCCGTGATTTTGGAACTTCCTGGAAGTAAACAGCCTCATTTTCCATCACAAACTGCTGTGGCTCGTCAAAGTTCAATGACTCCTCTTCGGGCTCTTCCTTCTTAATATCAGGTTCAACTTTTATGTCATCAGGCAGCACAAAATTGTCCGTATTGCAGGTAATCTGTGGGAGAAAAAGATCCTATAGAGCTGCCAAGATATACTTTCACGTGGAAAATGCACACATTTTCACTTCCTGAGTTGCTCTTTTCGGGGATTTCCCGCACACTTCCTGTTTCCTCAAACAGATTGATAACCTCAAAAATGAGTGGATCAGGAATTTCATCGTCCATCACGCCAAATTCCAAAAAATAATCATTCTTCACACACTGCAGGTCACTTTCATTCTTGTAGAATGTCTTCACAAGGAAAATCCTCTCCTTGAGAGTGTAAAAACTGAGATTATTGCGCATTTTCACCAGATACGGAAACCAAAACAAAGCAAAACTGACGTAAACTTCCCGGCTGAACGAGTCGCACTGCTTTCCACCGAGTAAATTACCCGTCATGAGTTTTGTGGGGAGTAAAACACAGGGTTAGTCATACACAATTTCTTTCAAACGTTGAGAAAATCAGCAGGATTCATAAACTGCGAATCGGCAAATAGTACAAAAAAAAAATTTATTAATTGCTTTACATAGAAACCGTGCATTATCAACAAGTCGCTGGTGGACAAATGTACATGATGATTAATGTGAGGATTAAATTAGTGCAGGGTGATTCGTGCCAATTACACCAAACTCGACGCTCCCACGTTGTACGGCCGGCCACGCGTGCCGCCCAGATCGCTGTCCGTCTGACCAGAGAGACTGGGGCTCGGGCCGTGCGAGCTGCCGCAGATCTTCGTGCTGTAGCCCGAGTCATTGTTCATCTCGCGCTCCAGCTGCGCCTGCTCCATCATCTGCTGCTCCATCTCCACCAGATTCGTGTAGCCAAACTTCCTGGCCGACAGCAGCTTCTCGCGCTGCGGAATCACCGGCTGATCGTACTCGGGCTGCACGAGGAAGTCGTTCACATGATAGGGCAGCGGGTTTCGGTTGCGCGAGTCGCAGAAGCTGGTGATCATCTCGTCTGCCGGCGGATTGTAGCGATTCTTGTGCGGCAGATCATGGAAGTAGGCATCCTTGGGGATCAGGGCGGAGCGATCGAAAGCCTGACCGTTGGCCATCCACGTGGTCTGGCCATTGGGCAGACATCCGTTCGCCTGACTGCTGTGACTCAAGCCCGATCGATAGTTGGCCACTTGAGGCTGCGCGCGATGGTAAGTCAAGGGCAGCAGGGACTCCTCGATGTGCTGCGTGTAGCCGTTCATCTGGTTCGTGGGATAGTAAGAGTCATGACTCTGCGGCGCCACGTCTTCCTCCTGAGGATCCGCACTGTCTTCGTCGCTGCTCTCTGACTCTTCCTCCTTGACCTGCTAGAGAGAGAGAGAGAGAGGGAACAGTCAGTATAAAAGCGACAATCAGTGATCTAGCAACTCACCTGAGCCTTCAATCGTGTCATCTTTCCCTGGATTTTCGCCACCAGTTCGTGCACTTTGCTTTTGGGCTGCGTCTTCAGTGTCTTAATCTCGCTGTTCTTGATCTCATACTTCGTCGGCATGCTGTTCTCCACTTGCGCCACCGCATCCGTCTGCTCAGACTCCTGGCGATTATGATCATGGGCGCTCTTCCGCAGCACCTGACTCCTCCAGTGTGATCCATTCAGAATCCTGCTCTTCAACTCGTGCAACTCCTTCATATTCGTCAACTCCGACACCATTTCGTCCGCCTTCTCCTCAGACACTGATCCTGACACCTCAATCGACACCTTGTCCGCACTCTGCGCCAGCGAATCGTCCGTCAGTGTATTCTTGTCCGACTTAATCGTGTTGCTGGATGATGTGTTGTGATCCTCAAAGCAGGCATTCTCGTAGAAACCATTCACCATCGGTGGCGGTGGCGTTTGCTTATCTCCCGGAGATCCAGGGTGACGAACGCGCTGGTTGAAATCAGGTACATAAACACTGCTGCCAGAGTCACTCATGCGACTCCTCGAGCGTGTGGCGGCGTCCTTCTCCTTCCCATGCTGCACCTCTTTGGCAATCTCCGGTGACACTGGCGCCACTTCCGCCTCCTCCTTCTCCATCATTTGATTCATCAGCGACGCCGTGATCTTCTCCATCTCCTCGGCAATGTACTGCGAATCATCCAGATCACCACTTGTGCCCATTCGCATGCGTGATTTCTTCCTGGAGTGCGGGAACATCTTCATCAGCTCCCTGTTCCGTCGCCTCGTCGCGCGCTCCATCTCGATAATCTCGTGCGTCTTCGTCAGCAATTCCTCCAGTCTCTCGCTCACATTCATCGCCTCGGCACCCTCATTCTTGCTCGTGGAGCAGCTGTGATTGCTGGAGCGCCTGGACGCCTCCTTCGTCGCCACACTGCTGGCCACATCGCTTCTGTGCACTTCCACTTGTGTGTCCAGCAAATCCACACTGCGACTCAGAGCACTCTGCGAAGACTTCAGCCGCCCATCCACAGTGTCGTCCAGCAGCTCGAGACTCCGACAGCGCGTCAGCGTGTTGTTCGCCTCGTCCTTGCGCGACTTACTCGTGTGATGCCTCTCATTCATGGTGGAGCGCCCCACAGCGCCTCTCTTCAGCCACTGCTCCAGATGCAGTCGCCTGCCCTCACACCGAATCCTGTCCGCGATCATCGAACGCGTCAGCTCGCCAATCTGATCCTCCGTGCGCATCGCCAGCGCCGTCACTTTGCTGTCCAACTTCTCAGTCGCCCTGTCCACATACTTCCTGATGCTCTTGCGATTCTTCGTGATCTTCTCCTCGATGTGCCTGAAGAAGGGCCCACAGTAGCACGTGTTCCCCACCCCAATCGGCCCCTTTCGGATGTTTCCCGCCAAATCCAGATAGTACTGCTCGCCCTTCGCCAGCGGCTCCTTGGGCAGCGTCTCCAGCTTTGGCGACGGAAAGGAGCGCGGATCCGGGAAGTAGTGACATCCATACGGTGACCAGTGCTTTGGATCCGGCTGCTGTGCATCCACGCGATCACCCTTCTTCACCTTCTCGCGACTCTTCTCCCGCTTGGGCTCCTTCTTCGAGCTGCCCGAGCTCTGGTCGCGCTCCGTCTTCTTCGGCGGCGCATTGAGAATGTCCAGAATCTCAGACAGACCCTTTCGCAGTACAATATCTCGCGGCGTCTCGTGCTGACCGTTCTTCTGGTCCTGCTTGCAACCCGCTTCCATGAGGATTCGCGTGAGTTTTCGCCTGCCCATGGCGCAAGAGATGTGCAGAGCCGTGTCACCGTTCAGATTCACGCGCTGCAGATCGCATTTGGCCGACAAGAGGATCCGCGTGGCTCCAGCATGGCCATAGCGACAAGCTGTGTGGAGCGGCGTGTCACCGTACTGCGAAGTGAGAGAGCATCGGATTAGAACAACTTCATCATTGGAATCATAAGAGTAGATTGGGAAGAAAAAAACTTACGTTGTTCTGCACATCGGCATTGCCGCCCGAGAGCAGAATCTCTCTGCAGCTCTGATTGTGGCCATTCTGGGCGGCGAGATGGAGAGCCGAGAAGCCGCCAAAGTTTCGCGTGCCCAGCAGGGCGCTGTGCAGGGCGCCGCGCGTCTCCTGAATCACACCCTTCACCTGTCGACTGGACTCTTTGGGTGTCTTGAGCTTTGGCAGGGCGCACAGCGCCTTCACGCACCGACTGTATCCTCGCCACGCCGCCTCGTGCAGTGCCGTGTTGCCATGGCGCGAATCCTTGGCATTCCTGTCCGCGCCGGACACCAAGAGAGCCTCTAGAGCCTTCTCATCCCCAGCACAGGCCGCATCGTGCAAGGCCGTCCGCCCCGAGTCCATCTGCATGAGAGAGAAGCAAAACACTGTAATCTCACATGGGTTCTCACATCTTTATCTCTCTCGCAAAGCCATTAATTTCACGCAATTCTTGCATTTCTGCCCTCATTTTTATTATTATTTCCTATGCACACTGTCCGTGGGACAATTGGAATGCCGACGAAGCAGGGAAGTTGAGAGAGAGAGAAAGAGGCAAAACATGACATGAACAAGGGTACAAAGATGAGACAAATGGAACTCTGGAATGCACTACAATTGATTTTATTCAGCCATAATACACGTTCACCTCATCTCTTTGCCCAGCAAAAAAGACCAGCCAAAGTATATGCAAAAACAACATCTCTTGACTCTCAATCATTGTTGAACAAACAATTGGATGAGAGAGATTTTTTACCCAGAGAGAAAGGGTTTGGCACAGCGAAACCCTGAAGCATATTTGCTTATATACTCTTCTCGCTGAGATTGTTTTTGAGAATTCTTCCTCCAGTAAATGCACAAAATGCTTTTAAATATGATAATACAAGTGACAGAACAGCACGAGCACAAAAACCATCATCGAGCTGAAAATGACAATGTAATAATTCTTTTCTATCATCTCTCCACTCTTAAGAACATTTTCCTGGGTTGCGCGGAAGAAATGATTGTGTACATGACAGAGAGAGGGAGGAAAGGAGACCAAGACAAAACATAAACTAATCAAGATTGAGAAATCCATAAAGATGAGCACGTTGAGATCACATAATCGTCCACCTTCTTCGCCACAATAAGCCTTCGCACACAGCTTTGCCGTGTGCAAAGAGAACCCACAAATATACATGAAATTCTAGACACGTTCGATGGCAAAAAGGCAGGGTCACAGGCGCTCAGCGATCACCCGAGAGAGAGACTTTAATATTTATAATATGAAGCCAGAGAGAAATGATGGCAAGTGAAAAGTCGCAGATCATTGTCCTCCAGAGACTTCAACTATTTCTGGACAATTGAACTCTGCGTCTCGCAAGGCAATTTTCAGTAATCACCCTCACTCAGAGATGCGCACAAGACAAGGTCGCTTGAATTGTCGATCACGTATGATCGCATTGTTGCAGGGCAAAAGTTGTGCCGCGAAAGATTGCGCAGAGAGAGAGAGAGAGAGAAAGAGCAATGTGGAGATGGTCTCTTTTATGCTAGGAAAAGGTGAATTAAATGATCACGATATATATCTCTAGAATTTAGCTCTAAGGCCACAATTGATTGACGATTTTTCAGGCTTCTGGATCAAGATCTTTGTCTTTATTGGCAATTTTTAAGATTCCAGCCAAAAAGATTACCTTGATAATGGTGAAAACACAACATTTTGCTCATACCATCTCGGCTCGGTCCCGTCAGATTCCCTTCAGAATTTTGGTCTGCAGATCAACTTTTGGCGCCTTCACACAATCTGATTTTCTCCACAATTATGACTCATTATGGACGAAATCAATTAATTTTTGAGTTTTTTTCCACACTTAAATTCATTTCATTGACGATTTTCTCGATTTTCCATATGAAATTGGTCTATTTTGACCATTTTGACAGCAAGCGCATTGTCAGACACGTCAAACTCAAATACAGCGCGGGTTGCCCAACGTAAAATCTGCAGCCACACACTCGACATAAAAATGTCGTGAGAAGGAAGGAAAATAACACGATTCGCGTGGGGAAGAAAGAGATGACCTAAAACAATTGTCCAATGACAAAAGCTGTGTTTTCACCATAAGAAACATTATTTATCAAGAAAAATTCTTAAAATCGAAAGGCAATGTGTGAAAACTGCTTTAGTTTTCCTTGCAACCAGGATTTTTCTTATACTGAAACACATCGCAAGAAGTTGATGACTGAAATGTTCCAATTTATTGTATATACACGTGCCTCTCTTTTCCAGACCACAAAATCCCTCTCTTTGTCGCCTACGAGAATTGTCACAAAAGGCGTCTCGCGTCTCAGAAATGGCAATTCATCTGGTGAACTTTATGACTTTGGCGAGAATAACTCGAAATTGCGCTCGAGGGTCAAATTTGGGTCAAGAATGGAGACTCGTTTTCTCAACTGACGATCCTCAAGCCTTTGGCCAGCGAGATTAATTTCCAGGAGAAATTCACCGAGCATACGAGAAAGTCCATGTCATAAATGTCTCGTGCAATCAAATCATGTTTTATGTAAATTTATGCTAAAAATGCCTTTTTTTCTATCTCATCTGTGTGTAGGTGAACAACCAATCGAAAATATGTATGCAAATTGAGATAGATTGTGGCTCCTCTTCAGCCATGAAAAAAAAGCGTCACTGAATAATTAAGCTTTCATCTTCAATTTTGAAAATGGACATTTGTTGTTTAGAGTTTTCACAACAACTCTGAGATTAGACAGAGACCAAAAAAAAAAGAGATAGAGAGATTTAGAAAGAAGCAACGTCACATAATTAACTCATTTTCATTTTGAAGAGACTGTAAGAGAACAGAGAGAAATAATTTGACAAATTCCACCTTATATAAAGAGGAGACGCAAAATGATGATTTCGTCAAGACTCAGAGAAACACACACAAGAAATCCCTCAAGGTATTTGCGTTGCCATTAAATTTCAGGGCACGTCCACTTCATGTTGAATGTGTGAAATGATTGTGTGTTATTTTTCGTGAAAAATACCCACAAAACATCCTCGCGAACATTTTTCAGTATATCGAGTCCGTGTCAGTCTGGGAGATGATTTATTAGTATTTAATGGTCGCCAAATTGAACGTTTTTCATACTTGATGCACATTAATTTTTCACTATATTCACTGTGTACTTGATACAAAGTCACAGCATCATCTTCTCTGCCCCTTTTATCAGCAATGCGTGCACATAGATAGGGCAAGAAAGGAGATCGAAGTCAGTGAATGGGAAAAAAAGTGAGCGCGCACAGCAAGAATTTACATTGTTATTATTATTATTAGCGCTTAACGGAAACTTTTAGCATCAACTATACAACTCAATGATTTACAGCATGTCGATATTGCCAACCGACAAGATGCACTCCATGGCAAAACGGCACCGCGCAGAGGAAGAGAGAAGAGAATGGCCGAAGAATCCTGTCCTGTTCCTTCAGCAGCAGTTGATCTCACCCAAGATCAACTGCGGTGAGATTCTTTCTTATTACACGCGTGTCTCGTGAAGGTTTCTGTAGCGATCGTGTCGGTATTTCTCAATGGAAAAAACTTAATATGAAATCAATGGGGGAAAAAAATGTCACTTCACCCATTTTTTCCCCCACTCAATCCTCAGAAGCTTTGCCAATCAATTGGCAATGTGAGCAATTAAAATATCTAGACTTCTGGGAAAAATATCGGCTCTTCAACTGCATCAACATCTTCGTTGCAACTTCTCTCTGACTGACTGATTGACTGAAACACTAGAATGTCGCAGTGCAGAAAATCATTAACATATTTGATCAAAACCTTTCATCTACACTGCAAATTGATCGTCACAATCACATGCATTAGCAAATCAAGTTAATTAGAAGGGGAGAGAGAAAAAAAAAGTCCATCTAATGGAACTTCCGCCCAACGCCCACATTAAATCCATAATCTTTGCTCTGATGTAAACTCTCGCTTTACACAGCGCCACAAATCGCCCTCATATTCCAACGTTAATTGGTGACCTTTTTCCAGTCAACACGAAGTAGCACAAAAATGACTCTATTGTGCAATATCGACAAGAATCTTTTGCACAATTTGCAGCCTATTTCAGACGCCCTTCTTCGAAGTGAAAGCCTAAAAATCCCTGACTCGCCACTATACGAACTCGTGTAATTAATTAACATTGGAGTTTTAGTGGAAAATTGCAGAATAATCATTAACCCGGAGAAATGGTTTCTCTTGCACAGTAAGAATGTCACTCGAAAATACCGGAGATCTTGTAAGTCACTCCCACTAATTGAGGCTAATGACTCTTTCCGCGAGACTTTGGTCACTGTCTTGTGCACAAGAATTAGCCAAAAAGGCCCAGGGAAAAGAGGCGGGAAAAGTCTGACAATTACAATACCTCTAAGATGCTAGCGATACTAGTTCAGTTAGAATAATTATGTGATCTTCTTACCTGTGTCTTGCTGTTGGGAAGAAGTCGATCCTCCCGAGGCCCTCGTGAAGACCCATTCTGCATTTCTGTGGAAGAGGCGCAGAGAGAGAAAAAAAGAGCCAAGTGAAAGACAATGAGCAGACCATAAAATTAAATGAGGAGAAAATTGCTATTGTGTGAGAGATTGTGTAACAAAATTAAATTCAAATTAAGTGATATTCTCGTTATAAGATCACAATCGCCCCAAAAAGGCAATTTTCTTTTTCGATAAAACTATAATACACATAAAATCGTCATTTGGGAAGTCTCTTGTTTCATCTATTTGCTGTTTAATGGAATAAAACACAGAGAGTGTTTTAAGAGTACAACATCAATAATTGTGTCTTTGTTTACGTAAACTGTTCAGAAGATGTTTTGGATAAAGATTTTACCAGTTTCAAAGGGTTAACCAGTGAAGAAAAAACATATTCGCAACATTTAATTTCGATGCAATTGCTGGAAAATTGCTTAAAGATTATTCCAATTTTCCTCTTTCACGCAACATCTTCGCCCATAAAATTATCAACAATAATAATTCTGTGGGAACGCTCAATTCACAGAGTTTAAATAAATGCAGTGGCAAATGATAGGAAAATGCCAGTGAATTTATGAGAGCCAACATGATAGTTGCAAGTTGACAGCAATTTAGATTGCAATGTCACATAAGGATTAGTTGATGGAAGCAAGAGGCATCAATTTAATTGATTCCCCAGGAATATTAACACCTCGAGCCAGTTAGAAAATGCCAACATTCTCGATAGATTAATATTGCGCTGCAGATGAAAAGTCATTGATGCCATCATAACCTACTAAAAGACCTGTGTTAAGCTGTCAATATGTCGCGAATCAACTCATCTTTATCTTCAAACCATCTCAAAATGCTAATTAAATCACTTATTTTATATTCTATTAAATTCCCATCCACTTTTACAAATGTATATCAAGTTTTTTTTTGTCGATACCGGGCAAAGAAATTCATTTACCACACCTTTTCACTTATTCCATTGCATGCTTTTCCCGCTCTTTCACTCCTTCTTGTGAGACATGTTATTGAAAACAATTATCATAACTGACAAAATGTATGTGTGCAGATAAAATTGCTACATTTTCTTCGACATCGCATTTGAAGCGATACTTTAATACCAATTATTATCTTCACACACACCTTTTTCATCTTCATCGCGTGAAATTTCCCTCGAACAGAAGACAATGATGATTTTTCACCGCAAAAAAAAAACATGTTCTCATTGAGCAATTTTTCTATATGCAACTCTTTAGGTGAAAAGATGCGAACCGTTAATGAAACAAATTGATTTATATTTAAGACATCTTCCATCTATATGCTTCACAACACCATAAAGGGCATTTGCCTGTGATTGAAGACATTTAGACTTGGCAGAGTGCACGGAGATTCACATTTATTGTGTGCCAAAACCACGATTGTCCTCCACTGGCAGGGAAGACAGTGCGAGTTTAATTGCGTAAAAAGCACTTTTGCAGCATTGTGGTCAAATTGAGACTAATCTGAGGTTTACCTCTTTGTCGCTGCAGATAAAAAGCACTAAATTTTGGCCACTTCTCGGCTGGCCAAGAAAGTCTCAATCCGCAGCCATTGTGAGTTGTGCGGATCATTGAACTCACCAAAAGGCGGGAGATTGTTTTTTTCGTGCCCAATATTCTGGCGAGTGGAGAGAAAATGATGTATTAATTGACTTCCTTCTTAGACAAAATTGAAATTATTTAAATTACCCATCCATCAAAGTCCGTCGGATGGAATTTCGGGATGTGGCAAAGAAATGAAGGGTTCTAACGAAAATTAATTAAACACCACTCAAAACAATATCTCAATTAAAGCGATGCACGGAGGAAGAAAGTCAATGGGATTCGTGGATGACGATAGGCATCTCATTTTCCAACATTTGCCGCAGAGAAATCCACGGAGATTGAGAGAGAGAGAGAGAGAGAGAGAGAGAGAGAGAGGGATTATAAGAAAATTGTACGAGAGAAAAATAATTTCAGGCATTTCCGTGTTGTAGTGCATTGGCGAACAAACTATCGGTTTGCCAGTGATTAAGGTGCTGCACTTTTCTCTCCCTCCTTCATTCTTTGCAGCAGCTCTCTTCTTAAGCAAACGCCAAGGAGAAATGATGAAAGATAATTCACATGGAATAGATTCTCAATAATGACCAATCTTCCTTTACTGAGTCGTCACGAAGAATTTGAAGTATGTTTAACCACGCAAAAGTGTTACTTTTCGCATCCAACCACTGTGCTATTATTCAGCAGAACAATTTCTCTGTGCCTTCCACACAAAACCCATATTGATGTAAAAACATTTTATGCAAATAGCATTTTCTTCTCCACCTTCCCTCAATTACATTTTTCCAACCATTTGCCTGGTATACAAATTGAGCAAATAGGAAATTTAAAGTCTATTTAATGATCAGTTGCGTTATTTGACTTTTTACTCTCTTGCGCCGCTCTTTCTCCGCCTGCCAAGATAAATCTCTTCTGGAGGAGAAAATGACTACTGGTCACTCAAGAATTTCACAGAGTGCGTCTCGACAAGTGCTGAGTTGGACCAACAGTTGAGAATATTCGAAACATATATCCAATTTTCTCCTCTTCTCTAGGCACCATAAAAAAATATTTAATGAATATAATCTTCAAGATTATTTTAGCATTCCTTCCCGTCGTGGAACATTATATTTTCTTTCAGGTCTTCTTCCTCCATACAAATGTCTCGATTGCCTGCGCGTAAAATTTTGAGATTACTTCAGCGACACAGTGACTGGTTGAAATATTGGACGCTATGGAGAAATAAGCTGTGAAATGAACTCTCTCGGAAAGAAGTTCCCGAGATCATTTCCAAATTTACAAGTTCAGTTTGTTCCCAAACGACCTAAAGTGCTCGCATTTTCCAACCACCAACTGTGGCAGAGAGATTGATCCCGAAGAGTGTGTAGCAAAAAATTAGCATAAGCGCCTTTTTTACGGCTCCACCATTAACAGTAAAGTGTTTTCACTCCCTCTTCCTCACACAGGTCAATATGCAAATTGCCCATTACACAACATTCACAAAAAAAAACCCAATCACCATCGGTGGTTTTAATTGAGAATCAAACTCAGTGGGATTTTGTGCGTATTCAATTATCATCTCAAGAGATATTTACTCTAACAGGCCTTTTTTTTCCTTATCCGCGAATCTCTCTGCTTTTTCACCGCAATCACCCTCATTCACGCGTGTTGCCTGGAGGAGTGGCAAAGTGGACAAAAAAAAAAGTGCGGGTTTGTCATCTAACGCGACGCGCATGTCTCTCGAGATTGTGCTCTTTGACAACTAAATTATGTTGATGGAGAGGTGTATAAATTGTGCAGCAATTATCATAATTAAGCATCTCGTTTATCACTCAAGCCCCCTGTCAACAAATCGCGCGCACTATCACAGAATTTCTCCGCGAAATCTGTGTTCTTTCTCTCTCTCTTGTGAGAGTTCTGGTCAATTCACACGCAGTGTATGGTGTGATACAAAGTAAAGAAGTTGGACAGTATTTCATCCACTATCAGTGGTTAAAGTGTCATTAGAGGCAAATTATTGATTGAGCAAGCTGTATTTTCAGATGGACTCGATTGTGCAAATGATATGAAAGTCGAAGTGACTTGGACTAATTTCTATATCCATTACATGCTACTTATCACCTCTGGAATGGCGCACTTAATATGCAAATCATCTAAGTTCCCTCGCATTAGCTGGCTCTCAATTAGCCGGTGGGCTCATTTCATCATTCCATCAGAGATAATGCATTGAAATGCATCCACTAATTAAGTTCAGATCGACTCTGGACAGCATTTAACTCACTGGAATCTTGACAAATCACAATTCGAAGATGACCTCTTCCTCGTCGGTCGCATTGAAAAGAGGTATTTTATATATTATACCTGATAGAAAAGTGGGAAGTGAGAGCGAGATATTCATAGGAGAAAAAAAAGCACTGCATGAAGTCGTTGGGCGGATCGTAAAAGTATTCAAAAGAAAGCGACAATAAATTGAGATAAAATATCTGTTGAGCAGGAAGACCAGTCGCACCATAGATGATGATCATAAAGTGACGACTAAAGTAGCCGCAATTATGCGTGGATCGAGACTTAACCCAAATTAATTGCCACCTCCTATATGGAAATCACAATTTTCAACACAACGTCCGAATGAATCTCGATGACCATTCCAAGAGGACTTCCGCGGTGTTAATGAAGTTTAATTGCTTGTTTGTTTGCCCAGTGTTTTATCAAACATTTACCCACTCTCTTCGCGCAGCCCTCCAATGTTTTTGTGTGTGTGTCTTTTGCGCTCACTTGATTGATGCCACTAATTGTTCCATCGCACTCTTTTTTCCACAAATTCCACACTCAACCATGTGAAAAAACACCTTTTTCAATCTTTTTTTTCTCTCTCTCTATATATTCAAATGAATCCACACGCATTTCGAGAGATCATCCAAGCACGCACCATCCCATACAATTTCTTAATTACACACCTTCTCCGCTCTGGGTCTAATCAAATTTGCATCTAACATGCACCCAAAGGTGCATCTCGCATCCGCCCCAGCAAGAAAGTTTGGTTACCATTTTCCCGCTCAAGTGAGCGCGATCGTGTGCGTCCTCAATGCCTGGAAGCAGTGTCGCGAGAACTGGCGGGAAATTGCGCATGGCGTACGCATTCCAGTGCGTGATCATGATCAAGGCGATGGTAATCTCGTGCCGTGAATAAATAATTAAAGGCATGATCGATGGGTGGGTGATGATCGTGTGGTGATCGCATGGAGAGCCCTTTCGTCAAACTTATTGTGACAATTTAATCGATTTTGATTACAAGCCGGCAAAAACTGCTCATTCATCTTCATCGCCTCTTTTTTTCTCTCTCCTTACATTGTCTCTTATAAAAGATCCCAGCGCGATCAAGAGAAGACAAAAAAAAATCATCGCACTGTGTTATAGAATAGAGAGAATTCTTTCCGGGTGCAGAGGAGAATAAGAAATTCACATAAAATAACATCGCGTCGCTGCTGTGTGGCGCGATTTTTTTTAACCTCCCGCTCTAAACCAATTTATGTAACAGATAAAATCGATGTAAATGCAAATTTAATTAAAGATTCCGATTGAAGATTGTATTTAATTCCAGGCATGAGATCAAGACATCAATTGTACTCTCAATACAATTGGGTACGTCTTCTTGGCAAGAGTCAATTCCTGCGATCGCCAACATACCTAATTGACATCACGATATACGCAAGAATATTTACATCAATCAATATGGGAAAATTTTGCCAAGTCAACTTCCGCAATCAATTGCGTGGATTTTTTTTTCCCATCCACTCAATGGGATTCTCTTAATGCACACAAAGAAATCTCATCTCCGAAACCATCTGTTTATCGATCTTCTTCGACTGCGCGGTTTTTTTTGTCAGAAGTTTCAAAACTAAAAATAAACCATATGAGATCTTAATGAATTGAATGTCAAGATAGACCACAGAACTCAATAAAATTGCCACACAATAAAGGTATAATGAATTTTCATCTAATTAATACACGACAAGAGCAAGAAGACTCATTAGAATGCCTACACATTCTTGTGACTAGACGTAAGCATGTAAAATGGGAACAAGATTGCCAGAATCTAAGTTTGCTTTTGAATCATCATTGCTGTGAGTGAAGAAAGAGCAATCATTCAGCAGAAATCATCATCGAGACATGGGCAGGGAATATTGAAGATGGAGGGGCAAAAAGAGACTCCAAGCCCTCGAGAAGTCCGTGGATGGAGTCTCAGGAATCCATTATATGCTAATTCCGTCGATGTCACGGATATTATTTTTGACTTCAAACACTATATAAATGCACGTCTCCACGATTCCGCCGGTCGTACATAGAGAAAATATGATGGGTTGTCTTCTCTCTTTCATCGTATTCACCCAGAGAGATATTAACATTGGACCATGAAAGCGGAATTCTTCAATTGTCTCGCTGCGAGTCTTGCTCAACATGATCTCCCTTTGAGACTCCAATGTTTACACAACACACTGATATATTTTCTCGCACTCTCTGCACAAAGGCATCAGCCGGGATGTGCGCACACACAATCTCTTAGCATTGAATTGCTAAATGTCGGATATTATATTAGTTTTACTCTCATGCAGAAATCTCATTGCAGCAAAACTCTGTTTTTTTTCTTATACCTTTGCTTTACACTTTCATGAGCAGGAGGCATGAATATTGAGGTCACACAGCTTAATTGACACATTCCACCAATTCACTGAATTAATCTCTCGTGCACTCTTTTTCCCATGGCCCAGGAATTTCTCAGTCAACGAAAAAGGCTCTCACTTCTCTCAATTCTCAGATTCAATTCCACACCAGATGCTTCATCTGGTCTCGCGCAGAATATATATTTTCTTGCATGCATTATGCAAAGCATGCTCGAGGATGGAATATTTGCCAGAGAGACTAATCCCTGGTGCTGTCTCAATTCCAACCCGAGAAACTCTAATAGAATTGAGGGTTGACTTCCCAGTGTTGAAAACCAGAATAACAAAGAAATTAAATTCCCTCAAAATTACACCCCAATTAAAGTAATTTGGGGTACCAATTAAGTGGGCACAAATAGATTTGTATATAAAGAGAAGACGCCATTTCAAGTGCAAGGTAGTTTTCTGTGGGCTTCACAATGAGCAAGGAAGGACTGAAATTCGACGACACCATCTTTTACATCAGACTCCTCTACAGCACCATTGGTGAGTGCTATGATTTATCTCCTCTTCCTCATTTGACAGCAGGACTCACTCTCTCCTCAGGCTTCCCACTGAGCCATGATGTCAGCGAGACTCTCTTGAAGAGGCTCTTGAAGAAACTGTATTTGTGCTTCGCCATTGTTAATGGTCTTGTCCTCACTGTTGATCTCTTTTTCTACATCGTCCTGAAGAACAGGCACTCCATCAACGTCTATGAGATTCTGACCCAGATATTCATCGGGATGTACTTCATCTCTGCTGTGTTTAAGACCCTCATGATGGTGCATCGTAAAAGTGCTGTCCTCAACCTGCTGCAGTGGTTCGAAGACAATTGGCCAGATGATGATGTCAGGGCGAATAATGAGCGTATCATTGAAGGCTACATGAGAACCAACACCTTCTGGATGTCACGGTACGTTTACATATCCTTCGCCAGCTACTTCATCGTCAATCTCAGTCCAATGATCCCAATGGGCATCAAATACCTCCAGACGGGAGATCTCAAACCCCTCGTGCCCTTCAACACTGGAATCCAGTACTTGCATCCCAACTCCGAAGACTACATCCAGGTGTACATCTACCTGGTTTACGGTGCCTACGTTGGCACAGCCTCGTCAATCTGCTTCGACACTCTCTTCTGCGTGCTCCTTTGCCACCTCTGTATGCACTTCAAACTCCTGCGGAACGAGCTTACCGAGATGACAGAATTCCACACCGGTGAAGAACTCCTCAAAGAGTGCATTGTCAAGCACCAGAAGCTCATTGAAATCTCCAATGAGGTGCAGAGTGTCTTCAGCGAAGCCATCTTCTTCAACTTCTCCGCCAGTTCCTTTAATATGTGCGTCGACGGATTCCTCCTTGTCACTCAGTCTGGTTTTGTGGGCAAAATAAAATTCATCGTCATATTTGCCACTCTCATGTCACAAATATTACTCCTCTGCTGGTTTGGCCAGGAGTTGATTAACAATGTAAGTTAGCCTTTCACATTCTTCCCAGACATTGTAATGAGAATTATCAATATATTTCAGAGCTCCATAATCAGCGATGCCGCCTACAATTGCTCCTGGTACACTTCCACCCACAAGTTCAAGAAAATGATTCTTCACCTCATTCAACATGGGCAAAATCCCAAGATAATCATCGCCTTGAAGTACTGGAAAGTTTCTCTGAACACATTTTCCTCCCTCTTGCGCGCCGCGTGGTCTTATTTCGCTCTTATCAACACAGTCTTTGGGCACTTGTCCTTCTTGGCTCCTCCCGAGGGAGGACTCCTAACGTGAATCACTTCTAGAAGCATGTCTTAATACTACAGATCTTCAATTTACGCACTTTAAGCGCTCAATGTTACCTATTAATTTAGAGGCAGCATTATAATTAAATCACGAATGAAAGAAGGTGTTCAGCAGTGGTGTAGCATTTACCTAACATAAGGTATTCAATATGCACTTGAGCGTAAACATAATTTGAAAAATATAGGGTGAAGTGAGGCACTTTCAGACAATGCTGAATAAAGAGAAATAAACCTTGTAGTTTGGAGTTTTTATTGAACAATTATTGCGCCTATATTGATAACTTCCTCTCAAGTTATTTGATAAAATAGTAGAGTATTATTTACTACCACTTGAAGTTAACAAGACAGTCACAAAGTCACCAGTGATTAATTATCTACGCCACTGTTGGCTAAACCTTCAATTTCCTAAGCACTACTTCAATTAAAACGCAAGAGACATAAAACAGCTGCGCTTCTTGTAATTATTGGGTGTCTCAAGCATAAATTGAAACATCCTCCGGAGTGGTGCAGGTTGAAATACGAAAAATAATGGAAAAATTTCTCAGAAAAATCTCATTGACTTTCAAGACCCACAATCACGTAAGGTTCAGAAGGAGATCAAAGAGAAAATATATTTTCTAATTTGCCTTCAAAATTTAAATATTCACTGAACTGGCAACACAACATTTTCTTGTAATTCAGACAAAAACCCACAATAAAACTTGTACCATCAATTAGTTTGGGCAAACTATCGACAAATTACAGAAAAGTGATTGAGAAAGTAGGATGATATGCCTGCAAATTGGTTAATTGTGCGCTCAAAATACAATCAAATCGTGGAATGTTATAGACCAAGTTTTCGCAAACATTTTAGCCATCACCTACATTTTTTTTTCCATATGGTGATTCTTTCATTGCTGATTGCTCAATTGAAACTGCTGCGGAAACATCAAGTCTTTTCTTCACTCTATTTCCCCTGGCAACTCAATCAATGTCGTATTATTTCAGGAAAATTCTACACACACACACATTTTATGCTCAGTGCAAAATACAAACCATAAACAATTCAAATCAATGCGCCCATCAATCTCGGCGTGGTGTAAATGTTGGGCAATATAAAAAGTCAGCATTCGTCAATGGAGTTTTATTGATTTGTGGCCCTCATGTCATGTTCACGTCATAAAAACACCATCACCAGCAATTAAATCTAATTGAAATTAGCACGTTTGGGGATCAGGTGTTTTTACCCACCGAAAATCCATCTCAGTGATTAATAGTCATGAGGAGTTGCGCATCAATTTCACCATCGATGCCTTAATTAAATGTGTGCGTCTTTCGTGTCCTCGGCATCACTAATTGCGGGCTGCCATTGATTGTCCTCATTGGGCATTCCATTGACCAATTTCTTCTTCACCTACTATCAATCACACACCCGGATTTCCGTATATAAGACGTAATTAGTTCAGCAGGACAAGCAGTCCTTCGGGAATTTATCACCAACGTGTAACCTTTCGCGATGGATATTGACAAATTGGACTTCAAGAAGACCATTTCCTTCATCAACATTATCTACTCAACAATTGGTGAGTGACAGTGTTTGCTTACGACCCAGAGTGTGACCAGGCGCGTTTTTCCAGGATATCCAGCTTGCAATGAGTTCAGCAAGGAGACGTTCTTAGCCAAAATCCGCCGCAATGCGATCTTCATTTGTCTGTATACATGGGGATCACTCATGACACTTGGAGTTGTCTTGAGGGTCTTCCTTACCACGACAGGCGGCTTCAATGTCTGGGAATTGCTATCCCAAATCGTGGTGTCATCATACTTTGCCGTAGCGTGGGTGAAGATGCTGGACATAATAATGAATCGCAACAACTTGGCGGCTATTCTGCAGGATCTCGCCAATCTCTGGCCTCAGAGAGTGAATTCAGAACAGGAGAAGATCATCGTGGAGTCGTATATGATGAAAAATACCGTCTGGATGACGAGATATGCTTATCTCTCCGTCAGTTGCTTTCTCACCGTCAACTCAACGCCACTCTTTATAATGCTGATCAGCTATTTGTCCGGCGGAGATGCTAAAACGCTGTTACCCTTCAGCGGTTGGTTTCCCTTCGATGAATTCTCCCCCAGTATTTATCCCTTCACATACATCTACCTCTTCTACGGATCTCACGTCGGCAGTGTGTCATCAATGTGCTTCGATGTCCTATTCTGCATGCTTCTCTCCCACCTCAGTATGCACTATAAACTCCTACGATATGACATCATATCATCTGTCAAGGATAACGAAGATGAAGTCAATCTGCAGAAGTGCATCAAGAAGCATCAGAGCCTGATTGATCTTCGCTCGAAGATCGACCACATCTTCACCAACACGATTTTCTTCAATTTCTGCTTCAGCACCTTCAACATGTGCATCGTGGGTTTCTTCTTCATGATCCAGGATGGCTTTGGCAAGACCAAATTCGTCCTCATGTTTGCCACTCTCATGTCACAAGTATTCCTCCTCTGTTGGTATGGTCAGGAACTTGTGGACAACGTGAGTATCTGATATTCTACATCTCACATATGACAAATTTGACACAAATCATTGCACTTTCAGAGCTCCAAGATCAGCGATGCCGCCTACAATTGCTCCTGGTACGCTTCCACCCACAGATTCAGAAAAATGATCCTCTACATCATGCAACACAGTCAGAGACCTCAAATACTGGTGGCAATGAAATTCTGGGAGATTTCCCTCTCCAGCTTCTCGATGCTCTTGCGCGCTTCATGGTCATATTTCGCCCTCCTCAACACCATCTTAGATGAAATAATGCGCAATGTGAAGCCAGAAGGAGGCCTTCTAACAAATTGAATCCCAGAAATATCTTCTATTCTACACTGTTATCAGCATATTCACTAATTATTGCAATAAATATCACACCATAGCGAAAGTGTACTTGAAATTCTTCAAGAATGTCAAAGAAGTTGATGATCTTCTTTGCGATAAATGCCTCAAATTCTTTTTTTCTCCCAAACCACAAGAATGAAATCAACACACTCAAACACCCGGATTGACCCATTTTGACCCCTATTGACAAAAACCGCGCGCGCACACCTTCGTGAAAATGTCATCAATGTGGGAGGCAGAAGAAATACTGGCGGAAATTCTCAAATTACCACCGCATGTCGAGGAGAAAAAAAAAGAGCACAATATCTCAGCAGTGAAAAAAAGATTTCACGAAGCACAAATACACAAACACATTCAGTGAAGACTTAATGGAGAGCCACAAATCAATGGGATAGCTTCAATTTATAATGGCATGATAAAATCAACGCAGCGAGAAAGAAACCGCATAAAGCATCAGCATGTTGTCTTCAAGAATACTTTTGCTCAATATCAATTTAGCGTACTTAGAATGGCCAAAAATTAATTATAAACATTTTTAAAGTATATCTCTGTGCTGAGGAGTTAGAGAAATGATCGTTTTTGTTACTCACAAACTCACTTTTGGAAGAGTGCTGAAGCAGAGAATGTATTGAAACTCATAATTTGCTGGACTTGAGAAGAGTTTTTTTTTTATATAGGAATACTGTTCATTTTACTCATTCTTCTCTCCATTGAGCTCAGAATCTCAGCATCATTTCAAGCACTTTGCTATGATTTTTGCCTTCGTCGCATTGGCTTTTGCGGCACTTTAGTCACAAGCAGTGAAAGAAATTAGAGGGCAAAATACTCAAAGTGGCAGAATTAAAAGAAGAAAAGACTGATTTTTCTCCTCAGCACAATTTCAAAAACAGGTTTTCAACAAAAACAGCAACAAAACAGTGGAAGGAAGAGAAATACTGTCGGCTGAGGTAAATAAGATTGAAATGAGAATTGAACGGCGAGAGCAGAGAGAGTGGCGGAAAAGGGAGCAAATTGTGTTATGGATTGCAATTAAGCCCTCACTGCAAATCGATCACTTTGGACATGCAATTGCTTCAGCAATGAGGAAATTGGAGCTTGTGTGTGTGGAGAAGGAGACCAAAACTTAAAGAATATTAACTATTTTCCCAATAGTAAGGAAGTCAATCGTGGCTGAGACGCGCTCACACTCTTGCACAACACTTTTAAATAAGTCCACCAGTCACGTATTCATTCTACTTTGAGGCAAAATTCTCTTAAGCGAGTTATTAATTTGCCACGATTTTCACTCTGCACTCTTCAAGTTTGATCATTTTGACAGAGAGAGAATTGTGAGAAATCAATTCGATGGCACATCGACAGAAACGTGCGTGAAAGAATTGGGATGCGGAGTGAATTTGATTGTGTAAATATTTACCTGGTGTCCTACATAAGACAGGTTAGACTCCAAACGATGGGCGCTGAAGAATGCGTCGAATTAATCCCGAGACGCACAGAGTGTGTAGGCAACACGAACTTGCTCTCGTTCTCTCGATCGATTAATCCTCCGAGAAGATGCCTTTTTTTACCACAGCAACACATACACACTAAAAACGATCACGATCACTCACTTTTTTTTCTTGGCTTATTGTGCTTGAATTATATTTCCATACAAACTCTTCACACCTCCTTCACGATCAGCCAAAGATCGCGCGCAATTCACCTTGTCTTGGGTGACTTTTTCACTGTCCCTGTGCACACAGGAATTCCTCTCAAATCACCAAAGATAGAGAGAGAGATCAACGCGAGAGTTCACTTTCATCACCCTTGTTTTTTCGTCACTCTCTGCAACACACGATGAATAAATTATGCTCGGCCGGGTTTGTCATAGGCAAAGGTCGCCGACCGTTGATCAATAATAAATATAGCATCCAGTGGACAATTGACAATATTTCAATTTAGCAAAATATCATCCCATGCTCATATTTCATTCGCAGGCGCACACACACATGCATTATTCAACACTCTGCGGCCATTTATTTGCGGACGCCTTTTGTCTCTCGCAATCGCGATGGAACACAGATGGAAAATGCACTGGCTTTTCACGATCAATGTCAATTTTTCATGGAATTATATGCGCGACGCCATTTTACTTGTTCGCTCTCTGATGGAATGCTGCTGATATCCCGCGATCACCTTCTCTCCCACAGCCCAAGCCCGAAACACACGATCTCGCGATGCTCCCGCTTCTCACAATTGCTCATTGCCAACTGCTGAAGGTGTTCTTCGACGGTCTCCGTCGAGCTGGCGCGAGTGGAAACCAGTTTTCAGAGCCGCACAACCCAACAGACACTTTCTTTCCATCGCAATCCACGGTGGTTTTGGCGGTGGAGAGACAAAGGAGGACAGCATGATGGCTCACAGCGTCGCAATTGTGGCTCCTCTCCCTCACATACACTTCTTCATGTCTGTCTCTTGCGTGTGATCTTGTGCACTGTATTAATTTGTTTAACAGCGCAGTTCATTGTAAATGCCTCGATTAGGGGAGAGAAGAGCGAATGGTGGAGTGAATTAAAACCGGAAAGGTAAACACTCTTGGCTCACTGTCCAATTGATCACGTACTCTCGCAGATTAATTAGAGCCACTCTGCTCTCTGGCATTGTCACCCTCTTCGCATACTGCTCACTCTCCTCGGCGTACTCAGCTCCGCTCTCCCGAATCTGCATGATCGCACTGATCTCACTGCCGATCAATGGCTTCGCGCACTCGATCAAGTGATCCAAATTCGCGCCCGTGAGTAAGTGATGTCGCTTCACAGATGTCCTATTCAGCACTCTGATGAACTTGGCCAGCAACGCCATGGGCACTCGTGCTGAGAGATATTCCACAATCCTCACAGCCAAGTGGTGCACTTCCCTGCCATCTCCGCCATCGCCCAGAAACTCCATGGAACACCACAGATTCACGATTATATGCACCAGAGCGTCAATGGTGTCATAGTAGAAAGTCTCCAGGTTGCCAATGATCCCGCTGAGCCACGGCACCAGACCAAATTTGTCCACAAGCTTCTTCGCTGCGCTGGGCATCTTCGTGATGGTGTTGATGACACTCAAGATGCGCAAATTCGTGTCAATTGTGGCAAATGGACAGCTGAAGAACACCATTATTGTCTCCAGAGCACCAGACAATTCCAACACATCGAAGTCCTCCGCACACTTCACACCATCCGCAATGACACTGAGCACAAACTCCCTGTGACACTGCTGCTCCACATCCGCGGACAGGAACATGAAGTTGAAATTCGGCACCACCGACAAGTCATAACACTCCTTGCTCAGCACATAGTCGGCAATCGGCCGGTACAGCTGCACCAGTGGCGTGGTGAGCACCATGGAAGCCCTGGCGAGGAAATTGGCACTCACGTGCGACAGCCGTGGACACGGCGAACCCATCACCTTCCCCAAGGCGGCCAGGCCATTTTGGATGCCACCGTAAAATTGCAGCCACACATTGCGATCGAGGAACTCCCTGCAAAACAGACGCTCAATTATTGCAAGCCATCTGGAGCATGTGACAATATTAATTTAGGAAAATGAATTGCGCAGCCCCAGATAATTGCACTCTCCGCGTGATCGTGCAAGAGAGTTATTAGTATGGAAATTTATATTGATTTGGTGCACCAAAGAAAGCATACACTATCGCTCCAATTTCCTCTCATGCACAAGCCATTGGAAGCACAAGGGGGAAATAATATGATCGAAGCATGTATAAGAATGTCTTTTTGTAGTGTTATTTTGTTCTTTTGCTACTTTAAAGTAACAATTTAAGGCTAATTATCTAGAAATGCCATATAATATTATGCATATTCACTAATTTCATCTTAGAATTTTTATACCAAAAAACATAAGTCTAAAAATTGATACAAAAGAAACCCTTTTGAGGCATTGAAACGTGTTTAAAATGTTAACGATTTTGCATACAAGTGACACAATGTGCTGTAGATATTTTTTGTCAATCTATCTCCTCCTTGGTTCGAAGAGAGTGCTGAAAGATAACATTGCACGAAGCAAAGGTGCGGGCAAAATTGCTGAAATGTCTTGAAGTTTATTAGCGGATTCATAAATGCAAACCATCGATTGATTCGCCAAGATCAGCAAACATCCAATGTATTGCGCAGAAATTTATTAAACACATAGCATAACTAATTCGCTGGCTTACGCCATGTACTAAGCTAACCGTCTCCCATTGCGTGGAGACTCTCGCGCGTGAGATTTTCCGTGAGTGGAGAAAATGTGTGATAAAAATGCCTGATATGATATTGACAGGAATGAACCTTAATTAGCTGTGCAGAATGAAAATTTCTACTCACTTTCTTCCCTCCATTTGGCGCTTGTAGCGAATCAGTGCCAGTCCAGCGATCAGCCTCATTTCCTCATCGTCACTGGACAGCGCCAGCAACACTAAGCCCAGGAGTCCGTTCTGAGCCACTGACACGGTGGACGTGAGTACTTCCGGCGCAAACATCGCACTCACGAGGGGCACAAGGAAGGCCGGATCGTACACTTCATCCCACGTGTCCTGTCGTCTCGTCACCAGTCCGGAAAACTTCTCATCCTTGGGCATATCGCCATCAATGATCATCTCGATTTCAGTCTTCATGTCGTGAACGTCAATTTGCCGCATTGGCAGATCCATTAGAGCATTCAAGCGCCTCCAGATGGGAAAATTGCTGATGGTGTTCATCAGAGTGTCTGGCGAGATGATTGACATCACCATATCCATGCTGGGCTCCTCGAGGATTCCCTGCACTGTGCCTTCGGTGTCCTCTAGCGAATAGTGTGAAATTGCAGCTTCGCCCCAGAGAAATGGACGATATTGTGAGAAATCCACACCGTTCTTCTCATACAGATATAAAAGAGCCAAAATGAAGCGATCACACTTGCACATCTTGGCTCCATAAGCGCCCAGAAACAGTGGTACGTGCGTCTTATCGAATCCTTGAGAGCTCTTCTTGGCCAGGACGAGCAGAAGCAACGCCGTGGCGGTTTTCCTGTCACACTTCTCACGCTGTAGAAACACACCCAAGAAATTCGAGTGAGAGAGTGTCATTTCATACAATTCCTTCAAGAATTCATCCCCACAATCGTCGGGATAGACTTTATCAGTGAGAATAGCCAGTAAATTAATCGGAAGATCTCCTTTTTCCTGCTGCAAGCCAATTTTCAAGCAATTCCGTGCAAAGTTTGTCCAGATTTGTGACTCTGTCAAAGGAGAAAAATCCACATCATTTCCCCTCCAATTTGTCAAGATTCTGGCCATTTCTGTGAGCTTATCCACTTGAAGAGTGGACTTCTTGAGCAAGAAAGTGTAGAGATTGAGGAGATTCTTGTAGAAATTCACATGAATCGACGAATTATCTGTCTTCTGAATGGCTTTTTGGTAAATCTTCTCAATTAGGAGACACTGAAAAATCTCCACAGAATCTGTCTTGAGAGTCTTCTTCGTGAACTCCACACAATCCTTCTCTGACATGCATTCCTCAATCAATCTCAGAGAACAGGAGAAATTCTCTCGGTAAATCACACCAGATTTCTGTGGCTTCTCAATCGACTTGAAGATTCCATTCTTGTATTCTCCATAAATTCTCTGCAGCAGCTTCTTCTCCACACACGCATCCTTCCGCATGAGAACCACACTCAACAGAGGATACATCAGTTCCTTCTTCGTGTAATTCCCCTCAAGTGTTTGCAGGAAGATGGGCAAAAGCGATGCCTTACGCTCAAGCAGAAGAGTAGCTAATTTTGTCAATGGTTTTGTATTCCGCTCACCCACGCAGATATTGTGCAGTAAATCTTCCGGCACGTCCCCAATTGAGCTGTGGAAGTGATTCAAATAATCCGTTAGAGCATCACTCAGGGCATTTATGGCAGTCTCTGAGGTGCCTTTTGTGGTGATACTGATGAAAATGCCACAAATCTCCTTAATCACCTCGGAAGACAGTGATTTTTCACGCAATTCCGTCACTCGTTGAATCACCATCACCAGAACTTCATGGAATTCCCCTCTTCTGCCCAGGATCTTTAGAAAATCAACACAGTTCTCATGGTCAAGATCGAGAATTCTCATCAGTAACAACAGATCTTCATTCATTGTGACATTCTCTCTGAAATTCTGCACAAATTTGTTACGATAATTTACTGTGAGATCATGAAAATCATCCTTGGTGATCCAATCATTCATCCTCTTAGTGATTTTACCCACAAAATCCATCATTGGACGAGATTCACGCTGAAGATCGTCACAGAAATTAGTCAGAAGATGAATTTGACCACAGAAAATGTACTTCAAGATCTCAATCAGTGGATTCTTCCGATCAATCTTTACTTTCACCACATCGTCCAATTCAATTGTCTGCTTTCTCTGACAATTAGTCACTTGTCGATTGTGAATACCCTCCAAAAGACTCATTAAGTATTCACAACATTTCGAGGATGTTTCCGAATCCAGCTTTGAGAGATTGTGAAGCTTATTTAGATAGAAGATTATCAGGTAAATCATATTAAATGCCTTTCCGTCGCTCTTCACATCGAATTCCTCAAATTTCTCCTTCTGCACAATTTTCTGGATGAATTTGTGAGCTTCTTTTTGGGAAAATTCACAGGGAAAAGCAAGAGCTTTCCCTTCCATTGACGCTGCCATATAATCGGAAACGCCTAAAGCGAGTTTCTTCACAATCGGCGGCAAAATATGGTAATTTGGAAGATAGTGGAAGAGATTAAAAACCACATTCTCTAAATACTTCACCACAGGAATTGATGTCTTCTTCGCGAGGAGATTTACAGCAATTGACAGGAGATTATTCAATCCTGGCACGTCAAAAATCCCAACAGTGGTTTCATTCTTTTCTATCCTGTCAAGAATGCTGGCCAAATTCTCACCAGAAGGCTCAAGAATTCCCTTCTCAGGCACTTCTTCTGCACAATTCTGTGGTTGTGTCCTAATTCGGTTGATGAGTTTGATGAAAAACTCCTGTACAACCTTCGTATCCTTGGAATCGACAGATTTGAAGGCCTCAAGCCAGATATCAATCTCAAGAGGACCATTGTCAAACAATCTGGTGCTAAAGAGGATATTCCTCAGCAAGATCTCCACCTCTTGGCCTTCATCTTTACCCTCGAGAGTGTAAATGTTCAGGAAAGACGTCATGACATTGCTGAAGAGCGCTGTTCCCGGCGAAATCGTCTGCGGATCCATCGCTAAGATGAGTTTAATGATCTTCAACTGGATTCTGGAGTGATCCTCCTGCAGAGGCTCCATGAATTGCATGTAATTGATTAATGACGTCGTCTTGTCAATAAAAGTGGGAATGATTTCCTGAGCAATGGTCAGAAGATCAACTGTAGCTTCCAAATGTTTGAGAACTCCTTCACTATTCAGTGTCTTTTGCTCATCAATTGTCTTGTACAGAGACATTGTGATAGCGTCCATCGTTGGAAATCTGCTGAGAATGTGATCAAAGAGATCAGCCTTGATAATCTTCATCTCAAAGTCTTGGAACATCTCAAGTTCACTCAAATGAGTTAAATAGTTGCTGCTTTGGGAAAGCATAGCCATCAAGAGCTTAGTGATACTCAATCTCACTTGGAATGTGAGTTTTCTCTGCATTTTTCTGCGGATTTTCTCAAGAATCTCAGGAGAAAAGCAAATGTTCTTCAGGAAACCACACATTTCTGCCATTCCGACACTCTCAGTTACCTTCTCAATGATCTTGGGGCTCAGGGAATTGATCAATGTCACCAGAAAGTCCAGAAACTTGAGTCCATCTGAGTGTTCACTCTCTAGAACACGCGCTCTTGCTCTCAGGAAGAACTCCACTTGCTCAGGACAAGCCTTCAGCACTCTAATGGCCAGAGTTTCATGCAGACGATTGTTCCACGGTCTCTCTAGATTCTTTAGCACTATACTCGGTATGTAATTCTTCTTCTTCCTATTCCCCAGACTCTGCACAACAATTCCGTGCTTATTGGATGTGAGAAGAAGCACCAGGAAATCGTGAACCGCTGAACTTACAATTTCCACATCTTTCACCTCTGGAATGACACTGTCAGTACTCTGATTGTTGGCAAGGGCCAGGAAGGCTGCTGATCCCTTCCAGTTGTACAATTCCAGGAGATTAGTGACTATCTCCGCTGAAAAGAGGTGAAACTTCTGTGTTTTCGACACACTCACCTTCTTCAGCACGAAATTGCGGAGAGTTCCCAACACCAGGACAATGTTCTCAGGACTATCGTACTGCAGATCCCTGAGAACAGCCACCAGGAGCTCCATTCTGTCCAGGATGTTCTGTATCAGCACGCTATTGCCCTCCACAAGATATGCCAGCACAAAGTGAGTGAAAGCTGTCCTCAAACTACTCTCCGGATGATTAATTTCCTCCTTTCTCGGCCTGGCGAAGCGCTCCTCCAGACTCCTGCTGTTAATGTGACTCCGGAAGAGCTTCAGAACGTCAAATCCCATCCGTGAATCCACCGTCACGATGGCTGTGAGGACTTTGAGGGCGATCTTCCGATGATTAGTTGCATGCGACTCAAGCAATGATTCCACGCAACTTCGTTGCTTGTTCAGCAAAAATCGACATCCGTTGATGGCAATTGTTGTGTACTGTGTAGATTGGGAGAGAATCTCAATGAGAACCAGCTGCAGGACGCTGAAGATGCAGCTGATGTGATCCAGGGAGTTTTTGTCGATTTTCCCAAGACACTCCACAATCTCAAGAGGTTGTCCTCCAACCTCCAAATACTCCTGAATTATGGCAGGATTTTCCGTTGCGAGGTTGTAGAAGTTGTGAAAATCTGATAGAGCGAGACACAGAGAACCTATGAGAATGGGAAATTGGCCACATTAAGGGATAATATACCTGAAATGAAGTCATCTTCCTGCAGCTTCTTCCGGAACTCTTTCACCAGTAATTTCACACTCTTCTTCCGCTGCGGCGTGGGTTTTTCTTCACTTTTTGGCAATTTAGACACTGCACTACCATCTTCATCCTCATTCTTGCGCTTTCGCTGCTTTTTCTTCGTGATTTCACTCATTTTCTTGCCTCTGCAGATGCACAACACGCGCGAACACGTGAAAATGTTTTGCTGTCATTCAAACCGGCGCATGCGTCAAGATGGCAACTGTGGAATCTGCAGTCGAGTCGGGCAACACTGCAGATAATGGCAAAATAACACCAGAAAAGTTGGAGGAAAAATCAATAATTCACAATTTTCGCCTTTTCCCGTGAGTTAGTGGTGAAATTTCAAGTGAAAATTTGCGCATAGGCAAGTGCAAAGGGCAACGAGATGGCGTTGAAAGTGCAAGTTGGGCAAAGTGAGTAGCAAGAATTAAAAGGGAAGACAATTGGAGAGAGATTGCAGGGCAAAACAGAGATGACTAATTATGACACACCTCAGTGGATTTTCCTCCTCAGCGCGGTTCTTTTTTTCACTTTCTGATATGTATTTCACTCTCTCTCCCCGCTAATTAGAGCTTGATAGTGATGTGGATGCGCTTGGGAGATGTGTAAGAAGTGCCCGAGGTGGCTTCCCGGAATGGGGTGAACTCAAGGCTATGGGAATGGCTGCTGGGCTTCCAAATGGATCCATTTTCCAGCACTTTCCCAGATGTTTTCCCAGTGAAAAAAAAAACCCAGATTCCCAGTCTAGATTTGACTGGATTAGAATCTTCCCGAAGAGCAATGAGTCATCTTCGGCTTCTGACCTGTTCGCAATGTCTGGACAGAGTGTGACTCCTGGACTTACGAAGACTCTTCCTTGTCTCTTGCAGAGATCATGAACGAGGTGGTTCGCTACAAGGGTCCGGCCACGAAGAAGGCGCAGGCTGGCAAGGCACAGGCCGTGGAATGGCGTGTGCTGGTGGTGGACAAGCTGGCCATGAGGATGGTGTCAGCCTGCACGAAGATGCACGACCTCAGCGCTGAGGGCATCACGCGTAAGTCCTCTCCAAGACGCCCAGGAGTCTTGTCAGTGGTCTGACCCTGTTCTCTTCCCCTTGCAGTCGTCGAGGACATCCATAAGAAGCGCGAGCCTCTGCCCACAATGGAGGGTGTGTACTTGATCACACCCTCTGAGGAGTCCGTGCGAGCGCTGATGAGGGACTTCGATCATCCCAATCGTCCCATGTACAAAGCGGCTCATGTCTACTTCACTGAAGGTAGGATTTCCGTAGAAGAAGTGCCAGAAGCAAAAGTTCACAGCAAAATGCGGTTCAGAAGCGGATTCAGGGCAACGCGGGGCGTTTTTTTCTCCTCCAATTTGCTATGAAACACAATTTTCTTCTTAACTGTTATCTATATAATGATTTCACAAATTCTGTCTTTCTTCCTATCTTCCTGAATTCACTCTCTCTCTGTGTATCTGGAGTTAAATGTGATGATTTGTAAGGATATTCACGCTCTGCCCATCACAACTGGGATGCCAATTCGCAAGAATCCACATTCATTACCAGACATTTTCTCGTGATTCAATTACAATATAATATATATATATTACTTGACTGAAAGATAATGAAGTCTGTGAGAAGCTTTGATAAAGAACATCAGCTGTGCCGAAATGAATCTTGCTTGTTAACGAATAGGTTTTTATGATTCTTCCATAGAGAAGTTCTGCTTATGCTTTTCATTTTACTTGTTGCCTTATTCAATGGACAGAGGCAGATTATCCGAAGGATAAATTGTCTCTTTTCCTGAGTAGATTTTGTAGAATTTATCATTTTAAATTTTTCTCTAAGTTCTTATCCATAAGACACGACATTTTGAGTTTTGATTGGATGTTTGGACCCAACAATTATTGCTTTCATAACAATATTATAGAAAATATATTCAACAATAAATTGGCGAACTTCCAAGAGATTTTTCGTCGTTTATTGATTTTTTTTTCGCAATAAAAAAAGAAAAAGAAATATATCCTTTTGTTTAGAGAGTTATTTCTAGTTGAACAAATAAAGCCTTAAAAGTCTTCTAATATATCGATTTATATTTGACCTTTTTTTGGCATCTAAACACACGAATGGCGAGTGTATTCGCAAATGGACATGATTTAATTAGCGAATTCAATCAGTAGGCAATCGATCTGTCTTGGGATTAGTCATCGCTGTTTCTAGAAGAGCCACAATAATACACTTTGATGGAAAATGCTTAACAAGTCATTCTTTCATATGTAGATTTTGCTCTGAAGTTCCATGTTTGTGGATAAAAAAGAACATTTTATTCATATAGAAATTCACATTAGAGGCGATTTATGCGCTTTATTTTGAAGCAGCAAAAAAGCGTGCTTTCTGAGTATACAAAATAAATCGTAGTTCTTGCAGGTGAATTAATATTGTAAAAAGAACACACCTTAAGCAGTAAGTCCTTTGATAACTCTATCTTGTTGCCTTTTACAAGTTCTTCTCTCAAGTTGAGAGAAAAATCTATATACTTTTGAATAAGAGAAAAGAAAAAAAAGATCATCAGTTCAATGTTGAACTAGAAATTGTTTATTGGAATTTATGATACAGACCCGTATAAGAAATATTCACGCATCCCATATTTTCCTGAGGGACAAAGTTGCTTTGGTTTGTGTGTATTCCTTCTGATTTTCTCTGTGTTTTTTGTGACAAGAAGTTGCAGAAGTGGGAAATGGTAAATTCAATGGGTGGAGCATTCGAGAGGGCGGAGCTTAATTCTCTGTGCACGAAAATATGGTGTGCATTAGCATTTCTTGGACGGAACTGTATCGCACGGAGTTGTAAATTGCTGAATGTGATTTTTTCAGCAATTTAATCCTCCAATTTGGCCTTTGAAAACAATAAAAGAGAATATTCTTATTGTGGAAAAGATGGTTTTTCCCCAGGCTGAAAGACGCTCGTTAACACAACATTTTCCTCACTTTTTTTTTCACTAATCCACAGTGTGTCCTGAGGAGCTCTTCAACGATCTGTGCAAATCGTGCGCCGCGCGCAAGATCAAGACGCTCAAGGAGATCAACATTGCGTTCTTGCCATATGAGGGCCAAGTTTTCTCGCTGGACTCGCCGGACACTTTTCAGTGTCTGTATTCGCCGAGCCTGGCCTCGGCTCGGGTGGCGCACATGGAGAGGATCGCTGAGCAAGTGGCAACTCTGTGCGCCACCCTGGGCGAGTATCCGTTGGTGCGCTATCGCTCCGACTGGGACAGGAATGTGGAGCTGGCACAGCTGGTGCAGCAGAAGTTGGACGCGTACAAGGCGGACGAGCCAACGATGGGCGAAGGCCCGGAAAAGTCACGCTCACAACTTGTCATACTCGATCGTGGCTTCGATTGTGTCTCGCCGCTCTTGCACGAGCTCACGCTTCAGGCCATGGCGTACGATTTGCTTCCGATTGTCAATGATGTTTACAAATATCAGCCGTCACCAAATGCAATGGACAAGGAGGTGCTGCTGGATGAGAACGACGAGCTGTGGGTGGAGCTGAGGCATCAGCATATCGCCGTGGTCAGCACGGCGGTCACGCAGAATCTGAAGAAGTTCACCGAGTCGAAGCGCATGAGTCAGAGTGACAAGCAGTCCATGCGCGATCTGTCGCAGATGATCAAGAAGATGCCACAGTACCAGAAGGAGTTGTCCAAGTACTCCACTCATCTCCATCTCGCCGAGGACTGCATGAAGTCCTACCAGGGCTTCGTGGACAAACTGTGCCGCGTGGAGCAGGACCTCGCCATGGGCACAGACGCTGAGGGAGAGAAGATCAAGGATCACATGCGGAACATCGTGCCCGTTCTCCTCGACACTGTGAGTGCTTCGGGAAACTTATTTGATGAATTACTCATTTCTTGTTTCCAAATCAATGCTCTCTTTGTGCTAATTTGTTGGCTTTGTCTCTTCTCCCAGAGTGTCTCCAACTATGACAAAGTGCGCATCATTGCACTGTATGTGATGGTGAAGAATGGTATTTCCGAGGAGAATCTCTCAAAGCTCTTCACTCACGCACAAATTGGACAGAAGGAGCAGGAGATGGTGCGCAATTTGAACTTCTTGGGTGTCAGTGTGAATCCAGATGTGAGTATTGATAGTGTGATGGACACCAATTGGGAGTTCTTCTCTTAAACAATTCACGCGCGTGATGTTTTGCAGGGTAACCGCAAGAAGTACACAATTCCGAGGAAGGAGAGAATCACCGAGCACACTTATCAGATGTCCCGATGGACACCGGTGGTGAAGGATATCATGGAGGATGCAATTGATGACAAGCTGGACGCTCGTCACTTTCCATTCCTCGCCGGGCGCTCGCAGAGTGCCACTTATCATGCGCCCACGAGTGCTCGCTATGGACATTGGCACAAGGACAAGACTCAGGCGGCCGTGAAGAATGTGCCGCGCGTGATCATCTTCATTGTGGGTGGCGCCAGTTTCTCCGAGATGCGCTGTGCGTATGAGGTGACGGCCAACCAGAAGAATTGGGAGGTGATCATTGGATCGTCCCACATCCTCACGCCGGAGATCTTTCTCAGTGACTTGGGCTCGCTGTCCAAGGAGGACTAAGTCGTCAATTAATCCCTCTTCATCCACGTTTTGCTCCTCTTCAAAGTATTATATCTGTGTGTGAGTGTGTGTGTCCTTCTGTTATTTCTGTTTCTCCAGGATGCGCGCGCACGCGTTCGCTGAAAATTGCAAGAAGCTCTTGAGTGAGTACCAGAAGCTTTCACAATTTAATAATATTTAATCAATGGATTGATGACATCTCAACGGGTGATTTTTCAGCTTTTTTTCGGGTAGTTTTGAAGTGAATTCACACAGATGCTTTACAATATATTAATCTATAAAAATGACAGTGAACTAATTATAGAATTAGAAGCTGAAAATCCCACCAGTATTTTGGGAATTTATTGTTACTCACTGGAAAGTTTCACATGATTTTCTGCGTGTGTTTCTTTGTTGTAAAGTTGATTAAAAAAAATTTATTCAATCGATATTCTCAGTCATTTACATAAAAAAAAAGCATTGCAGAGGCAAAGGGAGGAGGAAGTTTGATGATAAAAACAAATCATATTATACAATTAAATAATGAAGCACCATTTTTTTTGTCGATGATAAAGAAAAGGAAAAAGAAATTACAAGTAGAGAAAGAGTGAAAAAAAAGTAAGCAAAAAAAATTGGAGTAACTTCTGAATACAAGAAGATAAATAAAATGCAAGAAAATCGAACAAATCATCACGCCAACAAAGTGATCAGAAATACTCCACCAAAAAAAAAATCAATCAATTAAACAACTATTTAAAAGATGAGATGATGCATATATTGAGTGTCGTAAAAAGTTGTCTTCATAGTATTTAATCGAGTATATATATAAAAATTAAATACTTACAATTATACAGAAGAAATGAAAGAGCAACAAGAAAACATTTTATTAGTGTTATTAATCTGCTATTGTGATGTTAACCAAAAAAAAAAAATGATGATTACATTTTGAGAAGTGGATAAAAGACGAAAGTCGTGTTTAGAGGAAGTAAATATTCTTAAGAAATTCTTCGCTTTTCACATATAACAAAAAAAAATTCTTCAACTTTTCATAATAGCAATTGAAGAAGCATGCGAAAGTTTAGAGATTTTCATTAAGGAAGAAGAAAGAAAAGAAAAGATCGTTGGCAATATTTCGAGTCACAAGAACTCGGTTGGAATAAGGATTGTGGCACTATATAGTCGAGAGAGGAAAAGGAGAAACAACTATTTAACAAACGTTCCATTTATTACAAGTTTTAGCGATTAGATGACAATTATTGTAATTATATTTGAAGGCATGTTCGAGTGAATATTGCAAAAAGGGAGAAAAGAAAGGAAGAGAAAAAGGTCAGAGAATAAAGATGATGAAGCTATTTCTGGGCTTTACTTGAACGCGCCGAAGGCTTTGCTGAACTCCTTCAGGCGAATCGAGTGGATTTCGATAAAGCCGCCGGCGGACGCGGGCGTGTAGCCGCCGTGCACATTCATGGAGACCAGCTCCTCGTTGTACAGCCCACGCACGGCGCGACGCGCGATCGGGCGCGCCACTCCCTTGAAGATTTCCATGGTCACGCGGCCTGAGACGTGTTCCTGCGACTGCTCAAGGCAGCGCCGCGCGAAGACGCCCTCCGGCGAGAACCAGAAGCCGTTGTAGACAAAATCCGCCATGCGATCGCACAGGTAGGACTTGAGGCGCAGCACTTCGCGGTCCAGACACACCAATTCCAAGTCCAGATGCGCCTCGAAGAGGATCTTCACGCCAGGCGTTTCGTAGACGCCGCGAGACTGCAAAGAGCATTGGGAAATCGCTTTTGGTTTAATAGATTCAGAGAATTCAGAGAAATATCCTTTGGTCAAATGTAAATCTCGATTAAACAGTAAAATCTGAGTATTTTTCATTAAATAATGTTCAATGGTTACCTTCATCTTAAGAGTGCTTAATTCAGTAATAAGCTTTTATCGCTGTTTATTATGCTTCTCATTTCCTATCAGTGCTAAAAATAGCTGTTTTTCTACCCAACTCACTTAAATGGCATTTAATTAATTGGGGAATTTGTTTACCTAATTATTCCTTATCAGTATTATTTGGTAATCTTTAGACTCACCTTTAATCCCACGAATCTATTCTCCACAATGTCAATCCTGCCGACGCCATTCTGGCCGCCGATGCGATTCAGAAGGTCCAGGATCGCCACGGGATCCGTCACGCGTTTCTTATCGGTGGCGTTAATCACCGCCACGGGCAAGCCTTTGGCGAACTCCACCTCCAGAATGGTGGGCTTGTCTGGCCACTGACTGGGGCCAACGGTCATCTTGTACAGACTCTCGGGGGCGACGTGGTTGGGATTCTCCAGGACGCCGGATTCATAGGAGATGTGCATGAAGTTAGCGTCCATCGACCAGGGCGCCTTTGGCGTGGCCTCCACTTCGATGCCATTCGCCTGGGCGTACGTCAGGAGGTCCTCGCGGCCCTGGAAGCGCTGGCAGAACTCGTCGATGCGCCAGGGCGCGATGACCTGGATGTCCGGCAGCAGGGCGTAGCCCGACAGCTCGAAGCGCACCTGATCGTTGCCCTTTCCCGTCGCTCCGTGCGAAATCAGCCGAATACCGCGCTGCTTGGCGCACTCCACCAATGCCGCCGAAATGCAGGGACGCGCCAGGGAAGTGCCCAGCAAGTAGCGCCGCTCGTACAGCAAACCCATGGCCACGGCCGGGAAGATGTAGTTCACGACAAAGTCCTCCTTGACTTGCGCCACCACGACTTCCTTGGCGCCAATCTTGAGGGCCTTCCTGCGCGCCGCCTCGAAATCCTCATCCTGACCCACGTCCGCGATCAGGCACACGACGTCGTAGCCCTTCTCCAGGAGCCACAGCAGTATGCAGCTCGTGTCCAGGCCGCCAGAGTAAGCCAGAAGCACCGTCTCGGTCATCGTTCAGCACGAAACTGTGGCCAGTTGTGTCGGATTCTGCCACAAATCTCCAGCAGGTTATCTTCCAGCTGCCGCCGGGTTATCTCGGGACAGCAGGGAATCTTTACCATATCTCATCAACTGAAAATTTGCCACTTTTTTCACATGCACAGCCTCCAAACAAACATTGGCGTCTCCAGATAAATCAATCCTCGTGACCAGAAAGACACTAATCTGGGTGGTTTTTCGTCGAAGAATTGAGACGACTGAGATTAAAAACAACCATTAGCATTCCTATGGCAATACTTTCAAAGCTTTTATTCGTTATTCACTTGCAGCATTACAAGAATTTTACAGAAAAATCCTTCTTCACATCATCTATTTTTCCTTCTCCTTTCCATACAACTTCAATGAATATTATTTAGTCACTTTCTGTTACTAAAGTTGATTAAAACACGAAATTTTACACATTTATTTCGAGTCATCGACCTAACATTTTTGCTCTTCTCACGACAAAAAAAATAATAATTGTAAAATAAAAAAGTCAGAGTGTTTGATAAAAAAAAAACAAGTCAAAATAAACATTAAATTGCAACAAAGAATATATAAAAATATATAATAAAAAAAAAACTCTCTCGTATATATAATATATAGAGTTTGATTAAAGAGTGAAAAATATAAGAAGCTCTTATTAAGAGTTAAGAAGTTTACCATTGATTTTTTATTATTTACTGCATTTGTATTAATTTATATCAATTAAAGGAATCACGTTAAAATGTCTCACATTTTTTCCTCCTCTGACTGCTTCTCGCATTTCCTTCTCCTTTATCTTCTTTGTGAAATCATGTAAAAGTGCTCCGAAGCTTGTACAAGTACATAAATGTTTATATGATACAATTACATAATATACATGTAGAAATTACTCTTCAATGGGGGGGGGAGGGGGGTGTTTTCTCTACATCACATCAGGAGAGAAAGAGTTTACTGAACTCCGTCAGTGACTTAATATCGAGAGATTATACAACATGAAAGGGATGAAATTTTGGTTTATATAAGAAATCTCTCACTTGCATTCTTCTTTTTCTATAAGAACAGCATTTTTTTTTACTTTTTGCGCCTCTACCAAAAATTCTCATGATCTTCAAAGCCAATTTCTCTTTAAGCATATGCGCGCGCGCACCTTTCAGAGTGCAAAAGGAGAAATAAACTTAATGGAGAGAAAGAAAGAAAATAAAACCCATCCAGATGACAATAATTCTTCCGCCACTCTTTGAGACTCAACGCATTCAATCCATTTTCAACAAGAGCGAGAAAGAGAGATAAATTAATAGACTGGCAGTAAATCAAGCACCCAAGCGTATCAAGTGATTGACAAATTGTGACTAGGAAGAAATGGGCAGAAGAAAGCCTCGTCATCCGGACAGATTTCGGCCTCAATATTGCCACAATTTTGCACTTTCCTCCCAAAAGCCTTGTGACTTCTTAAACATAATTAATATAGCACAATTGCGATTCACACTCCTCCAGCACACACAATCCCAAAAGCCCTTCTTCCGCAGTCACTCTCTATGTCGGACACAGCACCTTGAGTATATAGTCTGTGAGGAGAGTGGGAACCGTTGGGTTGTCTTCATTTATTGCCTTGAGAACTGCAAGAAAGAACAAACAGTGAGACACAAAATCCTTCCGTGCCAGTTGCATCAAATTTCACTGGAAATTCTCTCCCTCTGCAAGCGACCAAATGCGCCACACAGTGAAAAGAGACCCAATTGAGGTGCGGTTATAACTGTAGTGAAACACGCGAGACACACAACATATTTTACACATTTTGCCAACGCTATTTCATGCCATGCCACACACAAAGAATTCACTATTATTGCCCTTTTTCACCGGCAAAATGCCACACTTTGTACACGAGAGATTTCTATTTTTTTCCTTCCCTCCCTTCCTTTTTTTTCTCTCAAGGGCGTCAGTCGAAAGCCTATCCTCACCCATTATAGTAACTATAATAACTTCTTTTAACCTGCAGACTAGCAAATAATCACACTATTGAAGCTACAGTTCAGCGAGAGGTGAAATGAAATAAAAGATTTATTTTAATTTTAATGGGAAAAAGCACAAGAACAATGTGCATTCTGAGTTTCACAAATCTAAACCTACCAATTACTCTTGCGTGCTTTTATACTTGTACAATTCGACGGGTGAATGGAAAACTATGAAAAGCCAAAAACGCATTTTTTCAGCAAAGCATTTTCAAGTTTTCGCTTCAATATTGCTGCAAAATTTGCCAAATTTATCTTAAAAAGCCTTCAAATCGTCCGTTAAAGTGTAAATATTGCAAAGAATTTTTTATTTTGTAAATATTTTAGTTCATTTTATCAGTATTTATTGGAATTTTTGACTAAACTATGATAAATCGACTTTTCATAGTTTTCGAGGCACTCGTCGAAATTTTCAACATGAATTGATTAATAAATTCCCAATTTAATTAGAGGGAAAAACTCCCAGTGGCTCCGCCCACTTAATTGCTCCGCCTCTCTTTAAACACAAAAGATTGCCTAACCAGAAATTTAGTCTGGTCTTTTAATCCGAATACCCAGAAATTGTTGCTTTACATTGAAAAATTATCAGACCCAAATTGCGTTCGATTCTATTGTGCTTTTCACTGATTAAGAGAAAAATCAGTTATCGCTGAATTTAAATCAATTAACCTTAAAGTATGACATTGCTATTGATACAAATTTCTGTATTCATGCAATAATCAGCAGAGTGAAAATATGGCAAAATAAACTCTGTCAATGCATCAAAATTGACCTTTCATTCTTCACCTTTTTGACATGACATTATCACCGCGCTTTGTCTCCTCTCTCATTCGATTTTTCCCCATCAGTGAATGAGGGTGAATTATACCCACTAAATGCTATGCTAATTCCATTAAATGCCCACTTCCTGCACGAGATCTTTCCAACTGCAGAGCGTCAATTTATTATGATTCTCTCATGTTCCACTTCGACCAGGAACATTTTGTTCATGCCAGTGCAGAAGCATCACGAAGTGCATTAATAATAGCAATAAAAAAATTGCAAATTCCCCACTTCGTCCAAAAACACTTTCTAACTTCGCACAATTGTGTGGAGAGAGAGAGAGAGAGAGCGAATGATGCTTTTATTGGACTAAATTATCTTTCGCGACTTGTGTAAATCAATAAAATCACCATAATAAAGTCTCTAATGGTCATTGTGGGATGAAATAATAAAAATCACTCTCTCAAAATTGCCTCTGAACGCGTGTCAGTGGGCATTTTCACATTGCCACATTGCACAATCATGGGCTGGAGAAATATTTACAGATGCATTAATTAAATAGTGAATTGCTCAGTGGACAAATATTTGATTATGTAAACATTGACACGCAGCAAACAGCTGAGAATAAACGCAGAAATCTCTCCCACTTTCTGGGTCTCTCTTTTTTTTTCATTCTATTACGCGCCCACGCAATTTGTCTTTGTTCTTGCCAGTGAATTTGTGTCAATAAAGAACAACGAGTGACTTACTCTTGATGAGAATCTGAAGAGTATGATGCGGCGGTGGTCCGTCATCCATGTGATATGGAATCACCGTTGTGAGGTATTTGGGCTCAGGGTCTGCAGAACAAGAGATTGAGAGAGACATTGTTAGCAATTTGAGGCACACTCTCCCGCGGGGAAATGTGTGTCATTTTACCGTGTCGATTCTTGTCGCGCTTTCTCTCCGTGTGATACTGTCGCCGGCGATTCTGCACCGCCAGCAGGAGTGATATGAAGGAGTTCTTCAGCTCCTTCTCGAACTCCAACTCATCCCTGGCCGCCAGCTCGGCAATCAACGTCTCCGAGTAGTCACGGAACAGCACCTCCATCTCCATGTAGAGATCATTGAGCTGCGAGATGGTGAGCGTCTTCAGTTTGTCCTCGTAGAAGATTTCCCCGAAGATTTCTTTGGTCTTCTCCAGGCGCACCTCAGCCGGCGGCTCGTCCTCAATAGACGACACCTCGTCCATGATGTCCACAATCTCCTTGATCACCTCCTCGGCCGTCTTGATCGGCTCCACCGTGTCACTGGCCAGATCATTGAGGATCAGCGTGTGCATATCGAGATCATTCGCCACCGCCTCGTCCTCTGAACACAATTCATTCGCCTCACTCTCGCTCTTGTCCTGCGACTTATCGTTTAGATTCAGTGTGGGAATGTGCATCTGGCGTGTGAAAGACTTGCTCCAGTCAATCGGGAGGATGTTGCCGAAGTTGCCAGTGATTGTCCACCACATCCTGCGGAAAAAAAACTTCCCATTAAAACACCCAAAAGAAAGTGAAAAGTAGAGCATGAGCTCATGGAATGGAATGGACAGAGTGTATGACACACGCTCTATTTTAGGAAGAGACTACTCATAATGTCACTCACTGGCACTCATTCATGATGTCTTCCTGACTCCTGATCTGCACTGGCGCCAGATTGGCCACAGACTCCTCATAGTTGCCGAAGCACTTGGTGATCTTCTCGTCGAAGGTGTTGACTAGATCCTCGAGGCTCCCGGAGAAGGCCTCATTGAAGTTGTCATTCTCCTTGAGGATGAGATTCACCGCCGAGGAGGTGGTTTCCGGCAGTGCGGGCGTCTCCTCCTCTGCACAAATCTCCGATGGCACGTTCCCGTTCTCCTTGAGATTCATCTCGAGGTCGCGATTGGTGAGGCGAGGCCGCAAGTTGGCCAGATTGGTGGACTGGTAGTCGAGGGGGCCCCACTCGTCTGTCTCCTCGAACTGCGCCAGGGGCGCCTCGAATTTCAGTTCAGCCATTTTGGTAGCCAAGTCCCGCATCGCCCTCGAAAATCAATAAATGCACCTTTCTACGCCGTTGGATTTCGCCCGGGAATAGCACGAGAGCAGCACCTCACCAGCACACACAGCACACCTTATCGCGTGGGATTCGGACTCTGGGCAGCTCTTCTGGTGCGAGAAAGCCAGCTAATATTGCATTATCCGCAATTATTCGCGATATGGACAGTGCGCGACTCCAAAACAACACTGAAACTGACAGATTTTTTCTCGCCCTCCTCGATATAAATCGACCGATTAATCGAGTGCCACTTCCAGTCGCGAGCGCTCTCGCGCGTGAGAGCCTGGAAGTGACTGGAAACGTCAAAACATTGCGAGAGCGATCAGTGAAGAGAGTGAAAAAAGGGCAATTAATTATCTGGCAAAGGATGTTTTCCTGTGTTTATTAGACTACCCGCGAGCTTTTCGTGTCTACTGAGTGATTTTTGGCGAACGGACAAGCAGCGGAAATGGCGGAATTTATCGACAGTCTGCTGAATGAGATGTCATCGACGTTCAACTATCAGGCGGAGGAGGTGAAAATAGACTTGAATGGGGACAGGACGCTCAAGTGGCGCAGTCTCCATCACAATCAGTACGCCTCCAGCAAGAAGAAGGACCTGAAAGGTGACCAGGACGACGGAACACCCACTTATCAGCCTGTCAAGGTGTTCCGCAATCCCCTATCTGTCGGCAATTCGTCCGGCCTGAAGAAGCTCCGTCGCGCCCGGATAAAGCTGAGTCGCCTGGAGAGGAATCTGCGGCGGAAGAAGAGTAATGTGTCAGAGGCTGAGGAGAAGACCAACATCCATGTGAACTACATCGCTGGTGATTGCTCAGTGAATCTGATTGACATCAAGCCCGAAAGCATGCAGATTTTCCAGGGAACTCCTGTGAAACTCGAGCGGCGGACATCTCGAAGATCCACAGAGAAGTCAGAATCCGTGGTGGTGAAGAAGACGCCCAAGAAGGTGACTTCTTTGCCGACACGGCCTGAAGGAACGCTGCTAAGTCAGCGTCCGCCGCGCAGAGTGAAGCCCACGGAGAAGATTCTGGCCAACAAGCGCCTTCGTCGGGGATTTCAGATCCACAACACCCGCGTGAAGGTTAACGAAGCCCTGTGGCGTGAGCGCGAGAGTCTCGCCACGACGCCCACGCGTGACAGGAAGACGTCAACGCGCGAAAAAATACCCGGACAAGTACAAGAGGCGGAGTTGACGAGGAAAACAGAACATTTTGAGAAGCTGGGACTTCGCACCACGGCTGCTAATGTGGAACCTGACACGAGTCAAGAGGAGCCCGACCAGAAAATCTCCCTGCCTGAGATACCAGTGGCGCCGATGCTGTGTCTGTGCCAGGAAGATACTCGCTTCTATCCACACGGACATGGGGATGTGCTCTTCTGCAATGCCGTGGATCAGTTCGAGTCAGAATTCGTGGGCTGCTGCAATCAAGTGGACGAGAACACTTGCATTCGGCGGCCCAGCACAAGAGCCTGCTTCATGGTGCTCTGTGAGAGTCATCTGAAGCGCCTCCTGAGTCACAATTGCTGCTCGGGATGCGGCATCTTCTGCACGCAGGGCGCCGTCTTGCTCTGTCCGAGAAATCACTTCTTTCATCGCGATTGTGTTCTTGAGGAAGGCAGAAGAAGCGATCAAGTGCGATGTCTCCATTGCGGAGAACTGACCGAGTGTGAAGAAGTGAGGATTGAATTGAAGTGTGACAACAGGATTGTCTTTTATCCCAGTCAGAAGACTTACCAGTAAGTTGCCTGTGATTTTGATGAGAGATAATGAGAGTAATTCTTTGATTTTTACTTCTAGAAGATGCTCAAAAACAATGAACAGCGTGGCAATGAATGATTCACAGATGTCAGGAGAAGAGTCTGTGGCGCAAGAAGTGAGCAGATCAATTCCTGAGCACATCATGAGTGTTCTCATCAGAGTGTCACAACAGGGCACAGATTCCCTGCCTCCGGATGCTCTCAGTGCCAAAAATCTCCAGGCAGCCATCAAAAGTGACAATGTGGATCGCGTGGCGGAGTTCATTGTGAAGGGATTCGACTTCACGGCGCCCAGTCAGGAGTTTGGCTTCGGCTCATGCCTGCACTTTGTCGCCTTCCATGGGAGTGTGGAAGTTGCCCAGTTGATTCTCTGTCGTTTCTCCGCGCCGGAGTTCATTGACATGCTGGACAAGGAGTTTCAGACGGCCGTCATTTGTGCAGTGAATGGAAACAAGACTGACATTCTCGTGCTGCTGCTGCAATATGGCGCCAAGATCACACAGAAGGGACCCGATGGGATGACTGCCCTGCACTTGGCGGCAAAGATGGGCAATATTCGCGCCATGAAAATCCTCTTAGAGCACTACAAGAAGCGTGCGGACGGGAAGAAGTTCCGGGAGTTTCTCGATGATGTGGATCATGGGAACTGGACGGCTCTGGTGTGGGCAGCTGAGCTGGGTCATGTGAATATCGAGAGTTATCTGGTTGGGATGGGCGCTGATGCGACAATTTGTGACTTTGAGGACAACACTGCTCTGCACTGGGCTGCACTGTCGAACAAGATTGCCGCTGTTCTGCCATTGCTGCAAACCAATGTGGATGTCAATCATCAGAATGTGAATGGCGACACGCCACTTCACATCGCCTGTCGTCATCTCAACACACAGATGTGTCTCATGCTCCTGGCCAACGGATCCGACGTGCACGTGAGGAACTTCTCAGAGGAGACGGCGATTGGATGTATTCCTGATCCGAAGAGTCAGTGCGCCCGGATAATGCAGTTCAACATGCAGATGCAGAAGAAGAGAGTGGCGCTGGTGAGTCAAGTTGTGTGCCAAGATGTGACGAATGGGCGCGAATCAATGCCCATCGCCATGGTGAAGATTGCTCGCAAGAGTATCCTGCGTCGCTCGGAGGAGGTTCTGCCTGCCGCGACACTGCCCAACTTCAGATACATCACAAGACCCGTGATGGTGGAAGAGCTGGTGCAGATGGACTGTCGACTGGCGCGGTCGGAAGTGTGTGACTGCACAAACGAGTGAGTATAATCTACGAGGATTGATAACGAAATGCGATCACACTTCCTCATTCCCCAATTATCTTTGCGCAGCTGCACAACGGGTTTGTGTCAGTGCATCAGGAGATCTAGTCAGAATTGCTACACTTCAGATGGTCGCCTTGTTGATGACTTCAACTTTGCCGAACCGTGGATTATATTTGAGTGCAGCGATGTGTGCGGATGCAACAAGGTGAGCGAAGTTACTAATCAATGTGTCGCTGGCGGGAATTCTCAGGCACATTTCTTGCCTTTCAACAGCTTGTCTGCAAGAATCGTGTCGTCCAGAATGGCATTAAGGCACCCATGGAGGTGTTCAATGTGCTCGGTGATCAGAAAGAGTGGGGCGTGAGGTGTTTGAAGGAGATTCCCAAGGGAACGTTCATTGCTGAGTATATTGGTGAGGTGTTGAGCAATGTGGAAGCGGATAAGAGACCTGTGGACAGCTATTTCTTCGGCTTCGACATGTCTGATGTGAGTTCAAATGTCTTATTTGCATGGTTATCTGATTCTGAATCAGGAGAAAGACATTATTTGCTATTGATTACTGGTCAAACAAATCTCAATATTAAGTCTTATATTTCAACAAATAATTCTAACTATTACACTTCTATTAATCTTCTTAGTTTAGTGTCTAATAAATGTTTTGTTTATATTTAAAGTTGAACCATCTGCTATATTTTTTTTTTTACCATAAAGTCACTTTATTGGGTGCTTTTAATATCAAGCTGAGAAAAATTTTATTAATCGTAATGAATGTAAAGAACTGAACTTATTCATAAGGAAGAGGAAAATTACGTGACACACGCCCTGTAAAACCTTTAATTTCTTACTATCATAGGCGCAATGATCACAAACTGTCAATTATGACTGTTCAAGGACATTTTTTCGTTTTTGAATTTTACATTAACGATCCTTGTGTGGTGTATAAAATGTCCGTGTTTCGAGTGTCAATCATTCACTTCTCAAACTACCTCTGAAGGTGTAAGTTAGCAGTGAGTGTTTCTCCGAAATCGCAAGAAAATGAAGATCGCTTTGTTCTTTTTCTTCTGCACTTTGTGTCTGTGTGGCAAGGTAAGTTTCCCTGCAGGGAATTTCCTGAAAATCGAGACTAACTGTCGGGGTTTGCGCAGGTGTTTGGTCAGGAGGTGATCAAGCCGTGTGCTTTGGAAGTTGGCATGACTGATGCTGACTTGGAGAACATCCAGAATGGTGATTTGTCCAGCATCACTAATCTCTTCGGGTGCTTCTCTGACTGCGCCGCGAAGCGATCTGGCATGATGAATGGCGACACTTATCAGCCTGAGGTGTTCCAGGAGAAATTGGGCACCTATCTCAGTCCTGAGTATGCCAAGAGATTGATGGAAAGATGCGGAGACAAGGCCGGAACGGAGACTTGCCACATCACTGGACCCATTTACCAGTGCATCTTCGGAAGGCTTGTGGATTACATGTACAATCCCACAAAATGAAGCTTCATTCGAAATCCAATGATGATGACCACAAATTTGATGTATAGATAAAATTTAGCAATAAAAGAGCATGCATTCAAACTGTTTGGTATTCAATTCACTTGGTCCGATCATGTCTCTTCCTTGCGACGCAAGGTAAATTTCTGGCTATACTCTCTAAGACGCTTCCGGGATGTCACTCCTTATGACAACCCAGACTCCTTCTCGCCAGGTCGCTCTTGATCCCTCATTTCACATACGGAGCAGAACTCTTCTTTGCTGCTGACAGCGCGTCCATGAGGCAGTTGTCAGTTGCCTTCAACAACTGTACTCGCGAACGTCTGTGGTCTTGGGCCCAGAGATCACATCTCTCCCTACAGTAGTGTCCTAATCGGGTGTGATCTTCAGAATCTTCTTAAACTAAGGGCTGTCACCTTCATCTGTCGCCTCCTGGAGACTGGTTGCCCTCGATACCTCTCCTCGCTCTTGGCGCTTGGCACCTCGGCCAGGGTTCGGAGTCTATTGGTTCCGAGCTCGTCTACTGAAGTTTATTTCCGCACGTTGTTCGTGTCTGGAGTGTCGATATACAACTCACTCCCTCGCGCTAGTAGAATCTCGGTCAGTGCGATTAGGAGACACTTCCTGGTTGATAATACTGCGTAGTTATTCATTAACCTTCAATTGGCTTAATCTATCTTTAGCTTCTTTTCCTTTTCTTTATTTCAAATCACTTGCAATTTTAATCAGAAGGGCAGACCCTACAAAATTGTAAAGAAATAAATAATAATAATAATAATAATTATTATTATTATTTGGAAAGCATCAAAACTATGATATTTATTGAATTTCTCATATGTGTGTGTGTGTATTTTTTCTCGACTTTGCAGTACTGCATCGACGCAAATTTGTACGGAAACGTGAGCAGATTCTTCAATCACTCTTGCAATCCCAACATGATTCCGATTCGAGTCTACTTTGATCATCACGATCTCCGATTTCCAAAGATCGCCTTCTTCGCCACGCGAAACATTGCCGAAAATGAGGAATTGACGTGAGATTTTACTTGCTTGCAATCCTAAAAATCGAAATGCAATTTAAGATTATGGTATCTTCTCTGCAGTTTCGACTATGGGAAGAACTTCTGGAAAGTCAAGCAGAGATACTTCAATTGTTTCTGCAATACACCAGAGTGTCGATACAGGATGAAGATGTCGTCGCCAATAAACTCGGACTGAAGTCACCGCAAAAGCTATAGAGTGAGTGTAAAGAGTGAAAAGACATGATGTATTTATGAGTTTTTATCTCTTTTTTTTCTAAACTTACACTTATAATTTGTCTCGTTAGAATTCTTTTTTTTTCTTAATAATTCCCATTTTTCTCAATGTTTTTTTTTCTTCTACAAAAAATTCTTTTATTGGGTGTTAGATTTTTTTTGTTTCATTTTATATAAATTCATTTGAAGACACTTTTCTGCTAAACACTAAATTTAATTCTTAGAGAGAGAGTGATGAAAATTAATGAAAGATGATTTTTTTTTTAAATGTAAGTTAAAAAGCCCGCAGTCTCTATGAAAGTTTGTTGGTGTGATGTTTACTTTTGAGGGGAATTTAAATATCACATTAAATAGATACGGGTCTCCTGTGGGATTGTGCCACGCAAGAAAGGGCATCGTTAATCCATCCAAAGAGAAACACCATCGAAACAAACTCTCTAGAAAATGCTCATTTCCCCGATTTGACAAAAAAAAGGACATTAAACTAAAATACTAAGGAATCTACGCGAAATTACAAAATCGTAGTTAATATTGTGTTTTGTTCTTCAGTGGGGGTGGAAAAAGGAGGTGGTGATGCTGATGATTTGTGTGGCACACGTCTCGCTGCTATTATAAATTAAGAGAGTGAGAATTCTGGGGGGGGGGTGTGAAAAGGAGAATAGGAGAGGAAAATTCCTATAAAATAACTAGCATTTTGTTCTCCCATATTTCTTATAACTCCTCTTCCTCTCTCTGTCCCTCTCTTATCAACTAAGATGAGTGTGTGTGTGTGTGTGTGTCATTCGTCTCGTGCAGATGAAATTCCGCGCCGAAGGCGGGCTTGCGTGTTTGATGGGATGCTTTTAGATGATGGTTTTCTGCGGTTGCAGCCACTTCTTCACGTAGAAGTGGAAGAAGGCCAGAAGGTAAATCAGCACCATGAGGATGCAAGTGATGGTCAGTGCCATCACGGAGGTCTTGGTGGGGCAGGGCTCAATTATTGTCACTGTCTTATCACCGAAGTCTGCACTCGCTTCGCTCTTCATGTAGTCACTGTTCTTCTCATCGCCGAAATCCAGCACAAGAATCTCCTGTGAGATGTTCATGTCCTCCTCCTCGGTCTCCTCGCCGCTAGTGCTGTTGGAGGCAATTGAACGCCTCTTTCTGCCCCAAGACTCCATCGAATCGCGTCCGTACTCGCAGATAGCCTGCAAAGGAACAATTCTCAGTTGAAGTATCATTCGATTGTACACCGCAAAAGCGGAAACTCACGGGTTCACATGGGCCTAAGCAGTACTTGACGTTGCACTGGAAGATCACGCCATAGCTCTCGGTGAACCTGAAGGCCTCATAGATGGACTGCAGAGCGTGTCCGTCGGGTGTGAAGCCGGGGAAGATGGTGGGATCCACAGGACAACCCTCATCGTCGATGATCTGGAAGGTGCTCTTGGAGTCCTTGGCCATGGCGACACAAGATCTCGCGTAGATGCCGTAAGGCGCTGCAAAAGAACAACGTGTTTTCTCTCATTGATGCCGCAATTACTGTCGCTGACCCAATAACTCACTGTCTTCGGGAATTTCAATTCTGAACGTGAGACGATCGCCAATCCGGACGGTCTCCACCTCACGATTTCGCGCATCGAGAATGCGAATGCGCGGCGGCGGCGCCTCTGGTGATGAGTTGATGTGGATCATTTCAGGATCACGAATGGGCATCATGCCGAAGGTGATGTTCTTGCTGCTCATGTCGTAAGTGCATTTGACTTTGTAGATCTTGTCCGCCTTGGTCATCACGATCGAGTGGTGCTGCAGGACAATGGTGTTGGTGTACACACCCGTTACGCTTTGGGTGTTGCAATCTTGTCCGGCCATCGTGAGATCGAGTCGGAAGGCGTCCGAATTGATCACATCGATGTTGCACGTCTCAGAGCGGCCAAGTGCATAAATTCGCCCGTTAAATGGCTTGCTCGTTCTCACTTGTACAGCTATTCGGGTGTCTTTGCAGTGGACCTCAACTGTAAATGATTCACTTTGTTGACTCTCTCTCTCTCTTCGAAATGGGAAAATGCTCTCAGGAGTGATAATTACCATCATAGCATGTGCCTGTCTTGTCACAATTGGCGTCAGTCCGCGTGAAATTTGAGGTGGAATCTTCAATGGTGTCAAAGACGACTGGCAGTGTGGAATCCGGTTGGCCAGTGGGCGATGATATGCTGGATTCTGTGTGTGTGGAGAAATTCAATAGATTAATGGGATGCATCTGCACTTCATCAACATTAATAAACACCCAACCGGATTCCGCTAAGTCGGACTTCTTGGTGATGATATTGATACTCTGAATGAGTCAAAATTGAGTGTTCTTTCAACATCATCTAACTTATGAATATTATGAACTTACTCTCGCAGAGATTCTCGAAGTACTGTCCAGTGGGCTCTCCTCGGTCGATCAGTGGTCGCTCTCCGTTCAAGTACGTCGACGGTCCATCGGGCAGCGTTTTGTGGTCCAGATGGTAGAGGCGGCAGTTGTAGGTTGTGCCCTGCGGTCGGCCGAGATACAGGAAGGATCGACAAAGGAACTCCGTCTCAATTTCACAGGCCAGCCTGCAAGCGTCTTCGGAGGACACTTGCAGCTCCTTGTCCGTGTAGTAGTGGATGCCGACGTACTGCGCCACCTTTTCGTCTGACACCCCAATTCGCGGCACTTGGAAGAGTCGAGAGTTCTTGCAGGCCTGCGCGGGCTTCAGACAGAGATTCTCGAAGTAGTCCGTGCCCTGGGCGTCCACCAGCTGCACGAATTGCCCGGTGGAGCGCCTGTCGGAGTCCGAGAGGACGCACTTCATATTGTTGTAATCGTACTCGGCGGAGCGACAGATGAAGCGCTTCTCGTTGAGGCAGGACGTGAGACAGGCCTCCTTGGTGCTGGTGTAGATGAGGGCGTTGTCGAGGCCGCGGATGATCTTGTTGGGGATGCGCTCGAAGGCCCACGGACGCATGCAGATGTTGTCAGAGCGCAGCTGCACCTTCACCATGTAGTACATGGCGGAGGATCTCTGCGGAATGGCGGTGGGATTGTGGGCATTGGAGTCATTCTGGAGCTGACACAGCGTCTCTTGGTCCGGTGTCAGTGGATTAACCACGAAACTTCATGATGGGTCGATATATGGAAGAGAGGAACAGAACCACAAATCACGATTGGCTTATTAGTAACACAAAGAGTGCGCGCGCGATACTCATTCAAACGTCGTATGGCCAAACCGTATAAGGCACGGCTATTACGGCCTCAAGAAGTCTCTCAATGGGGACTTTCTAAGTGCAAAAAAGTCTGCGGGATATTTAATAGGTCGGAACCTACTTTTTTCCACAAACTGTCCATGATGACACATAATGTGTGAAATATTTGATGTGCTCAGGCACACATTCAATTTCCAACCAAGATGATCATTTGTAAACACACACCTTAAAGAATGTTTTCACCGCGCGATGCGGTTGTGGTGGTGGAAGAGAACGTTATGTAAATTGGTGAGAGAGAGAGCGTGCGGCACTCAATTTTTGCTAAAACCATAAAATTATGATTAATTTTCCAACAATAGAAAATACATAGAAGTGCTGTGTCAATTAAATTATGATAAATTCACTCAGCACTATTCTCAATATACAGACTTTGCTGGTGAAATCTTCTCAGAGAATTTATGGATTTGAGCTTTTACAGTAAATGGGATTTTAAGAGGATTGAATTTCTTGGTGAACAATATAAAAACGGTCAGAAAAGATGATTTTTATAGGCGGAATTCACTTAATTGATATTGAAGATAGTTTGTTGTGAGGTTGAGGAAAGGCACTGAAGACATAGAGAATAATTTGACGTGTAATTCTCTTGAATTTATTCGTGCAAAATTGATTTTCAGTATGTCAAAAGGATGTGTTGCTCAAGAGACATGCAAATGACTATGAAAGTCATCTGCAGATAACAAGAATGGTAAATTACAGGCTTCTCACAGTCCCTTTTTCACCATGTGAACGAATGGCTGAGAATGAAAAACTAATTTATGGCTAGACTGAAAGATTCTATCTCAATTGAAGAAGAGAGCTGCGATGGTTTGTGGAAAATTTACAGCTTTGAATTTTAGCTGCATTTAATTTGATGCTCGTAAAGTCTCTTCCCAAGGAGACACCGTTCGATGAACTTTATGTTGCTCTCATGCTGATTTTGTGTATTAGAGACGGCAGAGAGAGAGAGCGATAAGGGAGAGATGAATATCTAAAGTGTGTGCCTATAAAAATAATTTAATTAACAATATGAATAATCAAGAGTGACCGTTTTGCTTGGTGAATGCAACTCCAGAGGGCTTTCGCTGTCTCTTGGCATTCCTCGCGAAGGGAAACTATGCGATGGAAGCGCGTGAAGTTTGTTATGGTAATCGAAGAGTGAAGGAATGGCTAATTGAGCCAAGGGACGATGAAGAGAGTGAATTTGATGGGCGCGCGCGCGCGCAGAGGTTTTGTGTGATCATGAGAGTGATCGAAAGTAATTTGCCGCTGAGTCAACAGACGCATCAATCTGGTTGGAATGGGAATATTCTCGCCAAATCGAAGAGGCGGGAATGTGTATATAGATACTTTCTCAAAAATAATCATTAGCGGCATTGCTGTGTTCTTACCTGAAAGCCGCCGCCTGGCAGTCTTGCTCCTCCCGACACCATCCCTGGCACTCGTACAGGGAGAGATTCTTCACACTGTAGTACGTTGTGCCGGGGAAATCAAAGTCCGTGAGCTTCTCAAATGCAATCCTCGCATGGGTGAACTTAAGAACTATCGATAGTATCACGATGGCTACATATTTCCATGTCATGATGTGTGTGGATCTGCAAAGAGGGTCATCGTCAGCGGAGTGCATTTCATTTTGGAATTGGTAAATGAGAAAGGGTCGCTCATTTGGCATCTCTTGTTCATATAATACATATACCAATGTTGCAAAATGTGCCCCTAATCTCCAACTCGGTGTGTGTGAGTGTGTTTGTGTGTCTAAGCTGTGGCTCTGTGGCCTTTTGTTGCAGATGGAGAGCAACAGCCAAAGTAAAGAAATTAGAGAAGGCAAAAGAGTCTCAGAGAAGGTTTTATCGCTTTTTGGGCCAACTAACGGATTCTCCACAGACATTGAATCTCTTTACACTGATTCGATAATCATTACTACAGTTCCATTATATGACTTGACGGCGAGCTGAGGAGGTGGAAAGAGAGAAGAAGCTGATCTCTATGGGATGTGAAGAGAAGACAACACAGAATCTCTCATGCCAAATGAATCACATGTATTATTATGTAATTTTTAACGGGTGGCAAATCTCGATGAATTAATTTTTTTTCTCTCTCTCTCCTCCTTCTCATCACTGTGTGCTTCTTTTGGTTTTATAAAGAAGATGAGCACCATCAGATGAAGATTGCATGGAGAAATGCTCTCTCTCTCACTTAACCCGTTTTGTGTCTTTCTTTTGCGCATCCGAAAAAAAAGAAATGAGATTTGCGCTCGTGTGTTTGTCACGAGAAATGGCACAGAATGCAGGAGGAGCGAAGAGAGCAAACAGAAGTCATTGAGCTCTTCCCGCGTGATCCATCTGTATGGAAATGTGTGAAATTCGCCAACATCTCTTCCCGGAGGAAGATCATCAAATGAATGACTGTGGAGAATATGCCGTAAAGCACTCAATGGTGCAGAAAGAACGAAAAAGTCGATTAAGAATCGACAATCGCGCGCTGATCAGTAACGGAATATGATTTGAATAACTGAATTATATATACAAAAGTATTTTGGACTATTAAAGGGCAAAAGTAGACACCATTCTCTTCATTAATCGCTTCATTTGCGGCACTTGTGCGTCAGTTGGTGTGGCGATCGGAGTGAGTCCCAACGACCTCCAGGAATAGCCTTTCTCTTCAGAGATTGGGGAAAAAAAGAGTGGTTCGCGAAAATGAGGCCATACACAAAGTGGCACTCAAGTTGCTCCCAACTGACCAAGAATTTTCTAAGCATATCAAAATGTGACCGAGAGAGCTGTGGCTGCAATTCGCCCAGCATTAGAAGAATGATGTTTGTTTGTGAAATTAACTACTTTGGCTCTCTGGCAAAACTCGTTCTTGCAGAGTTGAGTGGCACTGCAAATATGGCTTTGGACTTTTTATTTTTGAGTCTCCTGCAAGAGTTTTGTCATGAGCTGGGAAAATAATCTATAGGCGCACAGTTCTTCAAGGCTGCACAAAGGTGAAATGACTTTCAGCAATTGGAGCTGCGGAATTTTTTAAGGAAAATTGACACGCAGACTCTGTCTGAAGATGATAGGAAATTTGAGATTGAGGAGTTTGATTGAAAATGCAGAACGAGGAAGTGAATACAGATACAATGTTTTCTTTCATTCGTGCAGAGTTTCACAAATAATAATAATCAGTGTCTGTTGTGATTATTTGGTGAATTTCGCACGAATTTTAGCTGGTTGTGTTTTGTTTTAACATCTCATAAAAAACATTGCGAGGCATTTAAGGTCGATGAACAGAGTGGAAAGAAATCTGTTAAGAGATGAAAATCACAACATTCATGAATTTCCAATTTCTATAAATCTTTAATGTCCCTTAAATAAGATGATGAGTGTATTATTCGCCCAGTAAAACAACCTCAATAAGTGTATAGGAAATGAAATTAACTTCACGCACCACAGTTAATAATTATTGCTCGGTGAATTTTCATGTTTAGCGATACTTGAGCCAACTTGATTCATAAATTCTCTCTATATTTCTATGGATTTCTATGGATTTCTATGGCCGAAAAAATACTGTTTGTGCCGAGAATCACTTTTGCAATATGAACTTCCTCTCATGTTGGCGCAGCATCTCAACATATCGCGCGTACGCAAGAAATCTCGTGATGTTTGTCGATGGTGGGGCGCGAATAGCGCAATAAAGTAGGAGAAAGACAACAATTTTATGCATATAGAAGCTTGTAAATATTGTCACTTATGACAGTTTATTGCCAAAAAAAATGAGATGACTTTCTCTGTACACAATAAAATGCCACACGAGGAAAGAGTGTTGGATGAAATGCGGGTAATGGTGTAAATAGATGGTTGTTTTTTTTGTCTATTTGCTTTCTGGCCTGCAGTACCGGAAAATATTGGGGTCTCGCGATAAATTTTGGGTGTCACTATATTTTTTTTCGGTCGTTGGCAAGAAGATTTATGTGGTGAATTTCTATGGCAATAGATTTGACCCCCATGACGTCACAAGACGCCCACGCGAGGCACGTTTCTGTGGCAATTTTCAGTGTAGCGCGCGCTGTGTATGCAAATTACGGATGGGATCGTGAGGCATTTCCGGACAAGGCGAAAACAGTGGCGTTTTTGGGCGTCAGCTTTATGGGTCAAGAATGAATCGAATAAGACGAAAATTTAGCACATTCCAGGTCATTTCAATACCGTTTCTCACACTCTCTTCAACATGTGCACAGGAGGGCAAATACAAGCACATCGTCAGCCACACGATACGAAAACGGTGAATCAGTTTAAGTGTTACCTGCATCTCTTGCAGCGCCCAAGTTCAATGAACCCTTCAATGACTATGTTGTGTATCTTTTACATATGTTCCTCCACTATGTTGCCGCGCACTCTCGCGAGAGTGAGAGAGCGGCTGCGCTTGTCGATGAGTGTGGAAGGGTTCATGCTAATCGCTGGAGATTAGCTGAAGAAGTCACAGGTATATTGCTAAGGAGTTTGTGGGGAGAGAATGCTGAACTAATTTCTCATGGGCGCTCGAGGAATCCCTTCGATCGTGAGCTATGCCGGTGTCTAAGACCACTTCATGGTCTGTTCTCTCAGCCCAGCATTTTGAGAGCGAACGAGAGGTGTGTGTGTGTGTGTTTCCAAGAAGAGGGCATCGAAGATGATGAGGTTGGAGGAGCAGGGCGCACGATGTATCAATAATTGAGGCATAGTGAGTGGATGAAGGAGTCTAATTTGTTCAACAATTGAGAGGGCAAAAACAGATGAAAAATCGCTCAATGATTAATAATAGGGAGAATCATAAAGAAAAAAAGAAGTGTGCAAAGAGGAAATCCACAAATGGATGAGGGAACATGGAGAGCATAATTGGTGAATTGTGAGCAAAAGTGTTTATTTTTCAAGCGTGTCAGAGAGAATGAATATTTGTTGAGAAGAAGGCGGCAGGGAAATATTATACAATAAATATTTTCTGCGCTACCTAATGGATCAATTTTTCTCTCTCTCTGTTGTCACTTCTTGCAGCACACCGAGATGCCGCGGACGCTGAACAATGGGCGACGGAGACTTGAGGAAGAGAGAGAGAGTGCGAAGAGAGATGGCCAGTATTCAATGGATCAGCAAAATGCGACAGCCTTTAAGACTTTTCACCACTGCGGCAAGTTTTCCTTCCCTTCTTTTCCTGCATTTTTACCATAATACTTTCCCGCACATGGAAAAGAAAGCAGAGCAAATTCTCATCAAACTATCAATCTGGGAGGATAATTCTTGCCGTAAATTGACTCGTCGATAGATACTTTTGATACCGCAAAACATCACTCTTACATACTCCAAGTTGATTGCTAGTTGGAGTTTGCAAATGTTTGCCAATAGAACATTTCTATGGGGTCAATTTATCTTCGAAGGTGTGCACTTCAGCCGCACAGAGTCGAGTGAATTGAGTGTGTTTATTTCATCGTGAGTTATTTGAAGTATCATTAGATCTTGAGTGGAGTTTTTTGCCTTATTTATTGAACCCCATCAATTTTGCTGAGGCGCAGTTTCAGGGATTATATTTACCTATGATCTTATCTTAGCAGCTAGTTTCCGCAGTAAAGCAACTTGCGCCTTTTGCAACACCCTTCAAAGATTCTTTCGCAGCTCAGATTTTAGTGTGTTGTTAGTTGTAATTGAGATCGAGGATCGGAAAACGACTCTCAATTCTAGATTTGGAGAATCGAATTTCAAGCTATTGATCTATAATTCTACCGCAGATCAACTTAATCGTGAAATCCAAGAAGACCATAAAGATTGGTTGTATTTTCAATGTAAAATTGCGGGTGAAATCATGGGTATTATGGCATATTTTATGATCGTGAATGATGGTTACTTTGTAAAGTAGCTCAATTTTGTAACAATTATCCTCCATTCAAGAGTACGATAGTTGCTGATTGTGCCGGCAAATTGTCTCTCTCCGGCAGAATCATTTGGCGTATCTGTTGCGCGAATGATTGTCTGGAGATGGAATGTCTCACGATGTTATGAACCGTAAAAACAGCTAAACACAGTGCACTGAATCTCTTGTGTCTCATCATGAGAAGAAGACTCTTCATCTCTTGACTCGAGAGACACACACACGATATGGGGAATGATTTTTCTTGTGAGAAGAGAGAGAGGCAAACAGTCTCATGGGCTTCTTCATCTTATGCATATTGAGATGAGAAGAATATGATAGTGCGACAGTTATTCAGTTATAAAGAGATGTACCCGAGATGTGTGAGTGTGAAGATGGTGAAGAGACAGAGAGAGAGAGAGAGAGGAGAAGAAGAGTAAAAAAAAACGTAGAAGTTGATAATATCAAAAATATACAGTGAAATAATAGCGTGACTGGATAATTTTCAGAGGGTACAACAGAATAGAACTACAGGAATTTTCTCTCGCTCTCGCCACGGAATCTGTGGTGAGATACGTGGAAATAGATTGAGAAGATGGGGCGAGAGGAGATGCAACATAACTGATCACAAGGCGTCATCTTCCCCGTGGTATTTATCATTGCGCGCGTCTTGAGGGAGAATTGCGTGGAAAATGAGGCGCTGAACAACAATGACGGGGGGAAACATAAAATCTGACGTCAATCTATACGCTTTACTGTAATTTCTTGGGCGGTGTGACTCTTTTGCACGGGGAAAAATGCAAGAGGCTCTGCTTGAACATGTCACTCGGTGTCAATCTGCAATTCAGCCACTCCATGGTATACTTATTAATTGTCTGGGATGTTGTTGGGCGGCCTGGAAGCTCGTGGCCTCGGGGTGTTGAGCATTGCGAGGGAGAAAATGCCGACAAACACTTGTTATGCTTAATGTGAGACTGGAGAATCTGCAGAACATCAATCTTCAGACGCTGGCAATGATCAAATTAACTTCCAGAAGCTATTGAGTATTCTTCACTTCAATTCTATCCAATTGTTCAATTAGAAATGTCTTAATTTGAACTACAACATACTAAAATCTGAGCAAAATTCACAGTCTTCTTCTCGATGTATTCAATTTTAAAATTTCAGAAGTTTTATTAAATTTGTCGCTTCTAGTAGTGGTTTTTTTCTTAAACTTCAGATAATCCGAAGAGCGACCGCATTTTCGATAAGGTATTAATTATATCGACTGTAATGAGAATTGTAGAACAAATAACTGACTGTAGCAATTTTGTACTTTCTTTCTCAATGACAATCAAGTGCACTTTAAGTAGAGATAGAGATGGCTTTTAGAGTGCTGTAGCAATTTTTAATTTGAGCCGAAGACGATGAAAATGGGTTGAGAAAGAGCACAATTCTAGTGTTAACCGAGCTACTCAAGTGCATTTAGGCCACGAACTCATGAGACGTCCGTCATAAATGAGACACAATGGGTTGTGGAAGCACTGTGATTGTCTCTCCGGAGACTTGTTTTTTACCACCTCCATCGCGACTGAGCGATGCCATTGGTGCATAATAAATTTTCAAGGGTGCACAAGTTCAAGAATCATTATGATGATGCACTCGCGAAGATCCAAGAGGAGAAGCATCATCATCTTCTGTAGCTCGGATGTTATTATTTGTTGCTCAAGTGCCGACCATTGCAAATGGTCAGTAAAATGTACAATTACACTGTGCGGATGGGAAGATGATAAAACACCTCACGAGGTGGGCTGAGGAGTGGAGGAGAAGAGGAATATATGGTGAAACGCGGAGATTCACAGAAGGCCCATAGAAGAGTTAAATGAACTGAATTCATAGGAGAATTTTATTGTATATGCTATTTTTTCTGTTGTGTGTAAACTTGTAAGGATTTTGAGAAGGAAGAGAGAGAGAGAGAGCGAGAGTTGCTGGATGGACAGATTTATGTCCACTCCTGTGGCTTGTGAACAATAGAAGAGCTACCAGTGTTTAATTGGGAAATAGAGAATAAAGTATATATTATTTTATGTGGAACAATTACCTATGGTCGCTTCCTTCCCTGAAGGCTCACTGCCTCTATACAGCTCACAATAATCCCAGATAGGAAATTCTTACACTTCACTCTGGCCTCTCGTGTGGCAAGATCCACCCCCGAATAAAAATCGTCTCTTTCAGCCTATTGCACAACTCCACACTGTCACGTCTCGAGGCACACGCGCGCCGTTTTCCAAAAAAGGACACTCGCGGAGAGCAAAAATGCGCAAAAACAAAAATAAGGGAAAGAGAAAAGGAGGTGAAAAAGCAGCACAACTTTCAGGCGACACGGAAGGTGTGCATCGAATCGAGGTGGTGAGATGAGGAGCTCGAGAATGTAGCGCAAGAACACAGCACGAGATGCGCACCCATCAAGAGTAACATGGACAATGACTCGATGCTGACGACATTACGTCTTTTTATTCCCGTGTGAGGAAGACATGGATGGTTAGCCGTATGATTGCAGTTAGAAGTCTCCCAGTGGATGTGTTCCACCGAGAGAGCTGAGAAAGAAGTGTACGGTAAAATTCTCTTTCTCTCTCAACACCACAAGAAACCACCATTTCACCATGCGAGAGGAGAACTTTTCTCTGCTCAGCGCGCCCGTCCCAATGTTAAGCCACGGCAGAGAAGAGGGGAAAGTTTCAGTTGAAACCCACGGGAGTGTTTCAGGGAATATTTCAGGGCGCCCAAACATACAAAAGACTGCGCGGTGGATCAAGAAGCGAACCTGCGGTAAGTCTCTGCGTGCGATTTGCATACTTGTTTCGACAGACCTCTTAGGACTCTCAGCCTTGACTTGACTTAAAAATAGCCCAAGAGATGTATTTTTCTTTGAAAGAAATTAATAATGATGAAGATGAACGTTCTTCTGTGTGTGGTTTTTCAAGGGGCAGATGAGGAATATCGATTGGAAACTTAAGAGACGCATTATAACTTTAAGAAGTAATGTGTAGAGATTTAAGCTGTATTATTTCCTCCCTGTCTTTTGCCATTTACGTTTAAATACAGCTCATAATCGCTTGTTGGAATATATAAACTCGTTAAGAACATTTGTCTAATTGATTTTACCCATTTTATATCTTAAGTTACAAAACAATACAGAATTGAGACGGAAAAAGTTCGTAATTTGCACCAACTCGTCAATTCTTTCTCCATTGAAAAGATCTAGAACAGGGGGTAGATTTGCAATTGCCAGCAAAATGAACACTTTTCTCAATAAGTCGTCTTAGGTGGACTTTTGTGAAATGTGAAGCCAGAAAAATGCACAGAGTGGAAATGTTTGAAAGTTTCACGAAAGCCAAACAGCCCCACTTGAGAGTTTATACTATCGAAGAGAGCGAGAGGGAGCATAACTTTGGAGTCATTATAGTGTGAATTCTCCTGGCTCTATAGCCATCTCCTATCATTTCCATACCACCATCGCGAGCGTGGATGCGAGAGAGAGAGTGGTGAGCCGCAAAATTAACGTAATGACTCTAAATTCTCTCTCTCCTCAAAAAGTTCTTATTCTTCATCACCTCGCGCGCAAGGTTGAAAAATTCATAATGAATGAGCGAAATGGGTAACGGTTGTTTATTAATAATAAAATTGAACTTCGATTGCAGATCTCTGCCACTGCTCACAGAATCTCGCACTGGGCGAAGTGAAGAGAAAGAGAGATAATGTTGCATGGTGACAGAGGGAACCTACTTTTTCGCCCAGCTTCCTGGTGTCTTTCTCCCGCGGGATGGTGTGGAAGATATGGTGCGGTGAGCAATTGCGGCTGATGGCGCCCGCGAGATGGTTGGAATTTTTAGAACGCGCTTTTGTTGCCAGATACAGTTAAAGACACCTCACAACCTGGGATATGCTCTGGGAGACGTGTTAAAATATTCTAAAGGTCATTCAATGTTCTTGGAGTTTTCATCTTCATTGTAGTGTATCGTGAGTTACACGGGCGAGAGAGGGAATCCGGATGGTTGCAGATGGGAGAAAGATGCTAGAGCAAACACTCTGGGATGCACAAGAGAATATATAGGGGAAGACGAAGCCTTGATCTCTTTGCTGAGAGTCTCTGGAGCGCCACTTGAGTTGTCCTTAACCCATGAGCAGCTCAAGTGTGGATTCTCTGCAAGAAGCACTACAATATCTGTGTTGTAAAGGGAACTCTTCTGCTTCTTCTACGCCCTGGGATGGGCAATAAAGCGGCCAATGCAATTGTTGTTCTGGAAACCGTGAAATTCTCAAGAAATCGCCATGACAATCAAAAGTCCGTAATCTAATCTCGGCCGCGAGGGACTCGCGAGATCCCAACATTGTTCCAACGCCATTCTCGCTGGCGCACAACAATGCCGTCGACACGGAAGTCAACTTCCATTTGATTGACCAAAATGAACACGGCAACTTGCGGCTCCCAGCGAGATTTATGCCACCGTTCACATGATGCCCGATGTACTCTGGATGATCGTTTTTTTTTTTTACTTCTTCTTCCTCTCTGGACTTGGCGTCTCCCGAGGCAGAAAATTCGCGAGAGAGCGAGGAATTAGTTCTGGCCTGACGGTATGTATGAATTGAGCGCCAAATCCACAGACAATGCCTCAATTTGTGATTCTCAGTGAGTGAAGAGAATGAAAGTTGGAAGAATGCCAATGGAGGATTCTCCATGCTTGAAGATTGGAAAGATCAACAGCTGAAATGTGTTAAGTGGAGCTCCGCGCGTCTTCTCCTCCTGCGGGTGGCTATCTATCATGTATTTACACACACCAGCCAAGGGAGATAACAAAACGGCCCTCCAGATAAACTCCGTGCGCGAGGGGAAACAAGACATCTCACAAGGCAGGCAATCATCTCTGGGGAGAGACAAGGGAATATATGGCTTGTTCGATCGTTAGATTACTTCACCTAAAGGTCATGTTTTATGTCTGAATCGCGCCGTGAGATTAACTAAGAGACTTCTCTGCAAATATATTGACCACAGAAATAATTCACCAGTGAAAATTGTTAGTTAGACTTGAGAGCAAAGCCTTGACATCCTCAGCTTAAGTGGAAAGATTTAGAATCTCACAAGAAAACCATTGCGTAAACGAGGAATGTTCACTGTAATCGTGCTGAAATATTTTCCATGTTTCCCTGCTGAAAAATTCTTTGTAGCCATATTTTCACACATAAAAAAACCATTTTTTTTCCACCTCTTCAAGAATCCGCTGCATTTGAAAAATCTCCGCTAATTTGTTGTACAAAAAAGAGGCCCCATAATTGTCATGCCACAGAGTTGAGAATTTCTCAGATTTATCTCCACTAAATAGAACTTGGGATTAGTGTGATGAATGAGTTGGGTGCATTTTCTTTTATTGCTTCCTCAATTTCGTGCGAGATTTTCGACAGGAATGATCGCGAATGATCGTTAAGACAATTGGCGCGGGAATATTTGTCTGACGGATTCTATATTGTATGAAAAAGCGTGATCACGCTCTTGACGAGTCTATTGATTATCTCAATTGCACGATATTTTTGCGTAGGGATGAGAGAATTATTAATAATGTGTTGAAGGAATTCCTTGGCAAATTACTGCAGGTGCTGAAAATCAAGTTCGCACAGCCTCAGGATGTTTGAATCTCACGCATATATGGAAATGCTGGAGTGAGCATCGCAATTAATGCAGCGTGGCAAAGTCAAAAATGTGGAACAGGTAAATTTCATAACAGTTCCATGTAATGATGTTGTCTCAGTTGAGGGCGTCTGTGCAGCAATTTTCACTATCAACTGAGGGAAAAATTCCTCAAGGTGGTCTTCCCGGAGCGTTTGTTTTCCTCGTTTGCCATTTGCCAGCCAATTTAGCCCGTCTTCTAATCCATCCAGACAATCTTTTATTCTCGTTCTTCGGTCACGATTTTGCGCTCAATATTCGGTATAATATTTCTCTTCTATCGCGCCGCGCTCGTTGAAATGGTGCAAAAATACACAAATGAGGCATTGGTGGTGTTTAGGGGGCACAAATATGCTGATAAGTATGCAAAAGAGGCACGTTAGATATTTTAATTCGCTCCCCAGAGGTCAATAACTCACTGAATCACCTCCTTTTTCCACCTGGGTGTTGGTCTCGCTATTGCACTATTGACTCGTTTCATTTTGCAAGCCACGCTGGGAAGTAGTTATAATTTTTGCACACATGTGTCGTTTATCAAGACAACTAGCATTTAGCGGCTGTATTTAAAGCGCTATTTGGTGCAAAAGTCTTCGGCCTCCAGAGTCAAGATTTCTTGCCACAAGTTGAAATGCCATTGACTTGTACTCGCTTTGGGCAGTTTACGAGAAGCTGGGCTTTTGTGATCACAACCTTCTGCAAAGTCACTTTGGAGAATCTTTGGCTAAATCCTCATTATTATTATTATTATAAATTGCGGACCTTCGTATGAAGTCAAAGCGACTGACCAACTGATGCAATTTCAGTATGACAAATTGTCAGAAAGAAAAGAAAAGAGTGCGAAAAGAGCTTATCAATTTTTCACTATAACGCTGAATTATTCATTCGAAAATCCATTGGAAAATCCCTTCAGTGCAAAAAATACTTGGCAAACGCGGAAAATTTCCTGTAGCTTCAGTCGAAATCATGGAGCGAAAGTATCACGACGCCGTGAAGAAGTTCTTCACCGTGTATTTCAATCTGTTCTCGTTGGAAATCTTACCCGAAGTGAAAAGATTCAGGTTCCTTAACGCAATTAAACCGATTGTTTGTCCTGCTTTAATTGCTATTATCATCCTCAACTGCATCTATCATCTGGTTTATGGTGTTGATCCGAAGGATATAATTGATTTCGCCATGACTGTAGATCTCTTATTGGGCTACCCTTCGTCATTAATTGTTTATCTGATAATCCGATATGTTCATAAGAACAGAATTATGGAAATCATGGAATATTTTGATTCTCTGCTGGCGTCTCAAGATCATCTTATTTCAGATATAAGAGCAAAATACTACTTGAAAAACTCGAAGCTGATATACATGATTGGAAGGTGAGTATCAGTGCTTGGTTTTTGATTTATTTCAAGAGTTTTTCGGCGGTTTCTTCTTTCATTTCAGAACCTACATCGTTAGTTTTTCGATCTGTGCTGTAATTATAACGATGTTTCAGGCATACTATTCCGCCAACAACCTCCCATTATTCTACTCTATTCCTGGAATTCCCAGAGAAAGCATCTTCTTCTATCCAGTGAACCTTATTTACCAACTTCCTACTTTCTGGATTGTTTATGAAATGTATTTGACATCAGATATCATTCTCGTTTCCCTAATAATATACTTCGATGCGGAAATGATGTCAATTGCAGATCTCATCGCAACAATGAATACTCCAAACTTATCCGAAAGTGAACTGGGTTTAATCTTGAAGAAAACATTGGAAACTCACGTTGTCCTGACAAAATTCGCTGAAGATCTGAAAGCACTCTTGTGGCATTGTTATCTTATCAAACTGTTCATGGTTACTTTTCTCTTAATCTCTGGAATGTTCTTGATTCAGATTGACGTCAATTGGTTTATCCCAGCTGTGCTTATAATCCTTGTTGGAATTATAAATTGCTTTATAATGTGCTTCCTTGGTCAGTTCCTCTTGGACGGATCGGAACTGATGTCGGAAAGTCTTTACATGATGAAATGGCACGAAATGAAGACAAGCGACCAAAAGGCTCTTCTGATGCTCATGATCAGTTTTGACAGACATCTCAAAGTGGAGACTTTCGGCTTCGGTACAATCAACTACAATACTTTCGTCCAAATCTGCAAGGCTTCATTTTCTTACGCTACCATTTTTTACGCGCTCCTCAAGTAACCCTTGAACACTTGCAATATGCGGGAGGTTTTATAATGTTGCAAAGTTGTATGAGCATTTGAATAAAACACGCTTTTAATGTGATCACAGAATGATTCAATGTGTGTTTTATTTATCAAAGAGAACTTTCGATAATTTTTGCTAGAAATGCAGTCTAAAAATTAAACTGATTATTGAGTTTTTCCGTTATTAAATTTGCATATTGGAAATTGCGTAGTTTCCTTTGGAGTTCAGAAGGTTGAAAGTGAGTAAAATATTAACAACACTCGTCATACTTTGTTCGCAGCTTTGTGTTATTAAGGATTCACGTGAGAACAGATTCATGCGTTTTTTTCCGAAGAACATGTGCAAAATTATGCGTCATCAAGGAAGGTTTATCGATCGAATCGCGCCTGTTTAGCTCAGATTTGCGCCATCAAGTTTGGATTTAGTATATTTATGACATGAACAAAATAATAGAATCCTTTCCATGATTTGTACATTTTCAGTTTCTTCGTTTTATCACATTAATTTCCCTGCACTCCCGCCGAGCTCTGATTCTCATATTTTGCTCTTCAATAACTATTTGTCTCAAAATTTGCACACGTCTTATTAGCAATTATAATTTTTCTTGTGCTGTTGATGCAAGAGTCGCATATTTAATTTTTATAGCGCGCTCATATTTTTTTTTTTGCTTTCTTGGCGATAAATTGCCGATGGTGCAAGAACAAGTGCGGCGGAAGAGAGTGAGAAGAGAGCAAGTTCAATGCTAGAATGATCTCATAACTCATCTCCCTGTCTTGGCTCTATTTTCAGCGAGACTCTGCCAAGAATACTCGCAGGCATCTCTTGTTGATTCCACCGATATCAAGTGAGGGCTCATTGTTGACGCTAAGTGGCCAAAGGGTGGGGAGGAGATTAGCACAGAGTGCCCCTGATGGGAGTCGCGATCTTTGCCTCTGATTCACCTCCAGCAGCGACACAAGACGATTGTCTTGCGCACGGTGAAATCCTCGAGAGACACTCCACGTAATTGACATCGCGAGGGGCCCTCATCTCCTGCACGAGTGGCAATTTTCGGTCAAGAGCCTTGGCGGTACTTTCATCGCGCTGCCGAAGTCTAACGGACAGAAGCTATTTAATAAGAGTTACTTTCATCATCCGGAAATGCAAAAATCGCTGATTTGTTTATGATCATTTTAGTGGAACGCATTAGATTCTTTTATAGTCTGTTGATTCTTGTTCATTCATTCACCAGTACGGTTTCTCATCTTAATTTATTGCACCACGAAAGCGAACAATTGTCGCGAAATATTGTAGTTTCTCGCTCTTGAGAGTTCTAAGAAAGAAAAAATATATTGTAGCAAAACATAGTGAATTGGTCCAGATGTTCTCTTTATTTCACACATTAGAATTCCTTATTTATTTATTATTTATTCATATTTCATCAGATGCTTCAAATTTTTAAATTTCTCACTGAAATTTTTAGCAGATATTTATGGAAATATCTATGAAAACACTTTTTTGACATTTTCTATGCTCAATTTTAATTTACATTGAGAGTTTTTTTTTTGTTCCAATTTGGTAATAGACACGATATTTGATAAATTTTAAAGAAAAAAAATAAAAAAATAAAAGAGCACTTGAACACTCGGACTGACTCACTGCATCCTCTTCCAGTATCTTCGCTAGTTAAACCTTCTGATTGAATTAATCACTCACTGCACCATCAGTTATTCCGAAGATGTGAAACTCTTGCGCATGCCTTATAAACCCCTCGGTCTTGAGGGCTTTCGGACTCTGTGTGGCAATGCGTTTTTTCACTATGGGATGCAATTAATCAAATAGTTAATTGTCTGGCTGGTGCGGAAGTGCTGGATAATATTTCTGCACGAAGATTTGTGGGCAAGAGTGCGACTGGTGAATTGGGTGGCCGAGGAGAAAGTGGCAATCTCGAGGGTATTTGTGGGGCTGAAGTGTGGCTCATGTAGACACTGCAATAGACCAATATGTGAGCTATATAGTTGCAGTATAGCACATAATCCCCACACAGGTGTCTCAAGACACACTCTCTCTCTCCACCGTCCAATTGCACCTGGTGCACTTTGGCTGCACTCGCATGAGTGTCTCTATCAGTTTCGCGAACACTTTCTACGAGGAATATTTGCTTCTGTGCTGTCGCGACAATTTCGGCTGTGAATCTCGCACGTCAATCCTTCCGAGGAGAGTCACTTGGACGAGGAGGAAGTCTACGCTGGAGACTGGCAAGACCTAAAGTGCGCAAGATTAGCATCGTGATCTGCACGAGAGTTGCGACATTGTCAGGGCAAATATTGTGTGACAAGAGAAGCCTCAATTAGTCACGAGAGGCTCAAGTTGAGGTGCAAGAAAAAAAGAAGTCCGCAGAGTGTTTGTGAGAAAAGTGAAATCTCGTTTGTGAGAAACAGTCTTGCATTTGCCATCGACTCTTGATCATCTCTCAATATCCAATTTAAATATCGATGCTGTGACTAAATTGAGTGCTTGTGTGTGTGTGTGATTTTCCGAAGGATTGCCATTTCCTTGCAAACTCTGCCCAATAAGCAATTTGCGAAGGGTGCAAAAGCGTTGCATATCGCTTGTTATATTCAATTCACTTTTCATCAATACTGCGATTTTTTCCGCTTTCGTGAGAATTGCATAAATTTCTGTGAATCCAAATGGATGACGCTGATTTCTTACGTTTTGGAATTCAATTGCTTAGCACAGACTGCCATTAGGGGAGTTTGGGGCTGCAATTTCCTTTATGCAAGGCAAATGAAACTGTGCCAATTTTAAAAAAAAATGCATTTTGGCATTTGAAACATTTTCAGCGTTCTCTGAACTCGGAATTTTGATGTTTCTGTTAATTATATCGGCATTCTCTCGTATTCTCATCAAAATCACATCTGTAAATTTGAAGGCATTCATTTTCGCATGCTCTTGAGCTTTTTATGGCTTATTTCACTTTCATATGACTCTTATTAGGATCCAATTCTCTGCTATTCTGTTTGCTATTCTGTTGTGGCTATTCTTGGGACTTGTGAAGTGAAATTCAGTGGCTCGGCCACACTTTATGTGTTGTACACCCCATATAACTCTGACCAGAGCCAATATTGAATTTTATTATCCAATTATTCACCACGCAATAGATAATTTCCTTTGCTTTTTTTTTTTGCACCAACCCCACTCAATATCGTGTGTTTCTCTCTTCGGTGTTTATTTTTACAATTAACCGATTCTCTGCACAAAAATAGTGGAAGTGGCACAAAAAGGCCAAAGAGAGAAATATATGTTATGGTCTCTAATAACACAGGCTGAGGCGTAATGAAATCTGTGCAATTCGAGCGCGTGTGTTTTCGACTTCAGTAATAACTTTTGCCACTCACTCTCACCCTCGCGAAGGTGCAAAAAGGTTTGATTTCCCCCCTCCCTATCATTCAGTGACGTGTCTTCGCGCGTCCCTCTAAGTTGTGGACTGGTCTTGATTACGATGAGGAGCCGCTGGCAAGCGTTATGTGAAGTCTTATGAAAGTTGCATGGCCTCTGAGAGCGAATATCAGCATTTGCGCGGGAAAATGATCGTCACCGTGTTGATTCTGCTGGCGCTGTGCCACGCGGCGCTGGGCCAGGGCGCGGAGGATGTGCAGCCCAATCTGCTTGATGACATCACGACTGGCAACAACTCACTGGGCAGCAACCTCAGGGAGCTGGACGAGGCAGTGAGGATTCTGCGCGAGAAAACCTCCAACACGGGTCTGTTCGACTTCAATCCCGACGACTTGGAGGACTTGCACGCCAATTTGTCCACCACGCCGGCGCCCGCCGTCGTCACGGCGATGACAGAAGCACAGTTGGAGCCCACGTCGCAGAACATCATCAAGATAGCGAAGAAGAAAGTCCGGCCGGCAGAGATGGAGGTGCACAGCGACAAGGAGGATGATCAGCAGCCCACCTTCGATCTCATAACGCAACTCTTCAATCACAACCAGTGGAAAGTGGAAAATATTTCCCGTGAAATCTCAGCAAAGTGCCAGGGTGATGTGAGTGTGTATCTGAGTGAGCTGAAATTGGGCAGAGCTTGGGCACTAAAAGGTAATTCCAATTGCCAAGATCAACTCTTGAGCGCGCGCAAGAGAGCACGATTGCGCCTTCCTTCATCATCAAATTGCATAATGCTCAATGCAATTTCATAGTCAGTTCGCCCATTATCAAAGCCGATCGCGTCTCTCAGCCGTGAGTCTCTCTCCAGTAGTACCGATAATTGATCTATTCGAGACGCTAGAGCAGAATTCCATCGCGAGAGTGAACTATCAATTTCTGTGTTCTTTTTTTTTATTTTTCCTTACCAACAATTTTACGCAATCCACCGTGAATTCTTCCCCCGGGAACACTAATTAGTCCCTTTTTTGTCTTTTTGCCACGGGTTACAGACGAGACCTCTTCCAGATCAATCAAAGAATCTAGGCACCAAAGGGGTTCATAGGTTTTCCAGCCCAGCGAGTACAAAATGCAAATTGCAAAAATTGTCTGTGTTTGAACATAATTATTAGAAATTCAAATTATAACACTTTTTTTTACGACATTCTTACAAAATGCTCAATTGCATGTGTAGAATCTTCCCTCGAACGTGTTGTTTAGTCACTCTGTTTGGAGATATAATGCAATAAAATAATGATTGATAAAGCAATTGAACATGGAGAGCAATAAAGTCACGGAAAGGAAACTTTATTGCTCTGAATGGTATTTAATTAGGTGAAAAATATTACTCTTAAGGCTTAAGTGTGTGTGTTTTTTTTGCATATTTGAAGGGAGAGAGAATTCGTTGAAAATTCTTTCTCATCCGCCAATCGAGTGCATGCAATGCGGTGCTAGAGTTATCTGCTCTAGGCTAGAGTGAGGGTGTCCGAATTGCGCGGTGTTGTTAATATTGATTGGACAAGAGAGGTTGTGCAATGAGAATCTGATTCACGCGAAGAAAAGGTAGATAAAAAATTCTAGAATCACTCAGTGAAACATTGAATAAGAGAGTGTTTTGAGAGCTCGAAGAAGGGGATTTGATTGGGAAATCTTCATCATTTAATCGCACTGTGATGCGAAACTTGTGAACCCCCTTTTGGGAATTTCATCAATTCTCTGATCTTCTCTCTTCCTCGATATCGTATTTACATTGTTGAGATTAGAGATTGTTCTTTTTCTTCACTTTTTTTCGAGAGGAAATTCTCCTCTGTACGTGCCTCAATTCACCCGAGGGCAATGTGTTTTATGAATAATACACCACTTAACCGTGAAAAATTTCTATTATATCGGACTTAATATTGTGTAATGGCTGTTTCGCTCGATGGGAGTCGCATGGGTGGAAAAATTGTGCGATTCTCTCGTGTCCTTTCCCACGACAGCGGCGCGCGAAAAGTCTTGTAAGAGAAGAATAGAAATTAAAATGTGGATGATACGCGGAGGGAGATATTTTGCAGAGACAGAGAGAGAGAGAGACTTCACATCTTCACTTTACCGCTACTGTGTCGTGCAGATAAATTCGCATGCAAATTAATAATAATGTGTGTGTATCTCTCTCAACAGCAAGTGACTCCTCGGGGCGCTATCGTGGTCAACTGCTGTTCGGCAATCTCTTCTGGATGGGCTCCAGGGAGTTCTGTGCTGAAATAGACAATGACTTGAGTCGCCACACCATCAAATTTCGATACACCGTGGCCAGAGTCATGATCAGAATGAAGCCTTTTATATCAAAAGTAACACGACAAAAGAATCTACGAAAAGAAGTGTATAATTGGGTAATTAACCGCCTTTTTTGCCCTCTCTTTTCTCGGACTTGCAGACAAAGTCTATTCAAGTAGGGCAATGCCTTCCGATATCGTGCTCAACGGATGATGTTAAATTGCTCCTATTGTCCGATCCCACATTGCGAACGTGCGCCCAGCAATCCCGGAGGCTGCCAGAGGACAGCTTCACACTGAAAGTGTCTCAGGTGAGAAGACAAGATGCGACCAGAGTTCTTGTCACATTTTAATTAGCGCATGAGCTTCACGTCGACGATCAACTAATGACTTTTATGGCTCTGCATCTTGTTCTTCACGACTTTCCCACGCGGGTTTTCAATTGAATCTCATCCACAGCTCAATAGCAAGTCATAAAGTATCCTAAATAGACTGTCTTACTTAGCAAATAGTATAACTATAACTTGAAATGGGGCAGATTTCGAAGTAGAAACATCACTAAAAGTCTAATCTGAGCAAGCAGACCGCAAAATGCTCTGCGGTTCTGTGTGACCCAATAAACTTCGGCCCATAGAAATTCAGTCGAATTATGTATTCATGCGCAAATTAAGAATTATACGTTTCAGAGCATAATTAAGCACTTAAGCTGATTACTTTTAATTGTGCACTGGGAATTGATTGGTGGTTAAATTTGATTTGTTTGGCAGGTGAGAACAGTGCCAGGCGACTACAGACCGCAGGACGACGAGCGGGCCAGGGCATTGGCAGTCACGTGCATCGTGACGTTCGCCGTGATCGTGCTGGCGTCCGTGTACGAGTGTCGACTGCGCGGGAAGCGCTCCAGGCGCGAGATGCGGAGCAATCAGGCCGATGATGTTGACTGCGCTTGCAAGAGTCACACAAATGGCCAGAGCAACAGCATCAGAATGTACGAGACTGGCGCCGAGGACAAGGTGGACATCGAGTCGCGCATGCAGCGGGGAAAGGGCGCCGAGGAGCGCACGGGTAATTGATTTTTCAGCCTATTTGACGCCCCGAGGGCGCAATCATCACCACTAATTGCACCACTGCTCTCAGGCATTCTCGCCCAATTGTTGCTCTGCTTCTCCGTGTGCTCAAATGCGCGGATCATCCTCTCCCTGCGAACACCAGCGCCGGACTCGCTGCCCTTCCTGCACGGCATCCGCTTCATGTCACTCATGTGGACCATCATGGTGCACACATACCTCCAGGTCTTCGCCATTGGGGAGAATCGGGTGAGAAATCTATGTGAAATAAACTCTTTTTCTCTCTCTCTCTCCCCTAATATCACATAATTTCTTTGCCAGTAATTTCTTATAATTGAAAGCAACTTTTAATTTCACGAGTTGTTTCTGTTTTGTTCATTAATAACTCAACTCAACTACATAGGCAATTTGTGTACAATATGTATATATTGTGTATCAATTTAAAACGAGAAAATCTACTTTCCATCGCTGAAAGTGCGATGGAATTTCGGAAGTGTAATATACAAGTTACATTTGAGGAAATGCATAATATTGCAGTGATGTCATTGATACAAATTGCATAAAGGTAACACTTTGCTATATAGAAATATGAACAAAACATGAATGCTTCACAATTTCAATAAGATAATATGATTTACAAGACACACTGTGAAATCTGGTATTAAATTACCAACATGCAAATGACTTCTCATGGGGACAATGAGATTTTCCCTCTATACAGCAAAATGACCGCGCACTTATCGTGATGATTTAAATGAAATGCCCCTCTCAGAAAGAGGTAAAAGGGAGAGAGAGAGAGAGAATAAATTTCACGTAACAATACCCGCGCATAAGATGGCAAAATGACCATGAACAAAAGAACAATTTGGCGCCATTTAACGCTCTTCGTTCTCATTCAACTCTTCCACTTTCAGTACAGCCGCGATATATCTGAGAAGTCGTTCATCTATCAAGTAATTGGGAATGCGACATTCTCCGTGGATTCCTTCTTCTTCATCAGTGGCCTGCTCGTCGTGTTGCTCTTCCTCAGGAAGCACAAGTCCGACCAGGCATCCGAGGCGAAGGAGAATCGCGTGGTGAGGAGTAGCTTGTGGAAGAGCATCCTCCTCATTGTCTACAGATATCTTCGCCTCACACCCGCTTACTTCTTCGTCATCATCGCAAATGAAGTCTCACTCAAGTGAGTCCAGCTGATAAGCGCACTGCGTAAACAGTGTGTGGCCGTAGAATTAACCACATTCCGAGTTTCACTGAGTAGAATTAATCCTCTTCGTGCGCTCGAGAAACTTCACACCTCAATGCACTAATTCGGACGGAATGTGTTCTTTTCTTCACTATAATGGCCAAGAGAAAGAGAAATCTCTTCTCGTGTTCTCAATTTATCTCTCTTTTTTTTGCCCTGAGAATCTATGATTAAATTGATTCTAATGTTGTGCTTTTTCACTAATGGAGGATGTTGATTGACCTCAACTAGTGAAAGATGCTTCACAGAGACCACTTCTACCATGAAAATTTCTTACAGCAACAGCGAATTTGGCATAAAATTCTCTTTTCTCGCATTAAGGCATTTCTTTGATGGGAAATTAAATGAAATCTTTGTCTCTTTTCCCATTTTTATGCATTGGCGAGAATTGAAGAAAAAAAAAACAGCACTGAAACAAAGATTTGACCGAAATAAGCATGCTGAAAAATACTTTTGCCTCATTTGAGCAATTTGTGCTGAGAATTTACCTTCGAACACCTTCTATTCGTGAAATATTTGTGCTCATTAAGGCTGTCATGGGTTCTACGGCCACCCACTGTATAATTACAGCTGTTGAGGAAGTGCTGCTCCTCAAACAGTGTCAACGCCCATCTCCTCTGCTAATTGCAATGATCAATTATTCCGCAGATACACGTACGACTCATCGGTGTTTGCGCCTGGCCTCATAGACCATATAACGTGTCACAAATTCTGGTGGAGGAATATTTTGTACATCAACAATTGGTTCCCGTTTCACGAGCTATGTAATGACTGTTGTGATATTGAGCATAGCTCACATTAGACACGCCATAATCACAAAGTCACTTCTTACAGGTATGATATGGTCGTGGTATTTGGCCAATGACATGCAATTCTACATCATAGCTGTGCTTCTGCTCGTCTTCGCCACGAGGTGAGAAAGGGGCCTCTTGGCCAATGAGAAAGGACGATTCTGAGGACACTCTCTTCATTTGCAGGCACTTCAAGACATCCGCCGTGCTCACTCTAGGTCTGTTGTTCGTCTCTTGGGTCACGGCAGCCACAATCTCAGTCCATTATCGCTACACGCACAAGGTGGCCGATCCATTTGAGTCATTTGACTTCCTGTACGATAAGCCGTGGCAGAGGATCGGGCCCTATATCATAGGTAATTCAGTTAATGCCCGGCAATTCTCACTCATTGTATCGCCACGATGACGGCCAGAGAGCAGTCGCTAACGGTGATGAGACTCTGTCCATGGAGGGCTTCCGAGACTCACCGCAAATGCGTGTTTTTGCATCTTGTCTTTCAGGGATGATTACTGGCTACATTGTATTCAGATTGCCAACTCCGCCCAGAATATCTTGGCTCACCAACGCCATTCTGTGGCTTCTATCTGTGGGAATCCTCGCGGCCCTCGTCTTTGGCACTTGGAATGGCGTTCTCAACATACCACTGACCGCAATGTACGTGAGCCTCGGTCACTCAGGTGAGTCTGTCGATCAAGTGGCACATCTGGGCGATTCACGGGTGTCACGACCCGTAAGATTTTGGGTCGCAAAAGTGCTTCGCAATGAACCTGGCTGATTCCAATCTCCATCATTACTTCTGGCTTCACGCTGAGGATCAGGTGGATTGATGTTTACAGAACCCACTTCATCACTATTTGTTCTTACACTGTTTACCATGCCATTACGGACAATTTGCAAATCATTCTCTGTGGAAATGAGTTCAAGAATGGTTATGGGTGCTCGGCAAAATGTACCCCAGATTTGGGAGATTGCTTACTCGTAGCATATATAAACCCTGCAGTAGAGCTACTAGAGAGACTATAGGGATAATAATTAATTTTTATTAGCCTCTCCTCTGCAATCAGAATCGACCAATCGACCCATTTTCTCAGGTCTTTTCTCCACAGAAAGTCCACGAGGAATGTTATGATATTTCGCGTGTCGAACACACAAAGATTAAATCTCTCTCGTGAGCGCTGAAAAAAGCCACTCTTGGAGATAATTTATCTTCACTTCATTAATCAAATGTAGCATGGCGAGAGAGAGACAGAGAGCGAAGGAGTAATAAAAGCACACCATTGAGACACCAAATAATTTGACAGACCTGAAGATCATGATCATCCCGTGAAATATATTTGCATGGACTCTTCATGATCGTGCAAATTCACGCGACGATCGCGATGAGATGTAGAACGCGATGGTGCGCAAGATCACTTTTTTATCGCGCACATTTATGAATTCTGGGGTGCGTATAGAAAAGTATGATCGATGCCAGAGTCAAGCAGATTGTAGCTGTCTCAATTTAATCACGCCTATGTAATTAATTGGATGATATAATCTGCCAGCAATGAGTTCGAGTTCTCAAGAAATTGCACTAAATTGGCATGGATTACCATTTCGAGTTGCGTCTCAGGCGTGAGATTAGATCACCGCGATCGCGGTTTGAGGAGCTCTGAATGCAATTTACATCTGTTGATCACATTCTGTCTGTCTGTCTTTTTTTTCACAGCTTGGGGACTGAGTCTCATGTGGATCAGCCTGTCGTGCTTCTGGGGCTACGCCACAACAATCAGCAACTTCCTCTCCAGCCGCGTCTTCCTGCCGCTGAGCCGCCTGACCTACTGCACTTACCTGGTGCACCCCATGATCATGATGATCACGTCCTTCCAGATGGAGTCGCCCATCCACATGCAGCACAGCTTCGTGCTCACGGCGTTCTTCGGCAATGCTGTGATCTCCTTTGCCGTCGCTCTCGTGGTGTCGCTCATGTTCGAGGCGCCCCTCATTAGAGTGCTCAAGATCATCTTCAGATGAGATCCTCGGGCGGTGACTTCGCAGCTGGCAACATTGGAATTGATATTAAATGTTGTTTCATTTACCCCGCGCGTCTTTTGCTAGCACGCCAGCAATTTATCTCTTAGCCAGACATTCCTGCCCTGCGCGACTAATGCTGACTTAGGGAAATTCACCGAGACATTCCGCAACACTTGCATTCTCTGCATTTTCTCCGCACGTCTCGAATTTCCGTGGAGAATCTCACAAAAAAAAAGATCCCGCCACGAGGTGATGCGACAATAAATACAGATCTGCCTAAGCAATAATGTCGCAGATAAAGTGACAATTGGAAATCAAAGCAGTCTTTTGCTAATATTCCAAACAACTCAATTCTTCTTATTGTGAAACAAGAAAAACTTATTGCATCGCTATGAAGTTCCTTAACTGTGTTTATATCCTGGCTTTCATCGTCATCTTCTCATGGATATTTCCTTGGATTTGGTACCTAATATCTCTCTTCATGGTTGTGATGATCCTGAAGCCATTGACGCCCAATTAGATACAAATTGAAGAGCTCTTTAGAAAAATAAACTTCTCACTGATCCTTCGCATCGACATGTAAACTTGTTCTGGAGAAGAATGTATTGGGATTAAAACACATTGGAAAATGTCAGTTTTCTGCTTTATTTAATTCCACGAACAACGCGCGCATTCATTTCTTACACTAGCCTGTGAAGACTGTAAATTCCTCATTAGATGCCACAATGAAGACTTCTCAGAATGTGAATGATGAGTTTGATCGGCCGAAGCGTAAAAAGTGACACAATAATTGATAATCTCTGGGCTGTTGTCAGCCAAAGAGGTGCCTAAATGATCTCTCATGTGGCCAATTCGCATGATTTATTGATTACCCTAGAGACTCGGTCAGTCGGACAGAAATTGTGTGAATTCACGGGCACTCCTGGTCGAATCTCCGCTTCTCTGATGGGTTTTTCTCCTCACCAGAGATCAAGCCACACGAGTCATTTTTTTTACCACTCGCGCCATCACTGTTGCGGTTGATTGTGGCGAAAAAAAAAGTCAGCTTGATCGCATGTAGATTTTTCTGTAATTTCTCCACGAGCTCTAAGAAATATTTCACAATTTTCTCGAAATTGCCTCGATGGCAAGAAAGAGAGTCACAGGAAAGAACGAGTTTTCGCATTGTAAATTGTGCCTTTCCATGCTGGAAGTGTGGAGATGAAAAAAAAAGTGTGAGTAAAAAAAGCCCATTGAGAGAAGTATTTCTGCATATTTTCATATGTAATTAAATTACAGGTGTAGAAAAGAGTTAAAGTGCCATAATTAGTGACTTATAACATGAGTGGAAAAATTCTAAGAAATGTTTATATTTTATAATAATAAATTTCTCTCGCTTCACGTCAGAATAATTCTTGAGAAATTTCGTAAACTTCACTCTCTCGGGTGAAAGACTTTTCATACCATTATCCATTTGCAAATGAGAGTTACTTTTTACCATTAAATCCACGCTACAATAAACTAGAAAGTCCAGCTAAAAAGAACAGTTGTCCATCTTTTACTTCTTCCTCAGGAACAGAGAAAGTTCTAAGATATTTCTTAAAATAAAATGAAACAACTCTGTCACTCTCTAAACTAAACCATGTTGCTCCTAATCCAATCGCCGTACTCGAATACTTTCGTGTAGACACTCGGCGCCGTGACTCCATGTTCATAGGCGCATATTTGTGGCCCGAACGACACTATGCCAATCACGAACCATATGTTGTTCCGTGCTATCATCAGAGGTCCTCCTGAATCGCCTCGACATGCGTTCACGCCCTTCACACCACCAGCGCAGATTTGGTTTTCCTGCAAAAGAAAGGTCACAGAGGTGGAAAATCACACTTTTTTCAAGCTTATTAAAGTGTTAAGATACCGCCGACAAGGCATTAAGATAAAAATTTTGGTCATGCAGAGACATCATGTTGCGGAGAGAATCAGCTTCACAATCTCTTAATCAACTGAAAATACTCACAATGCGAATATTTGACTGGCGATAGAAGAGCTGACATTTGCCATGGTCCACTATTTTGAGCACTGCCTTAAGCTTGCTCTCGCTCGTGGCGCGCGTGTCAATGCCATCATTGGCGCCCCATCCCGCCACGGAGGCATTAACAGTGGCAATGTCGCTGCAGGGGAGACAGATGGGGTGGATGAAGTCCGTCACCGGAGGTGTCTGCATTAGCTTAATGAGTCCCACGTCGTTTTGCTTGGCCACTGGCGACCACCTGGGATGCTTCAGCACCACGAAGTCATGGAAGTCCATGGGTGGATCTGCGCAATCTTTGTCGTGCTGATCCGTGTACTCCTGGCAGTCCACGGGGCTGCTCACGTTGTGCTCTCCCAGGCGCACAAAGGTGAGCGTGGGCAGAAGACAGTGCGAGGCCGTGAGAATGGTTCGTGTGCCGATGAAAGATCCTCCGCAACCCCACGTCTCCTCGCCATCATCATCGGTGTAGCTCAGCAAGGCCATCCAAGGAAACTCGTCAATTGATGTCACCTCGCCTCCCACAATCTGCACAGAACGAGAGAGAGAGAGAAAGAGGAAAGTGTTTTGCCAACACACATTTATCAATTTGAGACGTGGCACAAGAGGAAATTCCATTTAGAGTGCAATTTTGTAACGGCGAGAAATTTGACGAGGACGCTTGGGGAAATGATGTTAACTTACCCTGTCGGAAAGTGCTTGTATCCCGCATCGATTCTGACTGGTTGACGCTGTGGAGAAATGAGGAGGGAATTAACATTGATTTCTGCCATTACACTCACTCTCTGGCACTGCTGTACCGCATTCTCTGGCATCGTCTCTTGCACCTAAACATTGGAAGAAAGGGCGAGAAGATAATAGAATAGTAATGCATTGCTAATAAGGATAAGCAAACTCTCTTAAATAGATGTACAAGTTGTTTATAAATTGGAAATTAGAGTGAGAAACATCAACCAAACGGACCGAATCAAATTTAATGCGTGTGTTTTTTCTGTGATTAGAGTCTCACAATATTTTTTTTCTAAAGAGCTGACAGAATATATTCATGTCAATTAGCATAAATAAATATTAATATTCAATTGATTGACACGCTGATGTTGAATTTAACAAACAAATGATGACAAATTAACGAAAATCAACTAACTAGTCAACACAGGATTATTTTGATCTCTTCCTACAATATTTCAGTCGTATACATAAAATGATTATTTTAACAGGGTGTTTATATTAGCTTTTTACATTTCACCGCTTTGTGACGGTTATTATTGCACATCCTGCAGGACTTTTTACATTTCCCATAATAAATTTACCTAAATCTCTTTATACGACACGCAAGATCTATTAAGTGATTGACACCTCAAAAAAGCTTGTAAACACCTCAGATATAATGATGAGCCTGGAGTTCTTTGACCGTTGTGTTTACGAGTGAGTTGTGTATAGAAATTAATTTGAATATATTCATCATGATGACCACGATCCACGCGATCGATTAACAGTGCAATCTTCGTGTGCGAAATGTTTATTCTCAGCTCAAGAGTGGCCCCATTTCGCTCGGAAGTGCCTGAGGAATGTGATCTTGGCAAGAACGCCCTCACGAACACGTCGCCCTTGATTGTCGATCGAATGATCTTCCCGCCAATGCACGCGCTTGTGGCAATTGGAGTTGGATATGCGCGTCAAATGGCTCACAATTCACATCAATTGATAGAATCTAGCCAATTTATATGTTATTTCCACCCTTTGTTGTGGTGACATGCGGAATTTTCACGGATGGCAAAGAGTTTTTGTGCGAGAAAAGTGCTGAATAATGGTTAATTTGGCGCATAGAGGAACACCCTGTGGGTCAATTTCCTATCCAAGAATATTGCTGCAAAACAGGTTTTTCGCGATGTGATCTGCGTGTTTTCTCCTCGAATCCCGCCATTAGTGCTTAATTGTGTCTCTCTAAATCTTGTAGAGATTGGGAGGAAGAACTCACCGGTGAGTGGCGATGCAGCCAGCAGAAGTAGAGTAATAAGTGATGCACAGCGAAATACACGATTACACATTGTCGGCACAGACTAACGCGAGGTACTCAAGAGATCTGCGGCCTGACCATCGCGAAACGGAACTGACACTTTTACGAGATCAGTGGGATTCTGACACACAGAGAGCGCCGAGTGCCGGCGGAAAAAATCACGGTCACTCCGCGCTCTCGGGAAACGCGGAGGAGGGCTCTGATGATCTGCTCTCTTCCCACCTGGTCATCCCGAAAGCAGATAGTCGCAGCGCGTCTTTACCGTTTCACTACAACATGCCGATTATGTGGCGCTTCGAGATGAATTTCGCACGAAAAACCCACATTGTCTGGCGTCATCTGACTAATGACACAATTGTATTTTTATGCACTTTTGAGTGTAAACAAATTTATTGGAGTCATGGAAAAAACCCCCAAAGTCAATATCCATAATATTTCATGTTAAATATATTGTTTTTCCAAGGAAATGTCAATCAGAAATCAATCAAAATCACAGAATTTGAAAAAATTGATGCAAAATCTTCTGTCAAAGGGGCGGAGCTTCGACGTGGGCGGGGCTGAATAAATAATAATATCTTACAAGCTGAGACGTCTACTCATAAATGATTGAAGAATTCAGAAAGACCTTCGAAATCGAAGTATTCTTCAGTCACTTGACAAACAAAACTCTCTTTATTTGCAATAGAGTTGAAGGAAATTTCTCTGGCAAAAGTCTCATTGATAATCCTGAAATTCTTGGCTGGTTGTGCTATTTTTGCCTAGCGTTGGTGATGGCCTTAGTGATAACTTTGGGCTCTTTGCGGTGGCCAGCATGGCTCAATTGGACGTACACTGAAGTGCTCCTGAAGGACGTTTACGAGTGCGCGCCTGAATTCTTCAGTCTTCCCAAAGTTCGCGTTCAATTGCACATGATGACATTTTTGACCATCACAGGAATTGTGGCATTGACCATTGGTCTCAACATGTAAAGATACACTGTGATGCTCTGGTGAAGATTGTAAATTTCTACTACTACTCTTCATTTGTCGAATCCTTGTGCGATTGAGAATAGTAATTAAGCTTTGCTCATCTTCTTCAGCATATGTGCAACATTGCCACAAAGAATGCTGAGTAACGTGAAGAGGGGCATAAAGCCAGATTTATTGACTTGCGGAAATTTGATTTTCCCAAATACATCACAATAGTTGGACGATGTTCTGGCTGAAAATTACCAATTCGACCTCGAAGAAGCCAACTATATTCCACAAATTCAGCGCTATTATGCGGAATTCTTTACTGTTATCATCATTAAAATTTTTGTGCAGAAGAAAAACACTCTTTCTCCTATGCCAAAACGGTAAAGAGACTGGGAAGAAAGGTTCTGAAGATGTAATGATAAACAACATTTCTTTGTTGATAAAATCCCATCATTTCCCAATAAAGCCATTTACAGATCAATAGTTGTTCAATTCCCTTCGCATCATTGTGCTGAATGCGTGTGTTGGATTTCTGGCAGCTGCAGCATGAAGAGCATAACAATATGTGTTCACAAGTTGTTTACCAGAAGTTTGAAATCGATTAAACGGGGAATTTCACAATATTCATCAATAAATAATTTTACGACAATCCAGTTCATATTCTCTGAAAGCATAAAAGTTCTTTATCTCTCTCTCACTAAATGATTACCAGGAGATTCTGGAAGCAAATTACCATATAACATGTCGCGGAAAACTAAAGAAGAATAACAGTTTTGTGGAATATCTTTGTCACATGAGAAGAAACTCTGCTTCTCGTAAATCTCACCACAAATGCTAATAAAAGTGCGGGAAAGAGGCATTAATAAATTTGCCTGAAAATGCTCGTTGGAAATGGGTCAAATCAATTTACATCTCTTTAAGCGACAGTTAATTGCAAATTGTTCCTTTCGCTTTGTGTTCGCACAATATTTGGCTGTGTGGCACAAATTTCTGATTAATTCTCCAAGACAACATAGTATTTATTTGCACAAGCCACAAAGAAAAATGGGCCTATGCGATTGAAAGAGTGGGTGATGTTTGTAGTGATTATCTGGTGAAATTCCATTTTCAATCTGACCCACATCTTGACGGAGATTCTACTGCAATTATTCCTTAGCAAGAACATGTGGCAAAAATAGTGTTGTTTGATTGATTTTCGCCTAAATCGACATTCAATTGGAATCACTGAAATTGGCCAAGAGGGAGATATTATGGCTGAAATACTTTTTGACTTATTAGAATAAGCTTTCTTCCTCAGAAAGTATCGGAAGAAAGTCAAAGAACTACGCTCACTTCTTACGTTCCTTATGGTGAAAACACAGCATTTGTAATTTGTAATTTGTCCGCGATCATCTCTTTCTTCCCCTCGCGTTTCGTGTATTTTCTTTCCTACTCTGTCAGCGTCCGACTCTGACATGTCGAGACAGCCACTGTGCGAGTAGGAAGGAAAATACACGAAGCGCGTGGGGAAGAAAGAGATGATCGCGGACAAATTACAAATTACAAATGCTGTGTTTTCACCATTAAGATCTTGACTTCCGCTCATTTGCAGACTGCTTCTCACCACAATATCTCCTCCTAGGCATTGGCAAATGCCACGATTTAATGGAAAAGTCTCTGCGCTGTATTGCAATTGGACCATCTGAGCCATTCTGACTCACTGTGCAGAGATGGCAAAGTGTCCGTGTTTGGCAAGTGGCACCGTTTTCTTGCATAAACGCACCAAAATCAGGAGATCTGCGTGGGCAGTTGGCGCTGCGAAATCCGGCGAAATGGTCAACACGGTGAAGAGGTGTTGTATCACATAATGTCCACCTGTATGCCATCATCGCGACAGACTTTCGATTTCACCCGGGACGAGCGATCCTCGTCGCAATCTCGCGCAGTCAATTGAGACGATCGCACGTGGCAAAGTGCAGCACGCCAGGAATTCGTGGAGTTGTAAAAGAGGTCGAGAACCCTCGCGGTGTGTCAGATAGAGCCCAATTTGTCTTCCCCACAAGAGTGGCTTTTTGGGCTTCGCGGGTAACAGTGTGTCGTGGTGAATGAGAAGCAATTGCAGTGATTGAAAAGCCGTTAAAATAATGAAACAGTTACAGGTAAAGTGAAGAAGTCTTTCACCTACTTTTACACCCAATTTTTCATCCCGTGCACGTGAAGTATTTTCCCTACATTTGCCACTTAATATATGGCTCAATCTCTTCTACTGATGGTGAGGCTCAAAATTCCCGTGATTTTTATGGCATGACGACCTTTTTTCTCTCTCTCACTCCATATCACACGCGGGATTCTGTTATGATCACACACGCTAATGAAGTGAAGAATATCCAACTGTAAAGTTCACTTCATTAATTCTCCCAACAACTTGTCCCATTTCACTTTCTCTCCCACGAAAAGAATAAAGCCCACAACAAAGAATCCGCCAGAAGCGTGCGTCCACGTGAAGTTTCCACCTCACATTTCCCATTATGCAATCACAATAAAACCCAAGATTAAACCCACTTACAGTTAGCTATGGTCATAAAGTGCATTGTGTGCACAAAAGTGTGATTTGTCCAGGAAGCATGCAAAGAGATTCAATTTAAGATCAATCTCCAGCATGAAATATGAGCAATTGTGAGCTCGCGTTTTGATGCTCTTTTCTCAATTACGCGTTAAAGCATCACCATCAGATAGTTATATTTTCATTACACGCATGATGAAAAGGCTTTCTCATCTTCAGCAATTTCCCTCTCAAGTTCATTCAGGAAGGAATAAAATGTTTCTTCAATTTCCTTGACAAGCTTCTTCAGGAAGAGTCCAACCAGAGAGAATTGCAGATCAAATCAATATAGTGTTGATAAGAGTAATAAGTTCAGTTCAGCATTTCAACTTACAAAACTCAAGGCATTTCTTAAGAAATTCATTGAATCATTGATAATGTAATGAAGAAATATGTTAACAATTTATACACTGTGCTATTTCTCTGGCCAATACTGTATCTTACTCATGTTTTAATAAACGAAGAGCCTTTTGAAATTATATAATCAAATTCCGCGATAGAAGAACACCTTTATAGCGCGAATGAAATATTAGCTTGAGCTCATAAAATCAAATTGATGATCCATCAGTATTTCTAATAAAACTCTCGCATGCGATAAATAAAAAGTGATCCGCCGATAAGAAATAATCAGTAGGAAAACTGATGATAAGACTCTCTCGCAAGTCAGACGAAATGTGCAAAAAAATCCACTCTCGCGCAGTCGGTAGGATTCGAACCTACGCTCCCAGAGGGAATCTGATTTCTAGTCAGACGCCTTAACCGCTCGGCCACGACTGCTTGTCTCCAAAAGCAGCCAAGTCGTCTCGTGCGCTCAATTTATTTTTGCCTCTCACCAGATCTGGGCCTTTGTGCTGCTCCACGCAATCTCAGTGGCGTCCATTCAATTCCCCGACGATCGATCTTACCGTCAAGAGGCGCAGCAGCGATCCGTGGACACAGAGGCGTCACGCGTGCACAGCTACCACAATGTCAACGATCTGTTCGGCTTCGGGACGCGGTATCCAAAGAGACGCAGAAAGTATCACAAGAAACACCCCTGCTTGCCGCTCGCCTACAGTCGTCAGAGAGATTATCAAGATGACGAGCCAGATGAGAACGTTAATTCAAAGTTTTTGGGCGTTAATGTGTTCTTAACGGACATCGATGTGGACGGATCGCCGCTGTACAATCCTTTTGGCGGATATCCCTGCAGTCCTGGACTTTCAGGGCATCAGCCACTGAAGCCCCAGAAGCCTCAGCGTCCGCATCGGCCGCAAAAGCCAATAGCGTCCGAAAATCCAGTGAAACCCATCGTCGAGGATTACGATGAGGGTGAGCAACGATCTAATGAACGCTTAAGAGATTACTGATTGCGTCAATATTTTATTTTTCTAGTAATTGCGGACGATGCACAGCCGGACAAACCCGTGAGACCCACGAGACCTGAAGGAGGGCCTCTGGGATTCTTCGGCGAAGGTGGATTATTTGATCTCTCCGGTCTCAACCGTCCAGGAAGTCTCTTCAACACACTCAGCAATTTGCAGTCCCGTCCAGCTCTGACAGGGGGAAACGTCCTTGGTGACTCTGTGGGGAATCTGCAGAGACCCATTCTGGAAATCAACGTCCCAGACACCATCAACAACATTGTAAGAAAAGCCCATAAAGCACTTTTCATCACCTCAAATCAACTATGTCTCTCTGATCATTATTCTTCCAGCGAACGGGCAATTGGAATGCCAGGAAGCTCTTTGAAGACGTCCTGGACTCATTCTCATCCATAACATCACTCATCTTTGGCACATCATAACATCCTTCAAATAAATCCGATAAACTCTATTACAAAATGATCTTTATTGACACGAAAGTGTGGGTAAAAAATGATCAATCCCCAGCCCTAAATGAGGCGCAGATGGTGAATTGTGGGATGTTCCACAAAGTCCCAAGAGTGAGTCGGAAGCTCTGATGCTGGTAAGATGCTCAGGAAGGGTTGGCTCATGATCGGCAGCCAGGGAGACGAGACGATCGGATCTATTGGCTGAACTGCAGCGAGAGGATGTCATCAATCAGACGGTGAGAATTGCTGGGCGACTCACCTGATGGTTGGCCGGGTAGATGTCAAAGGTTGGGGCTCCGACCAACTCATCGTCATCATCGAAGGTGCGATAGTGCTGATGACCTCCTTTGCCGCCCCCGCCGTGTCCTATAAACCCAGACCGCGCGCGCGAGAGAGAGAGAGAGAGGAAAACAATTAGCCAGACAGTCAATCTGTGGGCAGGAATTTAGCAACTCTTTCATCATAATGACATCATTTTACATAATTTGCCACAGTCAACCATTATTGGCGAGCACCACACTAATTGCCAGGAATACAACCGGTGAGACTGTGAAATTTCTCACCTCCATAGCCACCGCCATAACCACCACCGTGTGTCCCATGTCCTGGAAGAATAAATTGCACATCACATTACAAGTCAATTTGATTCATTAAAGGGCTAACCGTATTTTCTATAAAAATTGCCACGCAATTTAATATTTAATCCCGACATCGAATAGCTGGATATAATTGAATATCGCTTATTTACGTTGATTAGAGACTTTTCAGCTCTTCTCTTAAATTCATGCACGTGAGAAAAGGAACACATTTTCTGCACTCGATTTTCACACCATCAACTTGCATTTAGTAAGGCTAAATGTGTCCAAGTTATTCAGTTCACGTGTGGCTTTTGACTGAAGGCAAACTGAATTGCTGAAGATTGACAAGCAAAATGAAGATATCAAAGCAATTGGAAATGTTCAACGAGGAACATGAATTAATTGAATTTGGCATTTCGGTTTTAACATTCAATGTGACTTCTGGACCATGGAAGAATCGGTTATTAATTGTTCTCGTGGCAGTGATAAGTCTTTTCACCTGCTACTGCGCTATTTCGCATCTGAATTACGCAATGCCACACGGACTGAACATGAATTTCATCACATCATTGATGGTGTTCTTTGGATACTTTCAAATGAGTGGAAAAATATTAATGGGTTCATTTGAGAAGCAGAGCTTTCAGCAGCTCTTCGACTGGATTTCTTCACTTTACAAACACCGAGAGAGTGATCCTGTGCTTCAACTCATCATGGAGAAGCACTTGGTTTACTCAATTAAGACTTGGAAGTTTCTTCTAAAATGGGTTGGTTCCGCATTTCTAGCAACATCACTATTGACGGCTTTAAATATGAGACCGGACAGCTTGGGTTTTGTGATTAGAATTCCATTTCTGGAACCTCACATCTTTTACGAGGAGATTGTATTCTTGGCACAAATACTTCTTGTGGTAGTGGCCAGTAGAACCATGATTTTAATCGATTCTTCAGTATTTTTCGTTGGACTTCACGTTATGGCCGCACTCAATATTCTCCGTGATTGCATTGAAATACTGAATATGAAAATTGCCGAAAATGCCGATTACTTCAAAACCATCCTCAAGTATCACAATGATGTTATTGAAAACATTTGTGTGCTCAACGAAGCAATTGAGAAAATATCATTCGTTCAAATTTTATCAGGCACTGTACTGATTATAGGAAACTTTTTTCTTATTAGAAAAGAAAGTGACCAAATGTTCGCATACATTTTATGTGTGTGTATGTTGGGACAAATTTTTCTCCTTTGTCTCTTCGGAGAATTCATCAAAATCAAACTCGATAAATTGTCCACAACGCTTTACATGACAAATTGGTACGAGTTGAGCGTCAAGGATCAGAAAACCTTCTTGATTATCCTCGCAATGGCGCAAAGACAGTACGGATTGAAGGCGGCCGGAATGTATGATGTCAACATCTACGCTTTCATTCAGGTTAATTTCACTTAATCTTCTTTCTAAAGTGTCCAATAAATGTTGAATTAATCTTTTTTCTTGCAGATTGTGAAACTCTCGATGTCTTACTGCGCCATCTTGTACGCATTCAGCAAGTGAGACTCAAGAAAAAATCACCTCACAATTTCAATTAAGATTGCAAATATAGTTTTTAGGTCAATCAGTGTAGCGAGCCATCAATTCGCGGGCTGTGCAAAATATATCCTGTGCATTAAATATGAAAACACCGTTTAAAACACACTCAGTGGAAAAAAAAAACTCTTGCACAACAAATGAATAATGAATCAGACACCATAGAAAAAGTAGATCAAAATGTGCGTCAGCATAGCAAATGTTCGTGGGAAAATTGATACTACTAAGGAAGACATTGTAAGATCCTTCAATTTAATCAATAAAGTTGCACTAAAGTAGAACAAATGGTTGGTGTTACTTAGAGAAAGGCATTCTTTCTAGTCTTCAGGCAGCATTTGAAGTTAGTGGAAGTCTTTTTCATCAGCATAAAAATGAAGATTTCAAAGCAATTGGAGATGTTCAACAAGGAGAAGCCATGGATTGAGTTTCAAACATCAGTGATAACATTCAATGTGTCTTCTGGACCATGGAAGAATCGTATTTTTATAGCAAGTGATGCAATATTGCTTGTTCTCTCACTATTCTTCATCATTTTGCATTTATTGTCCCTGGAGATGGATGGACTGAACTTAAATGTTATGATAAGTGTTATACTACTTATTGGTAACTTTCAAATACTTTCGAAATTCATCATGGGTCGCCTTGCAAAGGAGGATTTCTTGCAACTTTTTTCATGGATTGAATCTCTCCACAAAGATGAAGAATCGATGCATGAGATTAATTTTATTTTGGAAAAACATCTTGTGAAAGCGCTCATCATTTGGAAATTGCTCAGAAAGTAAAATATTTCATTATTTATTAAGACAAATTATCATGTTTCAATTCTTGTGTTCTTTCTTTCAGGTACATTAGAATTTGTATAATTTTTACAACAATTTTCGTCTGTATTAATTCGTATCCAAATAGCAAAATTGATATGATAATGCGAATTCCTTTCCTAGATACTGAAAATCTTAATTACGAAATTCTTGTGTACATGATTCAACTGATAACTTCGTCTATATCTTCGATATTTTTAGTATTGTTTGACATCGGAATAATTTTCATTGGTCTTCACGTCATGGCAGCTTTCAATATTCTCAATGATCTGATAAAACTCATCGATTATTGCATTAAGGAGAATTCAGATTATCTTAGGATAATCCTTAGACGCCACTGTGACGTGATTAAAAACCTTTGCTTGCTGAACAGAGGCATTTGGTACATTTCCTTACTTCAGTTATTCTCAGCCACAATAATACTAATTATTGGTTTTGTTTTCATGAGAACGGAAAAGATTTCAATTGTCGCTTACGTCATATCCTTATGCGCAATTGGGCAACTTTTCTTGCTTAGCTTATTTGGTGAATTTATCCAAACCAAAACTGATCAACTCTCGATTAATCTTTACTTGACAAATTGGTACGAGTTGAGCCTGAAAGATCAGAAAACCTTCTTGATTATCCTCGCAATGGCGCAGAGACAGTACGGATTGAAGGCGGCCGGAATGTATGATGTCAACATCTACGCTTTCATTCAGGTTAATTTCACTTAATCTTCTTTCTAAAGTGTCCAATAAATGTTGAATTAATCTTTTTTCTTGCAGATTATGAAACTCTCGATGTCTTACTGCGCCATTTTATACACACTCAGCGAATAATCAATAAATCTACACACGCTTTTGTATCACTAATAAATTATTCAATAAAGTACAAGGTTTCAACTCACCATATCCGCCGTGTCCTCCATGTCCTCCGTGTCCTCCATGACCGCCACCATAGGAATAAACTGCAAATACACATAGATGAATCAATTTCAATTACTCTTGATATTGATTGAGTCTCATTACAAAATCCTACGTGAAGATTCACTTCAAAGCCACTCTAAAACTCACGTCTAAATTAAATATCCTCAATTGGCATATAATACAACTTCCTCTCATGCGTACTTAATGGACAATTTTTCCCACGTTAATGAATGCAAAACTGTTCATCGCTATAAAACATCCTGTTCACTCAATTCAGGTGGAAATCACCATAAATTTTTCCAACAATGAGGAAATTGACTTACCTTTGTAACCACCATGTCCGCCGTATCCTGAAAAGCATCATCACACAGTCAATTATTGCGTTCAAAAATATGTACCACTCTTCAGCGTAATTGCATCACCGACCACTCGGCAATTTCCTCATTATCCTGTCCTGTGGCAAAGAGGAGAATATTCACACATAAAAAGCTCACCTCCATGACCACCGTGACCACCGTGACCTGCGAGAGAACATAATTTGAAATCACATTAAATTAATGCTTGATGGGGAGGAAAATTCCATAAAATAGAAAAGGAGTAAATACGATTTCTTACCTCCGCCGTATCCGCCATGTCCATAGCCCCCGTGGCCATATCCTGAGTGTCCTTACAATGGAAAACAAGTCTTAGTTGAATGCATATCTTCGAGCAATCAAAGTGTTATGAACCTATACATTTGTAAACACGTTGTTTGAGGGATTAGAAATCCCGAGAATTTCTTTTCCCTACAATAAGGAAACATTCACGAAGAAATTGTATCCAAAGTTACAAATAAAATTGGATTCTAGTTACAGAAAAAAGGACTTAAGACAATAATATCTCTTAGATGTTTTTTTTTTTCAAAACATCCATAGTCGATGCGACAAATACGCTAGAATCCTGTTCAGTTTTCCCTTGAAATTGGACTGCTATTAAAAGCTCGTTAAAGTCATGCGAGAAGGAGTCTTTAAGGACTCACCGTGGTGCTGGTGATACTGGTGCTGATGATGCTGGTGCTGATGGTGCTGGTGTTGATGATGCTGGTGATGATGATGGGGAACGTAAACGTGGAGCTGCTGATTGTGGTACGCGTGGTGATGATGCTGCTGCTGGTGCTTCTTCTTCTTCTTCTTGAAGGTCCTCGCGTCAGCGGGCATGTCGTCCTCAAAGGGATCCACGCCGTAGTAGTGTTGATCACCGACGAAAGGAGCCACCATCATGTCACCCTTGCGGAAGACAGCGAGAGACAGGAGAAGGTGAGAAGTTGAGAATTGAGCTTGTCAGACACACTGTGTACATTTGAGAACTCATTGAGTTCGTTGTCCATTTCATGGGGATTGCCTGAGCCAAGAAGGGAGCCACCGAAGAGTTTAGGCATGAGCTTCACGCCTGAGATTCCACCGTAAGCCAGCCGGCCGACGTGGCCCAGCTTCAGGCCACCAATTCCACCGAATGGACCACCGACCTCGAAATCACACACACAATCCGTCAGTGCGCTGGACAATGTCAGCATGGTCATCAACTTACCATGGGCGAATCGTCCATCGCTTGCAAATCATGCTCGAACTCTCCTTGCGCTCCTGACAGGCTCACGAAGGCCGCGAGGAGACCAAATATGGCCAAAGGGATCTGCAGAAGGTATCAAAGAGGTGAGAAGTGCGATCGCCGAAATTTGGCTGGAGAACTTGCCATCCTTAGTCACTTTCACAATCCGTCTTCACTGACACTCGAAAAGCTACTGATTGATCGCCGCCCAGTGATGAATTTCGCCTGGACTGTGTGTCCAGGAAAACAGCCCACGAAGCATTTTCTGACAATATGCAAAGTCAAGGCAGTTTGTCGGAAAAGAGTTGCTGGGCAAAGTTCAGTGAATCGCACGGGGAAAGGCAGGAAAATTGATGGCGCGAGAAAAACAGCAATGATTTCATTTGAACATATACATACATAATTGTATTTATAAGTAGGTATAATGATCAAACATAACATTTTTCCTCAATTACATTCTCTTTTCTTTAACTGTTAATAAAACTCCTTTTTTTCTTATGTCTTTTATATTGTAAATCATGTAATTATATACATAATATTTATATATTTTCATTTAATTCTTTATTATTTTGTAATTCATCTGGTATTTCTCACTCAATTAAACACTTTTCTCGTTTTTTTTTTTCTTTCTTGAATTTCTCCTGAAGAAACCGAAGGAATTGAAGGGGATTTTTGTTTTTTAAAGATGAGAAAGTTGTGATTTCAACAGATATTTTTAATTCCAGGATTTTTTTTTTTTTACATCGAAAAACGCAATTTTTAAGCACTTTTCACGTCATTTGATCCCAATCGACAAACAAATAATGCAATGGATCGAAATGCTCTTACAATATGTATAAAGAATGGAATGAGTTTCATTTTAATCTTAGGAGAATATTTGTTACACATTTTCAATGCTTTTTTTTTGGTATAGATTTATCTTCACTTTTTTTTTTAATTACGATATAATGAATTTTTTTTTTAAAGACATTAATAGATTTTTTTTTGACATTCACAGAGCTTTTCTTGTTATACAATTTTTCCATGATTATTTTTCATCTTATCTTCTTACATTTCTGAGTAGGGTAATGTTTGTATTTTTTTTTCATTCTCGTTAATATTACTTTTTTAAATGTATTTCCATGTAACCAGCAATTTATTTTGTTATTGTGAAAATCAGCATCATCTGTACATTGTTTTCACGTGTTTTTTAAAAAGCTGATAAAATTTGTATCTCTTCATTCTCGGGCACGTGAATTTACATGTGTAAATTCACGCTTTGAAAAATTTTATTCAACAAATCCATAACTGACAACACAATATTTCATGATATTACTGACATTAATTGGAAATTATTCCAAGAGAAAAAAAAAACTTCATCACACTGAATTTCTTACCTTTACTTATTTCTTCATGCTTTGTAAGTTTGCATTTTATAGATTTATAGCGAACATCAATTGCTTGTGAAAGAACAGACGACACAAAGTTTCATTCCCGATGTTGCTCAAAGGAAGCATAAAAGATTGTGTGCAATAGAAGAATTTTTTTTTTGTTTCAATTTCCTTCACATTTTTCCCCATTTTTCTCTCTTTCCCTCTAGTCAATCAATACAATATGTTCTCTTTTAAATCCTAATTATTATTTTCATCAAATGACTTTCTAACTAATGTTATATAATTTTTTTTTATATATTTTTTTCTTGCTACAAAAATTATAATTCTCAATAATTAGATTCTATTTTTGAATTTCTTACATTTTTTTTTTTTAGAATTCCCCTTTTCATTGTAAGCAAAATAAACACTTCTGCGTTCAGTAATCTCTCTTTTCCTCTCTCTCTCTCTCTTAACATTAACGCCACAGAGAAACACATTGAAACACTCAACAGAGTTTAACCTTTTCCTATAGTTTACCAAACAGACTGCAATGGCTGCAAAAATCGTTGTAGATGAACCTTGTACTTTAATATTTCACATCGTATTGCAAAGATGAGCAAGAAATTGAAGTTAAATTCATTCCCACTTTCTCACAACACTGATTGACAATCAACAATTAAAGCACGGTCAAGTCTGCAGTTTAAAGTTTATCTCTTCGATTTTAGTTTCTTTAATTGATTGAAAAATATATGAGGAATAATTTAAAAAAAAAAATTCCATCTCAGTTCTTAGTTGAAATAATTCATTGATTCTTGTGTTAAATATTTTCATAAGAAGGTTTCTATTGTCCTATTATGGCGCCACTGCATTATATTGTATTTATGAGAGTTTTATGGATTTAACACTGAGGAATCATGGTTGAGCTTTAGCATTGTATGTATATAAAGATATGTTCAGTGAGGGAAATAATTAAAAAAAAAAAAAGAAAGCAAAATTTTGTCAAAGGAATTAATTACACGTGGGCAAGGTAACATTTCTTGATGATTATTTTTTTTTGTCACTTTTCCAACCACATTTTTTCAAAGCAAGAGAGATTCATAATGAAAATAGTGTCAGTATTTCCCAACATTGAAAAGCTCCACTCATTACTTACTGAACGCAGTTGTGTTGTCACAACTCTTTTGTATGGCCAAAAGATATTATTTCCAAATGATCAATGCAATATTGCTGCGACTTAAATTACACAATCGTCATTTCCCTTTCACTTTATTTACGTACATTGCCAGCGAAAGAAAAATCATAATGCTTTGCAAAAATGAAACAAGTTGACGAATCTCATGCACAGAATAAAAAAAATACCTAAAGTGTAAGCATTTTCCTTAACATCGACACACATTGAAAGAAAAAAATTCGCTGTTCATGTAGGCGCATTTGAGTATCTGGACAGAAATGCATGTTCATCAATTAATGCAGTGCGATGTCTTTGCACAAAAAGAAAACCATTCACTTTGCGCGATTATTTTTTTTTTTTGGGGGAAAATAGAAGACGCAAAGAATGGTGAAAATATAATTGGAACGTCAACGGCATCTCTTCAAAATACACTTAATCAACTTGTTTCATTTCCCATTATAGATTCCATCGTTCTCTGCGCAGAGTTTTCTGAGTGACTCTCACACACTTGAGAGTGACTTAAATTCATCTATTTTATTGTTATATTATATTCACTCCACTAATTTTTTCGCAATCACTTCACTAAGAGAGTCTCGAGAGGAGTTCCTCTCTTTGCTCACAAAGACTCTTCTAACTCTCTCTCTCTCTCTTTCTTTCTTCCCTAGCAAAATACACCTTGTCTGATGTTTGATAATGCAATAGATAGAATGTTACATGTAATTAATACAATTATTCATTCCCCTTCCACATTTGTTCCTTTTAATTTTAACACCATCATATAATATACAAATGTATACAATAGGATATTTCTTATGTATTTTCTTTGTATTATTATATGAATCTCTTGTTTATGGTTAGTCACTTAAACAATATATCCTCTAATATATCTCTTCCTTCTACATTTAAGGATACTGACATCTTTCCTTTTGATAAATATCCCTCTTTTCTTGTTGAATCGTCAAAACGAACTTTGAATGACACATTTATGTTCAAACAGTATTTTTTTTTCAAATGCAATTCTTCTGTAAATATACTATACACTCCCAAATATTACCACTATAGATACTCTCTTATTTTTTTTTTTTTTGGTGTTGGATCAAAATGAATAAATACTCCTTTTCCTAAATATTAATTATTCACCATTTCTCCTTTCTTTCTTCCTTCATCTAGAGTGCGACACCACATAGAGAAGAAAAACAACAAATCGCATGAAATTCTGCTGCTGGCTGACAAAATAAATCCAAAAATGAACTCACCTTGATGCTCACCCAAGCGCCTCGTTTACTCCTCAGGCGATCCCTGGCCCACAGCCGATTCCGTGCCGAGAGTGCCCAGCTCGGCCGCCTGGCAGATGAGCGACACGCGGTAGAAGTAGTTGCGCCAGAAGTTCTCCTCGGTGATGATCTTGGGCACCAAATCGAAGCGCATCTTCTCCAGGGCCGGATCCTCTGCCATGATGGCCTGCGCCACGGTGTAGGACACATCGTAGTCAAACTGGAAGTCCACACCGGCCGGCGGGGCGCGCACGAAGTTGCGCCTGTCGGCCGATAGGCCGAGGATCTCCTCCTTCACCTTCTCGCTATTGCTCACGCCCACCCATGGCGGTTGTCCTGAGCCACCCTTGCCGGCGTTCTCCTTCATGAATGCCTCCTGCTCCTTCGTGAAGTCGCCCAAGATGCTCTGCTGGGAAGTCAGGCGGGCAAAAGAGATTTACTGTTAATTTTGCAAATAAAATCATGGCAAACCCTAAAGCTATGTGGAAATCATTGAGTAATTGATGAGCAAGAATTGAATAGTAGAAGTAATTAATTAGTAATTAAGACTCTAAGAAGAAGATTCCAGATCTTAATGATTATTTCTTCTTTTCAACACCAGGTTTTGGTTGCATAAGTCGTAGAAATTCATAGAGGATCAAGCAAATACGCACAAAACACTTAATAAATCGCCCGTGTCTTTCAATCTGATAAAGAAACTGTTCAAATTCCTCAGTGAAATTGTTAAAGAAGAAACTAAAAGCCTTAAATTCTCCCTTAATATTTGTATAATGCCAAATTTCAATTTGTATCGATTTCATCATCACATTTAATTGTTCTAAATAGCAATTGAAATTATCAATTTCCAAGAAAGCAAACAAATCTTTGTGGCATTTCATCAAAATATTTCATAATGCAGTCAATCTTATTGACAATTCAATTACTTCTTCCCTCGCTCTCTCTGTATTTTCTTATTAAACGTTGTCCTGTATTGAGGGATTTTCTCAGAATAAATATTTCACATTGCCAACAAATTGAGTATGAGTAGGAGGAAATTGAGAATTCATTGCAATTTATACGTTCTCTATTCATAAAGTACTAATAAGAAATTGATTGGTTTTATATTGCAAGAGTTGCAAGTGATTCGATGACACTTACATTATCTTTGACGGTCTCCTTGATCTTGGCCCCGGCCTTGTTCACAGATGAGTACAGGAATGAGCCAAAACTCTTCACACCTTGAGTCACTTTTGTTGTCACTTGCCCTATTTGTCCCGCCTGATCATCCTGCGGCGTCGTCGGCCCGGATCCGGGCTTCGAGTCTGCACCTTCTGTTGCGCTGCACGGGGAAAAAAAACGCGAAGGATTTGTTGTTGTCTTAGTGTTGCAAGAAGAAAACTCAAATTTTTGAACTTACTACAGAGAAAATAGAGAGCAATTAAGAGAGAGAGTGCATGCTTATTGCAAATATAAGAATGAGGATAAGAAAGAGATTATAGAGAGAAATTAAGTAAAAGAATAATGCTGAGAGAAAGAGAGAATAAAGTCATGTGATAATGTGTGAAATATACAATAAATATTTGATATAATTATAATTAAGCAAAAAGGAAAACTAATTAAAACTTCAAATTTATTACTACAATGTAGAAAAGCATATGAAGCAAGTGGAAAAAAGAAACAGACATATTGATAGAATGAACGGAAATGAAAACAGAAAAAAAAGATAAGACACAAACTTATCACTAAATGAATGAGAAATTTGTACGCAAAGTCCCAAAAATGAAATCAACCAGAAACAAAATGAGGAATACAAGAAGGAAATTTCAGGAAATTAAATAATGTCTCTAAAATAGAGTCCAATTAAGTATTAATAAGATATATGATTGATGAAGACCCCCATAATTTAACGGATATTCTCATCTTCTTATCTATCATGATAAATTCATTCTCTTTATCATCTCAATTGTGATTCAAATAACTTTTTAATCCAATCTAATAAATATGACAATGAGTATATATAAATTCTCGAGAGAGAGATCGAAAGAACGTTCACAAAAGTCGAAATGTACAATTTGCAACAATTATATAATCTGGATTATATATGAATATATATATATATATAAATGTACTTGAAGAGAGAGGCATGAGAAACTTGTGCTTGTAAACACTTAAGAAAATGGTTCGTTTGTTTCGTTAGCAGTATTTATTAGGGGGGCCCATACCTAATATACCTAGATTTATCTTCATCATCTGCCGCAGCCGCCTCACTCGCCTCCGCCGCGGCCCTGGCCTCCGCCTCCACGGCCGCGTCCGCGCTCACTTCCACTGCCACGCCGCCCTCCTCGGACTCAGCGGCCTTTTTACTGAAGCCCGGAATCGTTGGCATCGACGGCATAGAGACGGTCGGCATTGCCGGCATTGATGGCATCGACGCATTGCCCAGCCAGCCCGTCATCTGGCTCTTCACGTTCGAGAACATCCCGCCAGCCTTGGTGGGGCTGAAAGATGAGGAAGGGAAATGCGGAACATTTTTATTGTGAAGGGATTCTAAATGCGGAGCGAAACCTTGATCACCTCTGTCCTGCAATAATTAATAATCATACAAAGGAGTTCCATTCACTTCATTCATTTGTGATCATGTTCAGTCACACATTTCAATGAAAAATTTTTTTTCCCTTGAGAAATAAAATCATATCAAGATTCAAAAACTCTCTTCTGATTTTTCAAGAGAATTCTTTGCGGAGACAAATTATAATCTTAAAATAATATGCTAAACTGAAACTTCAATAATTTCACTTCTATAGCATTAATTATTCAGATATTTCTCAAATATAGCGTCGAAATTGGATGAAATTTATCTAATTTCCCATTGCTCAAAGTGATTTTCATGAAAATCAAATTACAAATATGCGAAATAGAGAACAGTTTTCACATTATTTAGCGTAATATGATAATGCGTCACACTATTTTCCATAAATTAATCCTCTATTATTCACTCAGCAATTAAGTTAATTCTCCCCTTGAATGTTTAATTACTCTAATCAAGGGCTTTTAAGAGGAAATCTCAGTACCGTAAATTATTCGCTATTTTGACTACACAGAAATTATTTATTGAAATTCAACAGTGTCAGAAATCAAGGAAAAAATAGATGCATTGGCGCTTCAGTTTGAGTTACATCATATTTCATCATATTTCATCACAATTTCTCAGCATCGATAAAATTTTGCAACGCAAATAGTTGAAATTACCCTTAATAAGTAATCAATGTAATTCAGAATTCAACCCTGAGGGATGAGAATATCATATTGAATGCCATCATTGTCAAATTCTGTTCACACTATCAATTGTGATATCACATATTGCGAAATGTATTATCGAATCTATGCAAATAGCAACGATTAATAATAATACGAATATCTTCACCTCTAAAAAAAAATAGACAATAATACGAAGCGTCGTGCATCTCGGATTTCCTGTAATCTTGGCGGCAAGATAAGAGATTCATTGGAAAATTGATACAGTCAAAGGAATTCATGTATTAAGAAGGAATGTTCGTCTTCATATATTACTCTGTATTTTCAGAGATTTAATATTGTTATCATGTCTTCATATCAAGACATTCTGCAAATTCAATAATCTCAAAGAAATGCGCCAATAATCGTGGGCGGACGAGGAATACTCAATTGAATAACCTTGATGTGCACAAGGAGATTAAATTGCATGTGAAGATTCATGTTTTATCATGGACTTCCCAGGTGAATCCTTCACAAGTACATAGCCGCAGCTTGCGTTTCCTGTCTTCTCAGATAAAATAAGCAATATTCAATTTAACTTTCATCTCCTGTTGATGTGATGTCACGTTTCATCCCTTGTGTTTTTATGGTAATGCAAACTCTCCCCCCACCCACATTCGATTCACCATCCTTTTGGGCACGCATTGAAGCGCGAATGGCGCATAGAAAAAAAAATCACTGACTGCTGATGAGACAAACAATTGAGATTTAGCAAACAACTGTCCTTGTTGTGAGCACTGAAGCGAGAAAAAGGGTGGAAATTTTGCTCTGGCACTCTGTTGCACATGGAAATGATATTCCCGGGAAATTTATTTCGAGTTAATTAAGGTTCAGTAGAAATCCTAGGAAATTTGCAATAATTAAAATTGTATAAAAAGGTTTCAATTTCAATAGATGTGAATAAAATAATGAGTCAAATTTCGGCGTTTTAACGAGGAAAAACTTTTTCTCATATCGAAATTCATATTAATTAAAATTTCCATTTTAATTGTCAATAAAGTGTTAACAAGTTGATATTCATTAAAAAAAATTAGATTTTTATTACTAAATGTATTAACACGGAATTTGTCTGCAATCTTATTTCATATTTTCTGCAATATTATGAGCCTGAAAATTGCAAGAAAAAATCCTGACTAATTGAGCAATTCCCAGTCAAACAAGGAATGTTTAAAATAAATTATATTAGTTTAACACAGTCCTTTGCTATTCTGAAATGACACGTTTTAAACCAATTTGTACCGTCTAAATGTGTAATTTTAGCACGACCTCCAGAAGTTGCTTTAATGAATGTGTAAAAAGGGTAAAAAGCAGAATGACAGATCGGAAAGTGCAGAATAATTTGATAGGTTGGTTAAATATGTGATTTTGGCCCTGATTTTTAAATATAAGCATGAATGATATTAGCAGCAAATCCTTTTTATCAGTGATTTAGGTCTTTAATAATTGGATTTTTAATCAATTTTCCCCATTTTCCTTATTTTAAACGTTGTGGAATTGCCTCAGAACTCATTTACACTGTTTTAGCGATAATATCAAGGGCTATTTTTCCTTATTCATTTCGAAATGCTAAATTTATGCATGTTTGAAGTTTAAAATTTCTCGGAATTACTCCAAAAAATTTCTATTCAAATTTGCCATAAAATACCAGACAATTTTCCCTTTAATCTATGGGAAAACCTCTGGTTTTCAAGTTCAACCGAATGCTTTTCAGGGAAAACGAATCCAACCAATCATAAGATGGATGTGATTGAAATCTCTGCACCAGAATTCAGCCACATTCGGTGTGCATATTAATCAGCTAATTCACATGTGTGTTGACATAATCAAAAAATGCAATCTCACTCCGGCTATAGATTGACATTGACCCATCTCTCTCTGCATGCTTCTACCTGATGAATTTTGCTTTGAATCATTCACACAATTTCGCGAAAACCGTGGGGATTTTACATCTGTTCTGTGTGGAATTCCGTCAAAACAGAGACACAGTGATGACATTTTGATTACCAATGTCGCATATCACAAATAGACTGAGCGCGAGGTATATTAATTGGGATTTGGGGAGAAATTTTTGCTATGGAGTGTGAATACCTTCCAGCTGTTTTCGCTGTGCGTGGGTGTTGCGATGAATTTTTGAGTTCATTCACGAGCAAGGTCTCTTCTTCTGGGCTTCTTTTCGCAGCACCTCACTGTGCGCCACTGAGACACACGATGGGACGAGAGGAGAACCTCCCAAGCATTATCCACACATTTTCTCGCTCCCTTTTACATAATCGGGGGTGGTTTCGCAGAGAGAGAGTCGTATGTATTGGAGAGCGTGTATATGAAACTAATCGATCCACTTGTAGCCAGAGTAGGCCATGGAGAAATCTGACAGTGTGCGGAGAGCAAATCCTGGACCAGAACACGGTGTCTGGCCAGGAAGTTGCACCAACAAATGCATGAGGGGAGAGACTCACCTTTGGCCAGCTTCCTCGGCTGCAGGCGCTGCGGTGTCCGCTGGCGGAGCCTCGGGAGCTGCTGCGGCCTCAGCTGCTGGTGGCAGTGATCCTTCCTCCTGGTCGCCCTTCTTGCCGCCCACCCAGGATGTCACTTGGTTGGTCAAGCCTGAGAACATCTTGCTGTCGCACACACTTCGCCAAGGGGTCACGAAAGTCCCGAATGGATGCCTGATAAGTCGCCTCTGCAGATGCTGCTGCGCCTCTCTGGTCCACACTCAGCTGCACACTGATATCCCGCTGATATCCTCGGCAGTTTAAATACCTTTCGCTGCACCTGCAACTCTTTTCGCCCTTCTTCCTGTCTCCGCGCGACTTTTTTTCCCAATTGCAATGTCGACTGTGTGTCGATGTGATTTTTCACGTTAGTGCGCCTCTCTCCTCGCACAAACCATGCGCACTCGGCCAGAGGGATCAATAGCAGGAACGTCCTTTTCTCCGCTCTCTTCCAGCAACACTTGTCCCACGAGATTCTTGCACACTTCAGCCAATATTCCACGTACTGCCGCTTCCGTTGCCACTCTGGAGCGCCGCTTCGTCACTCTGGGATGGCTTTTGGGGGCAAATCTTACGCTTTGCAGCTTCCAGGCCACGCAAATTATCAACAAAGATTCGCAGCAGCGTGAAATATCCAACAGCAAAACAACGAAACACTTTGACAACGACCACTAGCGCCACTCGGCGACTGGTACCCGACTTGGCGGATTTGAATTTGCCGAATTTTGGCTCGAATCAGGCAGAATTCTTCGCGGAAACCTATTGATTATTGGAATCTGCAAGAGTTTGTCTCGGTGATAGACTTGCGTACGCACTATTTGAGATTAATTGCAAACGGAGAGTGCAATGAAGTGGGACTCAAGGTAGGAATATTCTGCGGAAAGTCGGCGACGTTGTCCAGTCTGCGGACGAAAGTGTCCCAAAAGCACCAAGTTTAGTACTTCACCGTCTCGCGAAGAAATCTGCCATATTTGTGTGACATTGGGAGGTTTTTATTAGCAAATTCGCGATTTGTGTGTGGTTTTGTCGCAATTTCAGCGTGCTACACAGTCGCAAAGGCCGCTATTTGCAGTGCAGCGTCTTGTCTGGACACTCAGCTGTGCAGAAGGGGGCGATTTGGGCAGTTGCGTGGTGAACTTGAGGCCAGAAGTGGCAGACAAAGTTGCGGACTTTGGATGTTTGGTATGTGTTTTCGGAGGGGGGCTTCTTTGTTTGCGGGCGGTCTTTTCAGTGCTCTGTGCGACCCTTTGCAGCAAGCCACAATGGGCAGTGAGTGAGTGCACACAGGAAGATCTTTCACAATGAACTCCATCCCCTCGACGGCGCCCACGTCGGCGGACGCCTGCCTCAGTATTGTGCACTCGCTGATGTGCCACCGGCAGGGGGGCGAGACCGAGGGCTTCGCGAAGCGCGCCATCGAGAGCCTGGTGAAGAAGCTGAAGGAGAAGCGCGACGAGCTGGACTCTCTCATCACGGCCATCACGACAAATGGGGCGCATCCCAGCAAGTGCGTGACAATTCAGCGCACCCTCGACGGGCGACTGCAAGTGGCCGGACGCAAGGGCTTCCCGCACGTTATCTACGCACGCATCTGGCGCTGGCCGGACCTGCACAAGAACGAGCTGAAGCACGTGAAGTACTGTCAGTACGCGTTCGACCTCAAATGTGACTCTGTGTGCGTGAATCCCTATCACTATGAGCGCGTCGTGTCGCCCGGCATCGACCTGAGCGGTCTCACGCTGCAGTCCGGGCCGAGCAGGATCGTCAAGGATGAGTACTCGGCGGGCGCCATGGTGCCGGGTGCGCTGGAAATGGAGGCCCTGGACGCGGGCACAATCCAGCACCATCCGCCGCCGATCAACAACTCATCCTACCCAGGATACCAGCAAGGTAAGTCCCCCTGACACACTCTGCACGCCCGCACTGACGCTCAGCCTTTGCAGCTCCCCACACCATGACCGTTCCGCCGGACAGTGGCCTCCAGGCGAGCGCTTGCATCCATCCCGGGGCGCCGCAGGTGCAGCAGCAGCCCATTGTGTCGCTACCGGGCATGCCATCCGGCGCCCAGGCGAGCGTGATGTCCGCCTCGGCGGCCCCTGACGCCACTCTGCAGTCGCAATCGCCATCACAGTCCTACTACGCCGGCACGGCGACTGGACAGGCGCCGAGCAGTGCCCCAGAGCCGCTTCCCGTGGATCCACAGACGCAGCCCGGCGCGACTGGCAGCATGACAATTATCCAGTCGTCGGGCGGCGGACACCAGCAGAAGAACGGCTACGTAGCTGGCGCGGCGGCACCCACCGGTGGCGGCGGCGGCAGTGGAGCAGCCGGTCAAGTGCAATCGACACAGCCCTTCACATCCACAGAGTCCATTCAGGGCACCTGGACGGGCTCCAGCACGCTGACCTACACGCAATCAATGCAGCCGCCGGACATGCGACAGAACCAGTCAATGTTCTGTAAGTGTCCCCGGAGGGCTTCCAGCAGCTGAAATTTGCCTCAGCCACTTTCTTGTGGTCGAGAGAAGAGGCTGCAGTGAATCCCAACTGCCCACATTTTTGCACATACTCTAGCAGCGTTTTTTTTTTGCAGGGTCGCACGGCAACTCCCATATCCAGGGCGAGGTGTTTGGGCATCAGCGTCTGTTGTCGCGCCAGCCCGCGCCGGAGTACTGGTGCTCCGTGGCATATTTCGAGCTGGACACGCAGGTGGGGGAGACATATAAAGTGCCGTCGTCGAAGCCCAATGTCATTGTCGACGGCTATGTGGATCCGTCTGGTGGGAATCGCTTCTGCCTAGGCGCACTCAGCAATGTGCATCGCACGGAGCAGAGTGAGCGCGCCAGGTTGCACATCGGCAAAGGCGTGCAGCTAGACCTGCGCGGCGAAGGCGACGTGTGGATGCGCTGCCTCAGTGATCACTCGGTCTTCGTGCAGAGCTACTATCTGGACCGCGAGGCGGGCAGAACGCCCGGAGATGCGGTGCACAAGATCTACCCAGCGGCTTACATTAAGGTATGATTCACTGGACAGGTAGAGTTTGAGTCACTCCTTATTATCGGTCGTGAACAGTCATTAAGAATTAAATGGGGTTGAATAGAATGAGGAAGTTGAGAAATGAGTGGTTATTGGGAAGATTTTCCTACGATATAGTTAAAAATGTGGCTTTCACAGGTCTTCGACTTGCGTCAGTGCTACAGGCAGATGCAGTCTCTGGCGGCGAATGCTCAGGCCGCGGCTGCGGCGCAGGCGGCGGCCGTGGCCGGACTCCCAGGATCTCAAATTGGCGCCCCACCGAGAAGTGAGTCGACAAGATTGAAGCTGTCTGCTTTCGGGGAAATATCTCACTCTTTCTCTCATCCCACTGAAGGTCTCAATGCGGCGGCGGGCATCGGTGTGGACGATCTGCGGCGCCTCTGCATCCTGCGGCTGAGCTTCGTGAAGGGCTGGGGCCCCGACTATCCGCGCCAGAGCATCAAGGACACGCCGTGCTGGGTGGAGGTGCACCTGCATCGCGCCCTGCAGCTGCTGGACGAGGTGCTGCACACGATGCCGATCGATGGCCCGCGCACGGTGGAGTGAGAGCGCCCCCGATGACTTCTCAGAGAGCCATTTCTACATTATGTATGTGTACATATTTAATTGGAGGAGAGAAACATTTAATAAAACATTCACACAAGAGCGCGCGCAATGTTATGAGCTGTTGACGAAGTTGATGGAATACGAGCCACTCTTCTCGTCCTTCACCATGCGGAAGTTGTTGGTGGAGAGGCCGAAGGGCTTCAGGATGAGATTGCCCACGTCCTTGAGCTTGTCCAGCATCTCCTCCTTCAGTTTTTCGTTGCGCTCCTGCACTAGTTCAGTGAGTCTGTCCACGGCCAGACGTGCTTCGGCATTGCTCGGTTCTATTGAAAGGATTTTCTGGTAGTCCTCGAGGCTCTCGTCGAACTTGTCGAGCTTCTCCAGCGTGGTTGCCCGCCTGAGGGGTGGAAAAAGGGGTTGGTGAGCGATAAAAAGTAGGAAAACATTGTGTCAGGTGTGGGGTTCGAACCCACGCTCCCTCTCGGGAACCAGAGCTTAAATCTGGCGCCTTAGACCGCTCGGCCAACCTGACTACCATTATCAGCTGCGAACAGACTCAGTTCATAGCTTTAAGGGTTGGCCAACCGAACAAAACACACCCCCAACAGCCCCCAAAACCACCTCTCTCGTCTCTCACCTCTGGAGAACCTTCAGATAGTCGGGCTTCAGCAGCAACGCCACTGTGCAGTCGTCAACAACGCGGGAAAAGTCCTCAAGCTTGAGATTTGTGGCTGCTCTGTTGGCGAAGAACACCGCTCGCTGCTCTACGTACTCCAGCGGACAGATCTTCGCGCCGGCACTGTACAGTACAAGGGAGTCCTCGTAGTTGCCCTCCCGGAAGCACTTATTGCCTTCACTCTTCAACTGCACTATCACATCATTGAGGTTAGACACATCTGATCCCTGCCCAGCGTTCGCAGACGAAGAATCCTCCGTCTTATCACACTTCTCCATGTTCCTCGGATGACAGGTACGGCGAATTTATTGCTATATCTTCATGCAATTGCGATTTTCTTAGAAAATTCCAGAGAAAACACGAATTATCGTTCCCAAAACAATGGCAATCAGCTGAGCGCAGTACTAGATTTCCCCTCTGCGACATGTGGAGTGTTTCTCCATGGTCTGTTGAATGTTTACCAATCTTCCCGGGATAAATTTATATTGCGCAAAAATACTCAATTTCTGTGAATATCAGTGATAATCTCAGCTGCAAATTGTACAAAAGTACGGTGAGTCTCTCTTTCAATCTGTTATTTATTGAAATCCTCGCTATTGTGCGGTTTTGTGATCCTTTTTCTGTGCTGTTTGTGTGTCAAATCTAACCTCACTTCGTTGGGGGCTCAATTTTCTGGTGGTGTTTTTCTGCATAACGATCAAAGAAAACTCTGAGGGAAAAGAGGTAGATAAACTCAAATCCCGTCACGATGCTGAAGCCTAGAAACAGGCCAAGAATCCCACCAATTGTGGCCAGCCAACTGAGCCAGTTCTGATTCATGTCCATCCGGTACCGTGTCGAGACGAGATCTTGGAAGAAGACGTGCACCAGCGCCTTGTCGTCGAGATTGATGTCCTTGCTGAAAGAAACATCATCAGCAATCATCCCAGACAAGCTGCCTAAGAGATGGACTCACAAGAAGCTGACAGCGTTGAAGGAATTGTTCCTGGAGAACGCTCCAGTTGTGATCTCCGTTCCGTACTTCACGTACTCGCAGTCCGGCAAGCAAGGACACACCGTGAGCGTCTCCTCCATCCACTCATCCTTTCCCGGCTCCCTGAGCGTGATGTTGAATCCCGGCGCAGCTCCGCTGTAGATGTTCTTGTGCTTGACAATGCACGCCAAGTCACGCATCTGACAGAAGCGCCTGGAGCCGTTGTTGGGCATGTTCGGCGGCACACATCCGCACAACTTTTCGGCGATCTCACTCCTGCACTCCGCCATGCAGTTGAGGTAGGAGTACTTCACGACCGTGGACATTCTCACCTCTGTCGGATTGAAGCACTTCCTCACCGACACGGGCAGTCCGATCACGTCCTTTGTGGCGTAAGTGGCTTCCGGAGCGACGCTTAAGAAGGCTTCAAGGCGTGGAGCGATGATCTTCGTCTCTGCATTGTCATCCACCAAGTCGTAGGAGTTGTGAATCATGATCTGCAAACGAGAGTTGAGCTTTGCTGAGGACTTTAGAGGATTAATTCACGAAACTTAGCTTATTTTGAGGGACTTTTGACTTGAATTTTCTTCTCAACAATTCTTCTTTGCATCAAGATAAGATTTACCGAATTAATTATGCCCACACGCTCTGCGCAATATTGATTGAAAATCACTTATGCTAAATAGTACACCAGCAATCTCTGGCCATTCTTCTGATCCATGAGCGTCACAGCGTGAGGCAAGAAGAAAAGAATGAGGAAAATGAGCGGAATTTGTTCGTTCAATCAAAATTATGTCTCGATGGAAGCGGAAAAAAAATCAATGAGGATCTAAACACAACGTCAAATTGAATTACTGTTCATTGTGCGTGGACAATAGGCTCTCGTCATTGGGGTGTCTCGAAGGGGCGCCGCGCGCGCAAGAACAGCGAGATCACAATAAATCCATTTATCTCACTGATCACATCGCTCGATCTGCTGGATTTCAAGGTGTCAATGTATCCTTGTGCAGAATTAATTGGGTGTCTCGGTCGCGTGTCAATCGTTATTTATGGGCTTCCAGCTGATCTGGCGATCGCGTGTGATCAATGAAGAGTTGAACTCTGACTGAAATTGAGTCGATTTCATCGTAACATCCGAGTAAAAGAGGACTGAAAACTGTTTGTTATCGATTTTAACCTTTTCCTGACTCTTTTTAAAGATAATTTCAAGAACACTGTTAGTCTCAAGAATGTTGTTCTAAGTGATTTACTCACGCGGAATCCCGAGCTGCCGAGGATTGTGGTGTGGTAGTTCTCTAGATTGGCCGCGATGATCACCGTGAGTCCGGTCTGGTGGCCGCAAGCGGTGACTCTGCGCGGCTGCTTGGGGATGCTGTGCAGCAGCTTGGCGGGGTAATTCATCTTCTCGGCGGCGTAGTAGTTGAAGGAGCAGCAGAGTCCAAGCGTGGAGTTGATGGGCTGGAAGAGAGTGTCGCATCGCGTCTGAGTGCCCTTCCACATGCATCTGTCCATGGTTTCTGGGCACGTGGGCGCCAATTCCTGCAGCAGTTGGAACACCGTCACGTTGTTCATCTCCAGCGTCTCGTCAATCAGGGAGAAATCGTCCGAGGACTCGTGCGTGTAGCCCATGAAGATGGTCAGCTGGTGGAACATGTCTGCCAGCGCCTCGGCCGACACATTGTCCGGTCGTCGCATGGCTGTGGCGCGCGCCAGAGCTTTCTTGGCATTGATCTTATTGAGATTGCAGATCGTCACTGCCGGAAAGGGGATATTCCACGTGGCGTAATGTGTGCTCTCAATCACCGTGACCACAGGCGTGAGAGTGCTCCAGTTCCAGGAGAACCAGAGCAGGACAAAGGCCGTGGCGTGTGATGTCAGTGTGCAAATGGTCCAGAAGATCTTCTCTGCCAGCGAATTGTCATCGCGCACAATGTGTCCGAAGCCATGGAGGGCCGTGACGGAGCAGAAGAGCTTGAATCTGTTGATTAGCCAACGAACAGGATCTTGAGGCTTGTCCGGAAATTTCTCCTTGCTCACAGGCTCCAATTTGGAGCTAATGCTCTCAATTGGTGTCACCTTGACTCTCTTCACGGTCGTCATTTCGTGAGAAAATCCCCAAATAGACTAATTTTCCCCAATGTTGAATGGATTTTCCTGATGAGGCGCGATTCATCGGGTAAATAGATAGGAGGCAAAGTGAATTTATTGAATGCTCGTATTAATGGCAGAGTAGTCTTTCAGGAAATATTCAAGAGAGAATGTCTCCAATTGATGTTGATTCTCTGACAATAAACATAAACACATCTAAATTCACATCTATAGTGATTGTTGCGAGAGTTTCTTGGCCTTCGGTGGTCTTTTGACGAGAATTAATTATGAATTGTCGATGAAATTGAATGCCTTTGATGAAATTGAAAGGAATTGCTCTACTAAATTAACAACACCATCTTGCGATGGTGAATGAATATTAATTGGTAAAGTATTTTACATAATTGCAAAGTGTATCTCTTGAGATCTCTTAAGAGAGAACATGCAGAATAGAGGCGTGATCAATTGAATTATGGCATTTTACATGATCGCGTGATTGCGCTGCTCGACGCTGAAGTGCGTCGAGATGTAATTGGAGGGCATTTAGCACTCTCTTTTCACCCTGTCACACTATTTTGGTCTTGATTTTGGTGGTGGTCAAATGAGCAGTGCGATTTCACATGAATAATTGACGAGATAATTGGTCAATCAATATGATATGTGTGTATGTGTATTTTTGCTCTCTCCAGCGCTACTGCACGGCTGAACGATGTCAACATTCGTGGAAGATGAGGCTGGCGGCAGTGGAACGGCCACAGCGATGGCCAGAGATGCAACAAAGGAGGAGAGCGAGGACGGCGCATTGCTGGAGTACGAGAGGCAAATGCTAATTGATCTGCATCACAGTGATGGATTGGTCATTTGTGCCAAGTGAGTGGGAGATTTATTAGCGAAATCAGAAAAGAGGTGCAACTGATCAATATTATTTCCATTGGGGGCAAAAAATCCTCAAAGACAGTCAATTTGCTGCATTTGATTTCACGATTTGAGCACATTTATTCAGGGGTCAATATTTCTTTCTACTTTTTTCTTTTAAATAAGTACCACAAATACTAACAAAAGTAACTGAAAGTTACAAAAAGATAATATTAGATAATTGGAGTTTCTTTTGATTAGTTCTGACCACTCGTTGAATTGGTCTGGGCGGAGCTTTAGAGTGGGCGGGGCTTATGAGATAAATGCCAAGAGCTGGGAAATTGCAACTGGGTATAATTTCTAGCTTGACATTCTCTCAAAACCCCTCGATTTCAATCGATATTTCCGTCGATTGAGTGAATCAATTGTCCAATGCAATGGCTTTAGTGATTGTGCCGTCGCGACATTGAGATGTGCTTTTCATGCAATGATTTCAGGGGAATTCACTACAATCGTGTGCTACTGGGCCTCCTGAGAGCGCTCTGTGATCCCGCCAATCTCGTCATTGTGATGAATTGCTCAGAGAGTGAGGAGAAGTACTATCGCGGTCAGCTGAATTCGCGCCATGTACACGAATCGGCGACGAATGCAAGAGAGCGAGAGAAGATGTACCTCGAGGGTGGCATACACTTCATCACGACGAGGATTTTGGTGGTGGATTTGCTGAAGAATCGCATCCCAATTGAAATGATCACGGGAATATTCGTGCTGCGTGCTCACATGATCATCGAGTCGTGTCAGGAGGCGTTCGCCCTTCGGCTGTACCGTCGGAGGAACAGTGAAGGATTCGTGAAGGCGTTCTCCAACAGTGCGGAGTCCTTCACCTTCGGATTTGGACATGTGGAGAGAGTTGTGCACAATTTGTATGTGAGCGAAATGTTTGTCTGGCCACGATTTCAGTCACTCATTCAGACGACGCTGAAGAGATACGAGCCTGTGACTGTGGAGCTGCACATCCCGATGACGCAGAAGATGATATCGATACAGACAAATATACTGGAGATTATGAATTTTCTGGTGAAGGAAGTGAAGAGGATCAATCCGAACATCGATATGCAAGAGATCACGGTGGAGAATTGCGTGACGAAGAAGTTTCACAAGATTCTGCAACTGCAGCTGGACACGGTGTGGCATCAATTGAGCCAACAGAGCAAGATGCTAATATCGGATCTGAAGATTCTGCGATCCCTGATGATCACTACCATCTACCATGACTGCATCTCCTTGTATGCCGCGCTCAAGAGGTACAAATCCAGTGATTATGTGATGAATAGCTCTGGCTGGGGTGTTCTGGATGCGGCAGATCACATGTTCGAGACGTCCAAGAGGAGAGTCTTCAATGCTGATGATGAGTTTGAGCCTGAATGGGGTGCAAAGTGGCGAAGTTTGTCAGATATTCTGTGTGTGGAGATTCCAAATGACATCAAGCTCAATGGTGAACTGAGGAGAAACAAGTCTGCAGTGGTTCTGATCCTCTGTCAGGACAACAAGACGTGCTATCAGCTGAATCAGTATCTAATGCTCGGCGCTGAGCGATGTTTACTCCACATGGCGCTGAAGAATGATGTGAAAGTGATGAAGATGTCGAAGAAGTATCAAGACATGAGCGAGAGCAAGAATATGATGCATGGAATGGAGGCGATACAGTTGTCAGAAGGCGCTGTGCCGACGAGAGTGGAGCTGAATGATCCGGAAGAGCTTCAGGGTGAGGTGGAAGAGGAGCCAATGAATGCCTATCAAGACTCCTACATTATGACGATGAGTGTGGCGGAAGAGGTGGAAGGAAGTGAAGATCTTGATGTCAGTACGCAAATGGAGACGGGAAGATTCTCGCAGATTCCCACAGTGGATCGCCAGAAGTGTGTCACTCAGCCGATTGTCTGCATTCAGACGTTCAAATCCAACACGAGTGATCCGCTGTCGCTGGAAGCGACGCTGCGCTCTCTGAATCCACAGTATGTGGTCATGTTCCACTGCAATGTGACGGCGATTAGGCAGCTGGAAGTGCACGAAGCGAGATTGAGGCGTGACAAGGAGGATCGCATAAAGGTGTTCTTTCTCTTGCACGCCGAGACCATTGAGGAGCAGAGCTATCTCACGAATCTCAGGCGCGAGAAGCAGGCCTTTGAGCATCTCATCGAGACGAAAAAGGTCAGTGTGAAGTGATGAGAGCGTCTCTCAACTGTGTGCTTACATAATGTCTCTCTGTTGCAGACGATGGTGATTCCGCGGCGTCTTGATGAAATTGTGGAGCAGCAGATGGACGATGAGGACTTTGGCGAGAGTGCATCGAGGCGCAATGCTGCGCAGGAGTCGAAGAAGGAACGCATGAAGGTGATCACGGACATGAGGGAGTTTCGCTCAGATCTTCCTTGTCTCATTCACAAATTGGGCATCGAAGTGATTCCGATAACAATCACAATTGGCGATTATGTTCTCACGCCAGAAGTTTGTGTTGAGCGAAAGTCAATTTCTGATCTCATTGGTTCTCTAAACTCTGGACGACTCTACAATCAGTGCACGCAAATGGTGAGGAACTATGCAGTGCCAATTCTGCTGATTGAATTCGACCAGAATCGCCCGTTTTACCTACAAGTAAGACTGATTTTCTACACAGATTAGTTGATCTTGAATTTGTGATGTATTTTATACTCTCACTCTGTCCAGGATCGCTACATGATCTCCAATGACACTGTTTCGAATTCGGACATAAAGCAGAAATTGCAACTTCTCACGCTGCACTTTCCCAAGCTACGCATCGTGTGGTCGCCAACACCGTACGCCACGGCGCAGCTCTTCTACGAGATGAAGCAGAACAAGCCGGAGCCCGATGAGAAACTCTGCTCGGTGATTGGATCCGATGCTCATGCGGCCGAGACGGAAGTGCTGGACAAGTTCAACATGGAAATCTCTGATTTTCTACTTCGTTTGCCCGGTGTGACGGAGAAGAATGTGTTCAGGCTCATGAAGAGCTTCAAGGACTTCAAGGAGTTGCTGCGAGCCAGCCAGAAGGAGCTTCAAGAGTCACTCGACAGTGGCGAGAATGCCAAGTTGCTGTGGGAAATTCTGCATTTGCCACAAAAGCCCAAAATTGAGGTGTCAAGTGGAAAGTTTCCAGCACAGTCGAGATTCAGGAATCGCAAATTCCAGAAAGGGAAACAATAAAGGCGGTGAGTTGTGTATAATTTTCCCATTTGAAGATCTCTAAATCGATTGATTTTACTCCCGCTGGGGCTTTTGATTGAGCATTTTGTATTTCTGGTGCAAAGCAGATATTGCAACATGGCTTTCAAGAAGTTCAACAGTGTGCAATTAGTTCGTTTCTCTGCATTGTTACTCTTCACACGATTAACTTTTCTCCCACCCACGCGTTGTGTATCATTTAAATAATCGCATATTGCGAAAAAAAAATCCATCGGAAACAAGGAGTATGTATTTTTGTTGTTTGTTGGGGTTCTCGTACAGGAGGCGACATCGTCTATTTGAGGTTAGGTTTTAGCGAAAAATTCGGCCGTTATTTTGATCATACTATTTTTCATCGCGACTTTCTTTTCGCGCGAAGTCACAATAAACCAACTGTTCATTCATTTCGCACGTTCTAATTGTCAATTTTCTGTGCAAAAGTTGAAGAAAAATGAATTGCAGTGCAATTGGCTGTGAGAATATCCAGGGATGTAATCCCCACGTCTCCTTCCACCAACTCCCACACCACGAGAGTGAGAAGGTGGTGAGGAAGTGGAGGAAAATCTTGAAGAAGTCGTCAGGTATTGAGAAGAAGATCATCAGAGTGTGCTCTGACCACTTCCTGCCTGACGATTTCCACCCCACTTCCCGAGCTCTGCAGGGAGAGTGGAAGTGCAGAAGGAGATTGAAGAAGGGAGGTAATGATTTATATACAATGCAGGTTGTTCTTTTTTATTATTTCATCTATAATAATTTTCAGTTTTCCCGACGAAAGTTGGGACATCTCCAGAGCTGAGCCGGGCTCATCCAGAGGCGAGTCTGGACCTCATCCAATCTCTCAACCCAGAGATTGCAATTCTATGTAAGTTTCAGAATAGAAATATGTGTAAATTGATTGACTTAAATGTGCTCTCGTATTTCACAGGGGATCATTCCTACGCAAAGATCATGCCCTGCGGTAATGGAGATGAGTTTGAGGAGAGAACTGCAGTCTTGAGAGACGAGGATGAAGAGCTGAATGATGTGATCCGCGATCAAGCCGGATGTGACAAAGAATCGGAAGTAGACATGCTCTTCGACAACACAATCGAAATTATTTCGGATTATGAGGAGACAGTGGAAGATCAATCGATTGATAAGTTATTTTTTTTTATAATATTCAATAACTCTATATGGATTTCATTAATTTTTGCGAGAAAGTTGAATTTTACTTCCAAGATTCCACGATTTTCATCTCACTTTTAAAGTGAAAAAAAAAATGTTCTAAGAGACACGTGTGAATTTATTAATGAAAATGTGGACTGCAGCAGATATTCAAAAGATGTCTTAAATACTTATGTGAAGCAGAGAATTAGAAACAAAATAATTTACCAAAATAATCACTTAATTGAGAAGGAGAGAAGGGCGAATATGTATAGGAAAAAAGGGTGGGCGGCTTCACAGGAGCAAAAGAAAATACAAACATTCACAACTTGAATAAAATAATGAAAATCCGTGAAAAAAAGAATTGTTTAAATTTAAATTCCCGCGAATTCACTTCACCGCGAAACACAAATTTAACTATACATCTTCTTCTTCTTAAAATGGTCGCTTGTCGCCTCCTGTACGAGAACCCCAACAAACAACAAAAATACATACTCCTTGCATCGGAAAGGCAAAGTGTGTGCGCACAAGAAGTATTTAACCTTAGAGGCCCAGACGTAATTGGTCGATTGCTCCACATTTTTACCGCTTTATTTCATCAATTATATTGTATATACGCACCATGTCATAAAACGTGCAGTCGCAAATTGCGCGCCCTCGACAGTGAGTTCCCCGCGACGTTGGGCTGTGTGAGAAAAAGACTGTGTGGTATTTAGAAAATATTTCTCATTTATTCCTAACAATTTAAACATCTAAACATTTTTTTAAGAGTATTTTAAGGTCTCTCTCGCAGCTTTTGCAGCACCGAATTATTTACAGAAACTTCTCTTTTTTTTTGTCATATTATATTTCCTCTCCTCACACTCACTCCAAAACCTCTCAGACACGAGGTGAAATCCATTAAATTCGAGTATTTGGGTGGAATTTTCATGTTTTCTTTTTCTCTTTCGTTTTTGTATCGCAATTTTATATCTTAACACTATTCAAACTCAATCACACGGCAATTTTTTTTTCTGTTTATAAGAATCATATCGGAAAGTTCAGATTGTCATTCTTCCTCCTAATCTTCGCGGAAATGCAAAAAGGGAGTTTTCTCTCTCATAAATGGTGATGAAATGCAGAAGAACAATGGCAGAATTGCACTTCACAGTTTCCCATCCAGGGTGAAATTTCGACAGATTGTCATGGCTCTGAGAAATGTGATTGAGTTGAAAGTGTGAGATGGGAAAATTGATGTTCCGGACGATTTTCGTGTGTGTCCGGAAGATCAACTTGTCTATTCACGCAGTGAACGGCTGAGGGCGCTTACCCAACGTACGGGAAGGGGGCGTAGGGGGCGGGGAAGTAGCCGGGAAAGGCGCCAGCGTTGGGAGCGACCGGCACGGATTGTGTCACGAACGTGGTGACAAGTGTGGGTGTGACGTGAGTGGAGAAGAGCGTGGTGTAGGCTGTTTTGGCGCCAAATGTGAGCTTGAGGATCTTACTATCCGTCACGGTGACCACGGTGTTGGTCACAATGGGTGCCGAAGTGACCTGGAATTGCGGTTGGGGCGGGAAGAGGGGATTCATGGGTACTGGCTGAATGGGAAGCGTCGGCTGGATGGTTGTCGTCTCGTACTCATAGTCTGTCTTCGTCACCGTGCCAATTGGGCGCGTGAGTGTGCTAAAGATCGTCGACATGCCGTTGAAGATGGGAATCACGTGAGAATCATACACGGTTTCCACCTTGATGACAGGCTTTGAGGATGTGATGACCTGAGGCAGATTGGCAGCGGCGGCGGGATTTAGCAGTCGCAGCAATTGCTGAATCTCCGGCTGGATCTCTGTGGCTTTTGGCGTGGTGACCTCAACGGACGTCTTGGTGATCTTCGGCTGTTTGGGCTTCAATGCCGGTACGCGATCCAGACCGAGCAAATCCAGATCTGTTCCCACCTTCGACAGATCCAGCTCGGCGGGCAACTCCTGGCGCAGACCCTCGTCATCGTCGTCCTCCTCGTTGTTGTCACCAAACTCCAACTCCAGATGCAGCTCTGAGCCCGCTTCGTCCAGGCGACTGTTGAATTCATTGAATGTCTTGCTGGGCACGAAGTGGTAACTCTCCATCGGCGGCAGTGTCTTTGTGGCGGTGACGAGTCTCGTCACGTGGTAGGTTTGGATGAGAGTGTGGCGCTCAGTGCTGTTCTCGTTATGCACAATCGGCAGGATGTGCGTCTTCAGCAGGACGTGCGAAGTGCTGAAGGTCTCCGTGAGGGTCTCCAGCGATGGCGTCTCTCCGCCCTCGCTGAGATAGAGCGGAGGCAGTGTGGCAATGGTGGAGTCCAGGAGATTGTGCTCACTGTCCAAGTGAGATGTCGTGGCCAGGATGTTCTCAGTCAGAGGTCCTGCAAGAGAGAAACACATTCAATGCTGAATCATTTGTCATTAAACTCACACTATTGGATTTTACCCGTGATCTCTGTCGTTGTCTCTGGCTCTAGGGTCTTCTCGAAGGTGGAAGTGACTGTGATGAAGCGCGTCTTCTTCACTGGGCCCACTTGGAAAGTGTAGGGCGACTTTATGGTGGCGATCTCGTAGTAGACATCAGCAAAGTCCGCCGGCGTGGAGATTTCCACCTTCAGTGTCTCCACGGGCAGTGGCTTCTCGATCCCATTGCGACCGTCGTCCTGCAGGATGTCTCCTGTCAGCGAAGGCTGTCCATCTAGATCGCCATCATCACCTCTCACCTCGCCATTGATTGCTTCCGTGGCGGTTTCCTTCAGCTCATCCGTGGACTTCCGGATGTTCACCCTTGGCTTCGGCGTTGTCTTGTACTGCCAGCGTCCGGGAGTGCGATTGAGCTTGAACTTGTACAGACTCGTGGACGTTTGGTCATTGTCCACACTCGTAGGATGAAGTTTCGGCTTGAAGCCGCGCCTCGAGTGAGCCTCATTGTTCTGTGTCACTGTGGAAGTGGGTTTGAATTCGTGCCTTGACGCCTTGTTCCGTCTGAAGGCCGGCACAGAACTCGTCTCTGGATAGACAGAAACTGTGTTCACCTCTGACGATGGGCGATTGTACTTCTGATGGTTGTTCCTGTACTTCTTCGTCGTGACCTTCTCAGCGGCCGGCGTCACTTCCTCAACGTAATCCTGCCCGCTGTCTGGCGTGTACTTTCGATTCCTGAAGCGACTCTTGAAATCGCCCGGACTTGTGGGCGGAATAGCCACTGGTCGCTTGCTGAGACGCCCAGGAGCCGTGGTGTATGTGTCCTCGTAGCTGTCCAGACTCGGTGTCGCCTCGACAGTGTGTCTGTGTGCCTTGTGAGCAACAGGAGCGGCGGTTTTCAGCACCTTGAGCGACGGCGATGGGGCAATTTTGGCCTTATTGGGATTGTGGAAGATCTGTGATGTGCTCTGCAACACTTGGGCGTACTTTCCCGAGATGTAAGTGCCGATCACACTCGTTTCGTGGATTGTCGTCACGCCGTCCTTCACCACAGTGCCACCCAGTTTCGTCACCAATCCCGTGGGATGCAAGCTGTCTCTCCTGGGCGCTTCTGTGGGCCTCGATTTGATGTGCGGCTTGCCGCCTCCGCGCAGATTGTGCACTCTGTACGTCTCCTCGACATACTCAGCCGGCTGACGCGAGAGGAAGTCATACTCAGGCTCACCGATGTTGTTGGGAATCTGCACGGGAATGTCTGAATTGACATTGGAATTAATCTCCGGAATGCTGGACTCAATTATCAAGCCATCCTGAGGATCTTTCTCCTCTACTTCCTCCTCCTCCTCTTCTTCTTCCTCCTCCTCAATCTGCTGCTCAACTTCCTCAGGAGGATCTCTCACGACGGTGGGAACAACTGTGTGTGTCTCCTTGTTGACGATCACATCGACTTTCGTGGACACAATTTGTGTAGTCTTCGATGTTGTGGCCACAGTTTCTGGCTTCACGACATTCACGACACTCACAATCGACGGCTTTTCGGGCTGTTCCACCGCCGTGATGACATTCACGATCGACGATACGACGGATTTGATCTCCTTCGTCACCACAACTGGCTTCTTCTCCTCCATTTTCACAGGTTTCACCTCCACAACAGACGGAGTGACTGCCTGCACAGTGGAAGATGTCACTTCCTCCACTTTCGACGGAGTCACTTCTTGCACCTTCGTAGTTTTCACCTCAACGACACTCGAAGGGGCTGCAAAGTGGATGGAAAGAGAACATTATTAGATTTGCACACGACAATTCACAAGAGTTTACAACAAAGTGAAAGACACACACACACAAGGCGTCTTGGGAAAGACACTCTGGAATAAATTCATGAGCAAACTTTGAGACACCTTTTGTGCCGCTGAAGGCCACGGAAAATTGATTAATTTGCCATTTAATTGAGTAACTCCCTGAGAATGGTCGTTAGTTGAAAAAACATATTGTCTCACTCGCACAGAGATTAAGAGTCGGAAATTTCTTCAATGGTACAAAATAGTGCGAGATTGTTGTGCAAAAAAAGCAGCGACAGACAACATTCGTCGTTGGTGTGGAAAATTGTGCAAAAGCGGAAAGGAAAAGACAATGGAATGTGTGTGCAATTGAAACAGAGCGGGAGGAGATTGGAGAAAAAAGCCGCACTGTTACATAAAAAAAAAGCCATCAACTATTCCTATCTTTTCATTATTACAGTATGTCTAGACTGCAAGAGAGCTAGAAAAAGAATCGGATGAGGGAAAAAATGGCCCAGGAAGAGAATCACGTCAAGCTTGACGAATGTATTCACACGAGTTTTCAAGATTGAGTGATTTTATTCTATGGAAAGTTAACACTGAGACAATTTTTCAAGAGGATTTCCTGGCCTTTTCAATGTGACAACTTTTAATCTCTGCATAAATCTGTCCAATCAAGGGAAGAAAGAGTCTTATCTACTATTCCTTGAACTTTCCTATGACACGCCCCCTTGGATGCCCCGCCCTCTTATCATGCAGGGACAATTGAAAGAATCTCTCATGGACTGTTCTTCATATTGAAAAAGAGAACTTTACATTTAATGAATCACAATTTCAGCTTGAATTCTCTTGTTGCAATCTGGCATTCCGATGTGAAAGTGCCATTAGATAATCACACATCGATTGTAAAAGAAATGTATAACAAAGTGGGTGTTATCATGGGTATTTTAATTGCATTTTTGCGTCAAAATATCGTGAAACATGCAATTCAAATGCAATCCACACACACACCTTTTGCCGAGCATTTCAATTTATAATAGTTTCATTTTGCGCAACAATTCGGTGAAAGAACACCACGAGGAGGTATTTTGTGTGCATAAAGTTGCTTGGCTAAATAGTGCCAAAACACCGATGAAAATTGCAATGTGAAGGGTTGGAAATTCAATGCTGAAGTCTCTCACTTGTGCTGCTTTTTTTCGGCAAATTGCATGTGTGTACAATTGTGAGGAAACTTCTCAGAGTCACATGAAATAGTTTTAAGAAACTGTGTGCGACTTGCTCAATTTGATGCTTGAAAGCCACTGAAATTTTGTTGAAGAGATGTTGGAGATTAGGCGCACTCTAATGAATGCAATGTGGCAAATTACTCCAAATGTTGGTATTCTCATTATTAAGAGGCATTTTCTAATCCAAAATCTCCATGTGTCCCTGGAGCGCGCATAGAGTGAGAATTGAGCCAATCTTTCGTACACTGGCGCAGCAGTGATATGAGAGTGAGTCATAAAAGAGTAAAGTGGCTTTTAATTGATATGTTGTTACTCGCAATTTTTCGGTGTGGCACCGAATTCTTATGCTTAATTGAACGTGTGGTCGGTTTTTTTCTCTCTCTCTTGTTTCTGCTCGTCACAAGAGAGGATTGTCATGACTTTGAGACTCACCCACAGCCGGTGCTGAACTTTGTGGCGAAAAGAGCATCACGGTGTTGCCGATTGTGGTTGTGAAATCCAAAAACCCATAAACTGTTTGTGTCACATAATTTATCGTCTGCTGGCTCGGTGTGGCTTGAATCTCCTGCTCAGGATTCACATAGACAGGACCTCCTGGTGTATAAATGGCCGCTCGCGAGCCGCTCGCTGCAAAACACACATTATCAGCTCACCTGCCAAATTGCCATTGAGAAGCACAAGTGAACTCACCGCTGAGGAGCACAGCTAGACACAAATTCACCGCCACTATTCGTATGTTCATCGTTGTTCTGCAATGAAATTAATAATTTTTGCACAATTAATTTACAACTCACGGATGAGTTGCGGAGACGCTTTTTTGTTCTGTCTCTCTCTCTCGCATGTCTCTTTGTGAGCGCGCCCATGAAAGCTGGCTAGTCAAGAACCATATATTAATGATGGTAGAGAGACAGATTGATTCAAGACAATAAATCTCACGCCATGCGAAATTGAATAACTCGCAGCTTTTGGGTATGAGAAATTAATAATTCGACTGTAGCAAATTATTTCCTTATTAGAGAGACAATCAATCACGTGAGGAATTTAATTTGCTATTTCAACATCACGCAGAGGGTGTTAAATAAGACGAAATTCACCCAATTTTCAATCAATTATGTGGCCTCTGGTGTTACAAATAGCCATACAGCATGAGCTGAATTTGATGTTTCACAATTTATTTGCCTACCATTGATTTTAGACACATAGAATAGCATTGTATAATTGTGTAAAAGAACAAGTCCCAATTTCATACAGAATCTTTAGTGAATTTTTAAGATCCTTATGCCTTAAAATTGCTGAAACATTCCCAAAATTGAATAGGAAAACATTCTGATCAGTATTTCTAGGTCACTATTTAATTAATCTATTGCAATGGAACAAAGCGAGAGTGAGAGGCAAAACAACTTGAATTCACTCTTCAGCATTTGCTCTGGTGGGAATCTCGCCTTATCAATTAAGCAGGAAATCTTTCTTGGCTAACATGCGTCTCACTCTTCACTCACAAACTCCTAAGCGTGTTTCAATTAGTGATTCATCTGCAACCCGGAATAGCTGGCATCGTCTGACCATAACGGATGTTTGCAGAAATTGTAAATCAGTCTAATGCCTCCACATTACCATTGAGAGGAAAAATAGGTGTGCGCGCGAGCATTGAGAAATGCATCGTGCGCACCTGAGGAAAATTGCGCGCGAGCCAATGAAAAAGTCCACGCGAGTAAGTCGCAGATGAAGAAAAAAAAAAGATTGAATTTAATGATTTTTCTGTCGTTTTTTCCTCATCCAGCAACAAGATATCTTGTCTTTTGCATGGTAATCAGTGTCACTCCCTCATTTATGAACTGTCTGCGTGTGTGTGTTCAAGAGGTTGTGAGTGAACTTGAGAAGTTTTTCGCCGTTGGAATAATATCCATGACTTCTTCGGCCAGGAATGTCTTGTCAACATTATTTGTAAACACAAATATCGCCTGAGCACAAAAAGTGTGACAAAAATAACCCCTTACACAGCATCCCAGGCGATGTGCTTCGGTGTCATCTTTGTGCAGACAATTCAAGCAGCACCGCGAAGTCACTTCAATGAGTGCCCGCTCGAGTGGCTTCTTTCGCTGGTGCTCTAAAGCTCTGCAATCTTGCATATCTTCTCTCACATGAAAGAGAAATCGTGATCACTTTTGCTCTGTACTATATTGCTTGCTGATGGCAGAGAGCCTTATTGGGTCAGTCATCAGCATTTGATGGGAATTGAGAGCGAGCGCACAAGAGTATCTCTTCGGTGAATATTATTCACTTTTTAATTAGCAACACTCTTTTTTTTTCCTTGCGGCACGCAGAAAAAAAAATCCATTAGTCGCTTTGGATGATGGGAGAAAAAGCCACATTTCGGCGACGCAATGAAGATAAAATGGACAATTATTGGCATTTACTTTGAGCGCGCGAATGTACTCAATATTATTGAGGAAGGACGATCGGGTAATTGTGTCTTTAACCCTTTAAGAAATTACATGCAGAAAATTGGCGCTTGCAATTAAGCTTGAAAGATCATTTTGGTGTGATTTTTGGCACCTCTTCTCATCATTACTTCATTAGTGGCAGCGCTTTTTTCCCATCTTAGTGCCTTTTTAGTGCCATCTTGAGCTTTAATTGGCCTTAAGCATGTCGATCATGACTTTTTCTACGCGCGCTCGCGCGCACATGGAAAGCTTGAAGGAAAAGGAAGGAGTTTTACGCAGAGTTTCCCAGCGATTGCACACAATGCACTGCAGCTTAATTATAGTCTTTTTTCGTGTCAATTGATGATTTATTTGCTCAGTAAATCATGGGGTAAATAATGTGAAAAATATGTAATAGGCGTAATAGGAGATCTTGTGGGAATGGAAGCAATGAAAAGTCTGCTGGTTGAGCAAATAGCAGCGCTTGATCGATTTACAGGAGGAGTACGAATATTTTGCTGTATTGAAATTGCAACAATTTGAAAGTGTAGTGCATTTACAATTCATTCACTGCCTCTTTCCACCATTCATTTATCACATTTCATTATTTGTGTGAATGATTGTCAGATGGAAGAAGAGAGTTTCTTGACCAAAAATCCTTCACACACTATAATTTACATGCGCGCTATGTTACACCATAAGAATTTGTAATGTAATTATAATGAGTTAATAAGAATCTGAGAGAGTGATTTTTCTCACCATGATTTACTATATTATTATTGTCTATTTTTATGCTTATTCACACGCAGTTTTTCATCTCTTCTTCGTCTGTTTGTTGTCTCCGGGCTCTTGAGTGGTGTACGAAACATTAATTGTTCACCTCAAACATGACTCTATTTGATGTATAAATTAAATATTAATAGATGCCCCTCCGCCTGCACAGAAATCCTCCACATCGTCTTGAAGGAGATGAAGAAGTGGGAAAAAAAAATTGAGCTATTGTAAATTCACATGGAAGGTCAAGTCAACGCAAGATTTTTCACCAAACACAGCGTACGCTTTTAGGCAATCCATATACTGTGTCAATCCATTTATCAAATTATTATTTTTTTCCATCGCATTTCTACATGCTTGTATGACATATAGTGAGATAGAGAAAAAAAGGAGAGAAACATAAAAGGTAGTTGAGAAAAATTGCTGACCGCGCACCGAAAAAAAAAGAGAGAAGAGACAAAGATCACACGCTGAAGGCAAGAAGAATGTTGGGTATTTCACAAATCCTTATAGAGCAATGTGACTATAGGGAGTGTGTGAGATATGTTGTTAGACAGACGAAAATCCGCTGGAAATGCTCAAGATTGAGCCATGTTGAGAGAGAGAAAAAAAAAATGAGGTGTAGACGATGGTTGACGGCAAAATGCGAGATTTGCTTGCGGAGCTCCAACAAAGGGTGTGGTATTCAGCATTAATAGCCACGATTGCTATCGCTCTCCTTCTCGCTCCCAAGACCGCATTTGCTGCTCAATTTTTGAAGGATAAGAAACACAAGCAGCTAATATTTCTTGAGCATATTTTAATGCACAGACGGAAAAAAAGTGAATGGTCTTATTTTGCTAAAGCACACACACACAGCAAACTGTTTTGTATTTCACCTCCAATGCGCACTTTTCTAAATGAAAATTTATTAGTTTGGAAAAATTTATATGTCCGTATATTTTTCAGAGCTCTATTGCACTCACAGACTCAATGCTAAGAGACAGAATTTTCTGGTTTGCCTCACATCTTAAGTTAAGTGCATTTTGAATCAATTCCAGCCTATCTCAATGTCTCTCTCTGGGTAGAATTGAAATGTGGAGCAAGAAGAATGTGCGCACTTTTCCTCTTGCCAATTGCTCGTAATTCCGTTTTAGGAACATTTGTGCACATTGGATTTTACTATTTGATCACGATTTCTCAATAAATTCATTACATTTTGTGTGTTTTGAAGGCGATTTGCAAAGACAGTCAAAAGTTATTCTTTTCTTATGAAGAACTCTGAAGAATTAAACGAGTCACAATATTCCCAGTCTTCAGGAGATGATTGAGTATGTTTTCATTTGGGAATAAATCAATTTATCAGAGATTCAACGATTTACGACTTTTCACAAAATCGTGCTTAAGCAATTTTTCTATACTTTTTTTTTCCCCTGAGTTTTTCCACCGCATGTCAAGGGCATCGAGTTACACTGTATTCAAGGAAATTTACAGCGATCTTTGGTGGATTTTCACCACAAAATGTGCCTTTGGGATGATGAATGGCTGAAGTGTTGGTGGATTTGGCAGTGCAATTGCAGCTTTATCCGCGTGGTCTGTAAATTCACAAGACACGCACGCTTCTCGAGATGCCTTAAATGCCAATGCATTGGGGCTTATTTGTATGCTCAGGCTGTGTGTGTATGATTCAACTGTCCAACGAGGTCCTTGTACAACGTAATTGAATGCAAATTTATTCAGAAATCTACAAGATAATTTACTACTTTACTGTTACTATAAAGTCTCACTTTTCCCCTCTCAATTTCTTCTATATTGCCTATATTTTTCCACAATCATAGACACTGAGACAACATCAATGTAAAATAAAGCATAAAAATTCCCGCCATCGCTGTGATTAATTTATGTTTAATTGAATTTGTCTGTGCACAGGTTAAGTCACGCTCTGTGAAGTCTCTCTGTGCACGACACGACAAATGTAACACTTTTTGCACCTTCAATTTCTCCGTGAAAATTGCTTCACGGAGATTTGTGTCAAATTCACAGGAAGATGACTAAAGCTATGCTTTGCTAATAAGATTGACTTTCTGGGTGGTTTTTTTTTGCGTGACTTTGACTGGACTTTATCAATTATTCCCGCCACAATGGAGGCTAAATTAATTCTAGTGTGAAGAGGTAAAATCCCCAAAAAAGAATGACAGCTGAGCCAACAATTCCATCATCTGCTGTTGATTGAACGCGCGCTGTTGTTGCGCAACAAGAACAGTATTGCAACTCATTTGACTTCTTTTTCGCCAGGCAATCTATTCAAGCTTCTGGATTTATCATGAAAATCCCGGATTTATTGTTGAGACTGCTAGACTTCTCAGAATTCTGCATCTTCTCATCATAAATTCCCGCCCCAGCATTGAGCCAGCGTCTGTGTGCTTCTGTTGAGGCGCAATTTTGAAACAATTTTAATGGGATTCGCATATTATGAAAAAGTCAAAAGTCACTGTCATGTTTGCTCTCAGAATCACGCCGAGTGTGCAATTTTCTGTAATCCTCGCGAGATTTTCCCTCCAGAAGATCTCACA